CCTAGCACGTTACAGTGACATCATTGACACTCCACTACCCAGCATGTTACAGTGACCACATTGACACTCCACTACCCAGCATGTTACAGTGACCTCACTGACGTTCCACTGCCCAACACGCTACTGTGACATCATTGACACTCCACTACCAAGCAAGTTACAGTGGCTCATTGACACTCCACTACCCAGCATGTTACAGTGGCCTCATTGACGCTCCACTACCCAGCATGTTACAGTGGCCTCATTGACTCCACTACCCAGCATGTTACAGTGGCCTCATTGACTCCACTACCCAGCATGTTAAAGTGACATCACTGACACCCCACCACCTTGCACGTTACAGTGACCTCACTGACACTCCACTACCCAGCATGTTACAGTGGCCTCATTGATACTCCACTTCCCAGCACGTTACAGTGACCTCATTGACACTCCGCTACCCAGCACGTTACAGTGACATCACTGACACCCAACCACCTTGCACGTTACAGTGACATCATTGACACTCCACTACCCAGCATGTTAAAGTGACCTCACTGACTCCACTACCCAGCATGTTCAAGTGACCTCATTGACTCCACTACCCAGCATGTTAAAGTGACCTCATTGACTCCACTAACTAGCATGTTACAGTGACCACATTGACTCCACTACCCAGCATGTTACAGTGACCACATTGACTCCACTACCCAGCATGTTACAGTGACCACATTGACTCCACTACCCAGCATGTTACAGTGACCACATTGACTCCACTACCCAGCACAGTGTCTGGCAGTTTGCTATTGTGTGTTGCTATACGTCTTCCAGATGAGTAAACAATATAAGTAATAGCTAACCTGAAATCTGCCACTGACAAAGATTAATTCAAAGATCAAGATTATGCGATTCTGTCGATGACATGGTGACTTTATATTTAATGAGTATTTCTTTGTTGTGTCGAGAATATGTTGGTGAAACGTATATATATTTCTAATAAAAAAATATAATAAATAAATTACCAATATTTGTTAAATGAAAATGACCCCAACTGCTTGCTTGCTTACACTTACAATTAGTCTAGTTGCACCCCTGCATTGGATATCTTCCATTGAAAATGACTTCTCAAATCCATTGAGAATTTGGTGGGTACCTAATGAGAGGGACCATCGTATTATTATTCGTCCTCAATACGGTGGAAATGACAGCCATGTGTCTTGTAGGTGTTCTTGCTAACTTGAGGTAAAGCTAGTCTGGAATTGGGTGCTCTAGTGCTTCCATTGGCTTTTTAATAACCGATCCTGTAAAGAGGGAAATGGTAGAGTGGAGAATTCCACCTTACTTACATGTTCCCCATACACCACACGTTCATTCAGGTGGGTTGTGGTTCCTCCGTACTTATGGCTGTATTATGGTTCTGTTCGGATGAACAAAAACCTTCCAAATGGCGTGCTAGTTTTCTTGGGGGGAATTAGTCAGCAAAGAGCCGGAGTCACAGGAGACTAATCACAATTTTATTTACAAGAACAATTAACAATGAACAATTTACAATATCTTAGAATATAGCTGGGGGTGCCACAGAGAGTCCGTACAACACTCTGGGCTGTGGGAGAGAGGTCTGCTTGATATGAGTGACAAACCCCTTCTGCTTAACATTTTGTTTCTGTATGTATTTAACAAAAATTAGAACAATAAAAAAGGAATATGATTGGTTGATACACGATGGGCTATGCCTTATGGTTAATGAATGGCTAGACAGACCTCTCTCCCACAGCCCAGAGGGTTGTACCGACTCTCTGTGGCACCCCCAGCTATATTCTAAGATATTGTAAATTGTTAATTGTTCTTGTAAATAAAATTGTGATTAGTCTCCTGTGACTCCGGCTCTTTGCTGACTAATTCCCCCCAAGAAAACCAGCACGCCATTTGGAAGGTTTTTGTTCATCCGAACAGAACCATAATAATTTGGTGGAGAATCCGGGTATGACAGACTTCTTAGTCTGTCCTTTCCTGTAACTCTTTGCAGCAAGGCATATGGTTCACAAAACTGTAGGAAGTGACAGTCTCTTATTAAAAGGATAAACTACCTTCCTGAAGGCCAATCACCAAGAACGAAGAAACGGCCTGTAACAAGATTGAAGAAAGAACAAGAACCTCAAGAACAAGTTCTCCAAACCTTCCCTGCTCGAATATCTTAGCACCACTGCTAAGACTTCCCCTTCAAGATGGCGTTCCTGCACATGACCTAAGAAAAGAAGTATACACGCCTATCCCACAGAGACCCGACCACAGCCATCTTCCTGCAGACCCTGCACAATACAGAAACCGCCTCACGGGCACCTACAAGATGGACACTGTGTACAAGATATCTCATTGGGACTTACTAATTTGTGTTTACTTACATGGACTCAATCAAGGATATATATTGTGTGACTGTTGAATAGTGCAACCAGGTATGTTTAATAAAAAGCCAGTATATTAATGCCAATATGTGTCTTTCCAAAATTCAGTTTTGTATATGTGCAATATACTCCAAATTACATCTTTAGTCAAGCTAGATCTTTGAAGTTATTGTGTAGGGAATCTTTAAAATGTCTCCAGGCCACGCTAGACATATAGATACAGCTAGGGCCCAGACAAACCTAAGCTGTAGGGTTATCGAGTCACACCTTAAAGCTAGACTTGTAATTTCAAAAATCTAAACAACAAAATTTGTCATTTGTTACAAGTTATTAATGTGCACAGTTTGGCACAAAATTGAATGTATTGTCTAGGACTTTGAATTCAGATAAGGGATATTCTTGGGTGAGCCACCCCCACACAAATGTTTATTGTATGTCAGTATTAAGTAATTAATAGCACAGCAGTATTCAGCATTTCAGAGTTTTGATGTTGGAATTAAGGATTTTTTTCTTGGGCATCGCACCCACAATATCTGGGCAAGCTCCGTCAAAGACACGGGAAGAGCACTCATTGTACTTAAAAGGGCAATAGTACCAACAAGTACCGTTTGAGTCACGTGGTAAAGCCAGACTCCTGGTTTCAAATTTCTTTATGCGAAATATTTGCTGAGATGTTTAATTTGTACTTTTTATGACATTATCATTATTCGGAACTGAGTCGCACCACCAAGCCAGACTCCTGGATTCAAAAAACCTCCATGATTTATTCATTGGATCTGTGCAAAGCGGTAATTACCTTGTAGTGAAATTGCACATTACAAAGATCACTTGGTTAGTTTTCAAACTAGCACTAAATCAAATTAGCTAGATGATCACTTTCATTGCATAGATATATTTGTTGCATAAGGATTTCATTTAACTGATTTTGTTCACATTTGCATGGTTGTTTTCGTTGGTGAAAGGTTCACACATGTCAATTTGGACTCATGTAAGCTTGGGGTCAAAGCTTCACCACGTAACGGAGGGAAGTTGTCATAGCGACTGATTTACGACATCCATTGTCTGAAGAACATTTAATTGCAAAGCCTCATTACCCTGGAGCCATGACATCTATATGCCTTGAAACACTTAACTGCTGTTATTTATAAGATGCTAATCCTAAATTGTTAATCCCCATTTTTGTGTACATCGACCGTCTGCCATCCTGCTGATGAATTACTGTTTACATTTATATTTATTACTTACTAAATGTTTGGTGACCTTGGCTATATCTACATGTATAAAGTAAAACTGTATATACTGCAAGCCATCGTCTCCAGGTTGTCACTTCCTACTGAGAACCATACGTCAGCCCCTCGCATATACGAGTATGCAAATTATTCATTAATCGTCAGACGCCACGCGATGTTAGTTGTATGAGATGATACAGTTCACTTATAATGTCCTTAAACGAATAATCGTTAGATAACGTGACTAGGTTAGTAATGATTGGCAGTCTCGAGTAATGGAGGCTGAAGGGATTTGACTCCTAGGCCTTGTAACAGCAGTACGGGATTCCTCATGAAGTCTCAAGGTATCAGATTGATAGGTCTGGGGAGATGACGTTGATTTCCACTCCCATTATGTTAAGACTTCCGTGGAACACAAGCTTCTTCTGGAGATACATTGACTAAGGGTGAGATATGAGCTTTAGAATTCTTCCTGACATTTCTGTTGTCATGACAGTTAGCTGAGGTACTTCATATGATAGCCATATATAACCTTGTAATCACATGATCTGGACCTCATATGCCCTTGCTGGGAGACTGACAGCTATGTAAAATGTCATCAGCTATGCACACTATTGTTCCTATTAAAGGGGACGTGAGGGATCAGCTCCGAGGAGCCACTCTACACTGCAGGTCTGGACGTTTGCCGGTTAAACTTTATCCAGCGAGGTGCGCCTGCCTCTTTTTCCTTTTGGACAGGTGTGACGAGGTACGAGGTTTGCCCTCATCATTTGCCCACATGTACCACCCTTAGTTGTCCGAGTGGCAATCATTTGAGGTAAGTCCAGTGAGGAACACCTTCTCCAGTTTAGTTTCACTTAAGGTGATAATTTACCAGACAAGTTTTTGTAGATGTTCTAGTTTTTCTTGCTGACGTTAAAACTTCTGCAATTAGTGCATCTCTATGCATTTATTGCACATTGTATTCTTTATGCATGAATGGCATTTAGGGTGAGGATTACCTGATAGGGGTATACAATACAATCAACTAATTGCCTACCTACGTTAACTTCAAAATGACGTCAGGTGTTCTGTATCTGCGTGCTTGAAAGACGATCTTGAATTACTGTGTGATAATGTATCCAGTTTTGTCCTGAATGTGATCAAAATGTATATGCTGTTTATTTCAGCACACAGAGGAAAGAAGTATTGTTTTCCCGCCTCACGCATGTGCAGTCTAATTAAGCTAGAGGAGAGCGTTTACCTCAAAACACACCAGAGACAGTTTGGCAGTGAAGAAAAGGTCTGTTGATAGTGTGATGACAGCCCAAATTGGAATTAATGGCTATGATGGGGTTAGGTATTTAAAATACTTCCTTCAGTTTGTCCCCTGTTAAAGAAGACCAAGTTGTGTTATGTATATATTTTATTAACATCTCATATCACAGTGGTATGGTGGAGAACACACAACATAGTAAATATATGTATATCTGTGTGTACAAGACAGGAGTAGCTCCCATTGGTTTATTTACACATGTACAGTGGACGGAAAGCAGATATAAAAACTATAAACTCTGGAAAGATGTTAGTATTATTATACAATTCAATGAAACTGCATATACACTCATGAAGCTCCTGCCTGCTACATCACAACCTACAAACAAGTCAGTTGTTGGTGCACTCAGTACTCATATGCACAATACATTTGGAAATGTTAGATTTTCAGCACTCAAGGTTGTATATCCACCAAAACCTGTAAAATATATGTGTGACCAGTATAAGTAAATACTGCACTGAAGACTTGAGAATGCTAGTTTCACTTAAAAAGAACACAAACAAAGCATAAAACATGTAAGTCTGTTACCAAATGTGGACCAAACTAAATGTATATTTTGTGTTGTTGACTTGTTTATCACAGTTGGAGTCAAGTCCCCTATCTACTGCACACAACTGAAGGTTGGGAGGGGAGGTAATACTGTTCATCTGGGCGGTGCTTCAGTTATATATCACACTGGTATAGTCACAAACTGACAATCTTTTAGTTTTTGTGTAAGATGTACCATGTAAACATTTGTCAATGAATAAATACTCCTGAGAGATCAGGGGCCAAAAAGATATGAAATTTTCGATCTTATGGCTCAACAACATGTAATCTTTTGAAAATGCTGTGTATGTGTAAATATAAGTAACTGTGCTTGCGGTTTCCTCAATATCAGAATAAATAAAACACTTGACATTCAAAATCAATATCAAATTATGCATAACATTCAGGCTGCATTTGGTTTGGCAGAATTTTCTTTAGCGAATGCATATTACTAATGTTTTAAATGTTATTATAATTTCAGTAACAACGAACAATGGTAACAAAATAAATAGGATTGATTTCAACATACATGTCAACATAGAACTGGAATGTTTGTGTTCAGCTGGACATCAGTGGTAAACTCAAGTATTTTGTCCATGTTTTAGTTGTTGAGCTGACACAAGAGAGCAGTGCCCCGCTTGACCCAGTGTTGGATTGGCTTCTCAGTGGGCAGTAGGATGGCCATCACAAAGTTGGTGGAATGACCGGTGGTCGACAGTGTGCCCCGACGTTCGCTGGTCTTGTACACGGGACATTTGTAGCGCTTGTTGGACACATCAATCTTTTCCTGTAGACATGGCTTCAGCCAGATGATGGGAACAGCATCATTGAGAATCTTTGGCAGTTGTTCAGTCAAACAGCCACTGTAACATAAACATAGCATTTAACTTACTAATTTTCATATCGCAAGGGCTAGTGGTGTTCCTTCCCATCACACCAGGAAATGATATGATACCAGGAGTAGGTGTGGCACTAGTAGATACCAGGAGTAGGTGTGGCACTAGTAGATACCAGGAGTAGCTGTGGCACTAGTAGATACCAGGAGTAGGTGTGGCACTTGTAGATACCAGGAGTAGGTGTGGCACTAGTAGATACGGCATTAGTAGATACCATGAGTAGGTGTGGCACCAGCAGATACCAGGAGTATGTGTGGCACCAGTAGATACCATGAGTAGGTGTGGCACCAGTAGATACCAGGAGTAGGTGATGGCATCTTTGATTATCCAGTGTATTTTATCTCATCAACAATAAACATGGCAGTTTGTGAAGGTAGGCTCAGGGGAAGTGACATGTAAAAATACACTATTTCTGTGAAAGTGACGAAAAGTATATAATTATTTCACTGGTGAATTATAGAAATGAATTTCATGATAACTTACTTTTGGGTAGGGTTATGAGTGAGCTGGGATTAACAATCGGAACAGTATTTCAGTTACATCAAGGCATTTCAGCTTAATGGAGGAGATAAGCTGACAGTGAAGCAGGTCCTAGATGTTTACCACTTTGGTGAACCCCACAAGCATGGCTATTGAGCTGACAACCATTGATCATAATCAGGGCGAGTCTGGGAGTCAAACCACTGAATACAGGGAGCTGGAGTGCCTCAGTCACCCAGGACCAAAGGGGCATGAAAACAATTGACAAGTGTTCACCAACTATCCTTTTCAGGCATGGATGAAAAAACACATGTCCCCTTGCCCTTGTAATACTTTTCTGTAATGGACAAAGAAGTAGTTATTTGTTAGTTAGTAGTAATCTGAAACACTGTTATCTTGTACAGCATATTTCCCAGTGAAATTGTTGGAAATTACAAATTTCCAGACTAAGATATCATGGGTGTGTTACATGTCCCTTTAATCGATTACTATACTGAACAACAAAAGTTCCTGTGACATTGAATAAGATTTAATGCAAAGTTATGTTTTTTACCAAATCTGAAACAATTTCGAGTTGCAACAGATAAAAGACTCCTGTAAGTGTTCAAATGGTTTAATTTGCCATACTGACTTCAGAAAATGAGTGATTTCATAAAAAACATGAACATGCCAAAATGTCAATTTACAAATCAATAGCATGTGTGTCCACCTCTGGTTGCGATGCAAGCAACACATCTCCATCTTATGGAATGGACCAGGCGTCGCACAAAGTCCTGTGGTATACCTATCCATATCTGCTGGAGCATGTTACAAAGTTCCTGGAGTGTCTGTGGAACACGTGGTTGACGTCGAAGGCGTCGATCCATCTCATCCCACATGTGCTCGATTGGTGAGAGATCAGGGGAGCGAGCTGGCCAGGGGATGACATTTACGTTGTTTTGTTGAAGAGAATCCTGAACAAATGGAGCTATATGAGGCCGGGAGTTGTCATGTTGAAAGGTAATGACTGGGCTATGACGACGCAAAAACGGTAGAACAGCAGGGCCGATGGTCTCGTCGCGGTAGCGCTGACCAATGAGATTTCCCTCTACCACTATCAAACAGGTCCTCTGTTTTGCTGTAATCCCACCCCATACCATAACGCTGCCGCCCCTGAACCGATCTTCTTCCATGACACAATGATTTACGTACATTCACCTCGACATCGGTACACTCGAATCCGTCCATTGCTGTGGCTGAGGTGAAAAACGAGACTCGTCTGTGAATAGAACTTGTCCCCACTGCATGGCCGTCCAGTGTAGACGCTTTCTTCACCACTGTAGACGTGCTTGACGGTGGTTTCCTGTCAATATGGGACATCCGGCGGGTCTTCTGGCGACAATCTCTGCACATCTGAGCCGACAACATATGGTTTGTGAAGATATTCGTCGAAGGCCAGGGATGCTTCTTGCAGTCACTGTTGCTGGCTGGAATCGATTTCGTAGGTGCGTTGTTCGAATCCAGTTGTCTTGTCGATTATTGGTTTTACGTGGCCTGCCACTCCGAGGATGGTCTGTTCGTCTGTTGCCAACGTTGCCATAAACACCAAATGGTGTTTCTGTAGACGTTAAATTGTCTTGCAACATCACTTTGACTCGATCCTGCATCAAGCATACCAATGGCTTGCAGAAGCTCATTTTCGGACAGGCATGGCATTTCGTAATGTTGTATAATTGCGTAATTTTGTTGTTTTTATGAGTGGATGTTGTCAGCACGATGCTAAACAATGCATATGGAATCCCGATAATGCACATGTTTTTATACCCATTCTTGGGTAGTGAAATGCATGCGTCTTGCATAAAAGTCAACTTTTGCATGGAATGCATGCTTTTATGTAGCAGTTGTGTTTTTGTGACTTGATACCATACATGTACTACAATATTGAAAACCAAACTTTACTAAAATATTGGTGTCACAGGAACTTTTGTTGTTCCAGCAGTTATGGTTTAGTAACCAGGGGATCCCGGCTATACAGAATAGAATAGATTGCTGATGTTCTTAGTGTACCTGTTTTTGTCCCAGCGGGCTCCATCCAGGAACAGACCGACGATGTAAGCTCCATCTTCAGGTGCCTCACTCAGAGTGTCATGGACTAAAACCTGAAACAAAGAACATCATGATGTTCAATAAATGTCATACATTATGGATCCACAGGTTCGAACTTGGGCAGAAATCAAGCTATGTGAGACCCTACTGCTGTCAGTATTTAGGAGACCGTCTGCTGAGTTTGTTAAAATGGATCTGGCTATTCATATTATCAAATGCATGACACACAGATTCCCCTGGAAGAGAGTTAAGTTATGTGACCAGTCGAATCAAATGAAGACACCACAGGTTAATCAGCTGTCAACTCTCAACAAGTTTCATTGCTTGCTAAATTTTTAATATGCTGTCTTTTCAGAGGAAGAATCACTTGAGGTATTGAAAAGACTTGTCATTCATTCTCTTATCATCTGGTCTGTGTGGTATTTCAATATTAAGTTGCTCACAATCGGAAAACATTGAGGAAGTGATTATGAACCACTGTTCCTAAGACTAAAACTTCTGTTGTTGATACCGGGAAGGGTGTTACTTGGAACAACTGTGTTGATGAGCAGAGCTCCACAGACAGGATTGGAACAAGTGTGTTAATGAGCAAAGCTCCACTGACATGATTGGAACTGTGTTGATGAGCAGAGCTCCACAGACAGGATTGGAACAAGTTTGTTGGTGAGCAGAGCTCCACAGACAGGATTGGAACAACTGTGTTTGGTAGCAGAGCTCCACAGACAGGATTGGAACAACTGTGTTGGTGAGCAGAGCTCAACAGACAGGATTTGGAACAACTGTGTTGATGAGCAGGGCTCCACAGACAAGATTGGAACAAGTGTGTTGGTGAGCAGGGCTCCACAGACAGGATTGGAACAAGTGTGTTGGTGAGCAGAGCTCCACAGACAGGATTGGAACAAGTGTGTTGGTGAGCAGAGCTCCACAGACAGGATTGGAACAAGTGTGTTAATGAGCAAAGCTCCACTGACAGGATTGGAACAACTGTGTTGATGAGCAGAGCTCCACAGACAGGATTGGAATAAGTGTGTTGATGAGCAGGGCTCCCTGACAGGATTGGAACAACTGTGTTGATGTGCAGGGCTCCACAGACAGGATTGGAAATATGTGTTGATGAGCAGGGCTCCACAGACCGAATTGGAACAAGTGTGTTGATGAGCAGGGCTCCAAAGACAGGATTGGAACAAGTGTGTTGATGAGCAGGGCTCCACAGACAGGATTGGAACAACTGTGTTGATGAGCAGGGCTCAACAGACAGGATTGGAACAAGTGTGTTGATGAGCAGAGCTCCACAGACAAGATTGGAACAAGTGTGTTGGTGAGCAGAGCTCCACAGACAGGATTGGAACAAGTGTGTTGGTGAGCAGAGCTCCACAGACAGGATTGGAACAAGTGTGTTGATGAGCAGAGCTCCACATACAGTATTGGAACAAGTGTGTTGATGAGCAGGGCTCCACAGACAGGATTGGAACAAGTGTGTTGGTGAGCAGAGCTCCACAGACAGGATTGGAACAAGTGTGTTGGTGAGCAGAGCTCCACAGACAGGATTGGAACAAGTGTGTTAATGAGCAAAGCTCCACTGACAGGATTGGAACAACTGTGTTGATGAGCAGAGCTCCACAGACAGGATTGGAATAAGTGTGTTGATGAGCAGGGCTCCCTGACAGGATTGGAACAACTGTGTTGATGAGCAGGGCTCCACAGACAGGATTGGAAATATGTGTTGATGAGCAGGGCTCCACAGACCGAATTGGAACAAGTGTGTTGATGAGCAGGGCTCCACAGACAGGATTGGAACAAGTGTGTTAATGAGCAGGGCTCCACAGACAGGATTGGAACAACTGTGTTGATGAGCAGGGCTCAACAGACAGGATTGGAACAAGCGTGTTAATGAGCAGGGCTCCACAGACAGGATTGGGTCAAGTGTGTTGATGAGCAGAGCTCCATAGACAGTATTGGAACAAGTGTGTTGGTGAGCAGAGCTCCATAGACAGTATTATAACAAGTGTGTTGGTGAGCAGAGCTCCACAGACAGGATTGGAACAACTGTGTTGATGAGCAGGGCTCCACAGACAGGATTGGAACAACTGTGTTGATGAGCAGAGCTCCACAGACAGGATTGGAAATATGTGTTGATGAGCAGGGCTCCACAGACAGGATTGGAACAAGTGGGTTGATGAGCAGGGCTCCACAGACAGGATTGGAACAAGTGTGTTGATGAGCAGGGCTCCACAGACAGGATTGGAACAACTGTGTTGATGAGCAGGGCTCAACAGACAGGATTGGAACAAGTGTGTTAATGAGCAGGGCTCCACAGACAGGATTGGGTCAAGTGTGTTGATGAGCAGAGCTCCATAGACAGTATTGGAACAAGTGTGTTGGTGAGCAGAGCTCCATAGACAGTATTATAACAAGTGTGTTGGTGAGCAGAGCTCCACAGACAGGATTGGAACAACTGTGTTGATGAGCAGGGCTCCACAGACAGGATTGGAACAACGGTGTTGATGAGCAGAGCTCCACAGACAGGATTGGAAATATGTGTTGATGAGCAGGGCTCCACAGACAGAATTGGAACAAGTGTGTTGATGAGCAGGGCTCCACAGACAGGATTGGAACAAGTGTGTTGATGAGCAGGGCTCCACAGACAGGATTGGAACAACTGTGTTGATGAGCAGGGCTCCACAGACAGGATTGGAACAAGTGTGTTGGAGAGCAGAGCTCCACAGACAGGATTGGAACAAGTGTGTTAATGAGCAAAGCTCCACTGACAGGATTGGAACAACTGTGTTGATGAGCAGAGCTCCATAGACAGGATTGGAACAAGTGTGTTGATGAGCAGGGCTCCACATACAGGATTGGAACAAGTTGGTTGATGAGCAGGGCTCCACAGACAGGATTGGAACAAGTGTGTTGGTGAGCAGAGCTCCACTGACAGGATTGGAACAACTGTGTTGATGAGCAGAGCTCCACAGACAGGATTGGAACAAGTGTGTTGATGAGCAGAGCTCCACAGACAGGATTGGAACAACTGTGTTGATGAGCAGGGCTCCACAGACAGGATTGGAATGGAGTTGATGAGCAGAGGTCCAGAGACAGGATTGGAACAAGTGTGTTGATGAGCAGAGCTCCACAGACAAGATTGGAACAAGTGTGTTGGTGAGCAGAGCTCCACCGACAGGATTGGAACAAGTGTGTTGATGAGCAGAGCTCCACATACAGTATTGGAACAAGTGTGTTGATGAGCAGGGCTCCACAGACAGGATTGGAACAAGTGTGTTGGAGAGCAGAGCTCCACAGACAGGATTGGAACAAGTGTGTTTATGAGCAAAGCTCCACTGACAGGATTGGAACAACTGTGTTGATGAGCTGAGCTCCACAGACAGGATTGGAACAAGTGTGTTGATGAGCAGGGCTCTACATACAGGATTGGAACAAGTGTGTTGATGAGCAGGGCTCTACATACAGGATTGGAACAAGTGGGTTGATGAGCAGGGCTCCACAGACAGGATTGGAATGGTGTTGATGAGCAGAGGTCCGCAGACAGGATTGGAACAAGTGTGTTGATGAGCAGAGCTCCACAGACAAGATTGGAACAAGTGTGTTGGTGAGCAGAGCTCCACTGACAGGATTGGAACAACTGTGTTGATGAGCAGAGCACCACAGACAGGATTGGAACAAGTGTGTTGATGAGCAGAGCTCCACAGACAGGATTGGAACAAGTGTGTTGATGAGCAGGGCTCCACAGACAGGATTGGAATGGTGTTGATGAGCAGAGATCCACAGACAGGATTGGAACAAGTGTGTTGATGAGCAGAGCTCCACAGACAAGATTGGAACAAGTGTGTTGGTGAGCAGAGCTCCACAGACCGGATTGGAACAAGTGTGTTGGTGAGCAGAGCTCCACAGACAGGATTGGAACAAGTGTGTTGATGAGCAGAGCTCCACATACAGTATTGGAACAACTGTGTTGATGAGCAGGGCTCCACAGACAGGATTGGAACAAGTGTGTTGATGAGCAGGGCTCTACATACAGGATTGGAACAAGTGTGTTGATGAGCAGGGCTCCACAGACAGGATTGGAACAAGTGTGTTGACGAGCAGGGCTCCACAGACAGGATTGGAATGGTGTTGATGAGCAGAGGTCCACAGACAGGATTGGAACAAGTGTGTTGATGAGCAGAGCTCCACAGACAAGATTGGAACAAGTGTGTTGGTGAGCAGAGCTCCATAGACAGTATTGGAACAAGTGTGTTGGTGAGCAGAGCTCCACAGATAGGATTGGAACAAGTGTGTTGGTGAGCAGAGCTCAACAGACAGGATTAGAACAACTGTGTTGGTGAGCAGAGCTCAACAGACAGGATTGGAACAACTGTGTTGATGAGCAGGGCTCCACAGACAGGATTGGAATGGTGTTGATGAGCAGAGGTCAACAGACAGGATTGGAACAAGTGTGTTGATGAGCAGAGCTCCACAGACATGATTGGAACAAGTGTGTTGGTGAGCAGAGCTCCACTGACAGGATTGGAACAACTGTGTTGATGAGCAGGGCTCCACAGACAGGATTGGAACAAGTGTGTTGATGAGCAGAGCTCCACAGACAGGATTGGAACAATTGTGTTGATGAGCAGGGCTCCACAGACAGGATTGGAACAACTGTGTTGATGAGCAGGGCTCCACAGACAGGATTGGAACAAGTGTGTTGATGAGCAGGGCTTCACAGACAGGATTGGAACAAGTCTGTTGATGAGCAGACCTCCACAGACAGGATTGGAACTGTGTTGATGAGCAGGGCTCCACAGACAGGATTGGAACAACTGTGTTGATGAGCAGAGCTCCACAGACAGGATTGGAACAAGTGTGTTGATGAGCAGACCTCCACAGACAGGATTGGAACAAGTGTGTTGATGAGCAGAGCTCCACAGACAAGATTGGAACAAGTGTGTTGGTGAGCAGGGCTCCACAGACAGGATTGGAACAAGTGTGTTGATGAGCAGACCTCCACAGACAGGATTGGAACTGTGTTGATGAGCAGAGCTCCACAGACAGGATTGGAACTGTGTTGATGAGCAGAGCTCCACAGACAGGATTGGAACAAGTGTGTTGATGAGCAGAGCTCCACAGACAGGATTGGAACAACTGTGTTGATGAGCAGGGCTCCACAGACAGGATTGGAATGGAGTTGATGAGCAGAGCTCCACAGACAGGATTGGAACAAGTGTGTTGATGAGCAGAGCTCCACAGACAAGATTGGAACAAGTGTGTTGGTGAGCAGAGCTCCACAGACAGGATTGGAACAAGTGTGTTGATGAGCAGAGCTCCACATACAGTATTGGAACAAGTGTGTTGATGAGCAGGGCTCCACAGACAGGATTGGAACAAGTGTGTTGGAGAGCAGAGCTCCACAGACAGGATTGGAACAAGTGTGTTAATGAGCAAAGCTCCACTGACAGGATTGGAACAACTGTGTTGATGAGCTGAGCTCCATAGACAGGATTGGAACAAGTGTGTTGATGAGCAGGGCTCTACATACAGGATTGGAACAAGTGTGTTGATGAGCAGGGCTCTACATACAGGATTGGAACAAGTGGGTTGATGAGCAGGGCTCCACAGACAGGATTGGAATGGTGTTGATGAGCAGAGGTCCGCAGACAGGATTGGAACAAGTGTGTTGATGAGCAGAGCTCCACAGACAAGATTGGAACAAGTGTGTTGGTGAGCAGAGCTCCACTGACAGGATTGGAACAACTGTGTTGATGAGCAGAGCACCACAGACAGGATTGGAACAAGTGTGTTGATGAGCAGAGCTCCACAGACAGGATTGGAACAAGTGTGTTGATGAGCAGGGCTCCACAGACAGGATTGGAATGGTGTTGATGAGCAGAGATCCACAGACAGGATTGGAACAAGTGTGTTGATGAGCAGAGCTCCACAGACAAGATTGGAACAAGTGTGTTGGTGAGCAGAGCTCCACAGACCGGATTGGAACAAGTGTGTTGGTGAGCAGAGCTCCACAGACAGGATTGGAACAAGTGTGTTGATGAGCAGAGCTCCACATACAGTATTGGAACAACTGTGTTGATGAGCAGGGCTCCACAGACAGGATTGGAACAAGTGTGTTGATGAGCAGGGCTCTACATACAGGATTGGAACAAGTGTGTTGATGAGCAGGGCTCCACAGACAGGATTGGAACAAGTGTGTTGACGAGCAGGGCTCCACAGACAGGATTGGAATGGTGTTGATGAGCAGAGGTCCACAGACAGGATTGGAACAAGTGTGTTGATGAGCAGAGCTCCACAGACAAGATTGGAACAAGTGTGTTGGTGAGCAGAGCTCCATAGACAGTATTGGAACAAGTGTGTTGGTGAGCAGAGCTCCACAGATAGGATTGGAACAAGTGTGTTGGTGAGCAGAGCTCAACAGACAGGATTAGAACAACTGTGTTGGTGAGCAGAGCTCAACAGACAGGATTGGAACAACTGTGTTGATGAGCAGGGCTCCACAGACAGGATTGGAATGGTGTTGATGAGCAGAGGTCAACAGACAGGATTGGAACAAGTGTGTTGATGAGCAGAGCTCCACAGACATGATTGGAACAAGTGTGTTGGTGAGCAGAGCTCCACTGACAGGATTGGAACAACTGTGTTGATGAGCAGGGCTCCACAGACAGGATTGGAACAAGTGTGTTGATGAGCAGAGCTCCACAGACAGGATTGGAACAATTGTGTTGATGAGCAGGGCTCCACAGACAGGATTGGAACAACTGTGTTGATGAGCAGGGCTCCACAGACAGGATTGGAACAAGTGTGTTGATGAGCAGGGCTTCACAGACAGGATTGGAACAAGTCTGTTGATGAGCAGACCTCCACAGACAGGATTGGAACTGTGTTGATGAGCAGGGCTCCACAGACAGGATTGGAACAACTGTGTTGATGAGCAGAGCTCCACAGACAGGATTGGAACAAGTGTGTTGATGAGCAGACCTCCACAGACAGGATTGGAACAAGTGTGTTGATGAGCAGAGCTCCACAGACAAGATTGGAACAAGTGTGTTGGTGAGCAGGGCTCCACAGACAGGATTGGAACAAGTGTGTTGATGAGCAGACCTCCACAGACAGGATTGGAACTGTGTTGATGAGCAGAGCTCCACAGACAGGATTGGAACTGTGTTGATGAGCAGAGCTCCACAGACAGGATTGGAAGAAGTGTCTTGATAAGCAGGGCTCTACAGACAGGATTCGTCATGTTACACAACAGCTGTCAAAGTAAAACATGATAATTGTTGTTGTCTATCCACAACCTATGATGATTGTGTTTGCTAATAATTGTAGACAGATGTTTGTCTTAACTTTTAAAATGAAGATGGGCATCTTCGACTGGAATCTGCACTGGGGTCTTGGGAACACCATAGAATGAGCAAAGGAATGTTTCCTACCAAGGTCTGCAATATGTCAGTAACTTGCAAATTTTGAGAAGCAGGCAGATCAGTTGTTGAAAGTATGAGTAACAATGCATACAACAGCTATAATATCTCCCATGTTGCAACAACAAAGTCCGGCCAAAGCTGTACGGATGGAGTACCGAGAGACGCGATGTCCAGATCCAAGAGATCATCCTCCGCCTGGGAGTAGCGGCCATCGCACTAACATGGGGACAGCCATGAACAGGTGACATGACGTAGTTTCAACATGTGTTCTGAAGCTTCAAGAACATTCAAATAGTTTCTATTTAACTACCTACCTCAAAGTCAAAGGCTAGTTTATCGATGGGTATGGTGTATTTCCTGGCGTAGTTCTGCATGACACCAGTGAGGAAGGCCTGAGTGAAGAAGAAGCCAGACACCCAGAATACCGGGGGCTTGCTGCCGTCATACCAGTTCTGTTGACGGAAATAATATTTCTTCAACAATGGCAGATAATGTGAAAAAAATACGTTCTTTTCATTTAAACATGTGCAGATGAATTGATTTCATTCATCACAAAAATCCAAATCAATATTAAAACCAAATTTGAAAACTTACAGCATACTACAATGATGGCACGATCATTTTCAACAATTCCTAGGATTCTTCCCAAGATGAATTACATTTTCCTCACCTGTAAGAATTTCAGTCTTTCGAGGAAATCTGTGATGTAGCTGCCCAGTGGTTTGAGAGAGGGGTATGAGCGCTTGGCCCACATGGCCGGCTGGCGTCCGATGAGGAGACTCCCAGCCATGTCCTCCAGCTCAGACGACATGACCACCAGCCCCTTGATGGCCTTCTGCAGGTTCTGCAGGCTGGATCTGATGATGGTCAGCAGTCTGCAGCAGGAGATGTAACACTAGTTCAACACACATACCTATAGGATAGCTTCTTTAAGCTGACATCACCCCATCTCTTCAAGGTATATAACATACAAGAAGGTTAATGTGGCTGTACCTGTTGAATCTTTCCATCTCCTGCACCAGCACAGTGTTCATGCTCTCACTATACACAACTGGGAACTTCTTGGTGGCTTCTTCAATGTCGTAGTCACTTGGCAACTGGTTAAAACAAATAAAGTCAAAAAAAAATTTCTTAAAGTGATCAAGGCATCAGTTGTTGTCAGATGTGATTCTCATGAAGCACGAATGTCTGGGAGGACACCATATATGGTGTGTTTATAATTGCAGATAACAATATTATTAACAGATCAATAACCAGCTTGTCATTCATAAATAGCAAGAATTGGAAAACAAATTAACAGCAATGTGAATAAAATAAGACCCCATTACCCACCTTTGCGAGAATATCAGCTGAAATGTCGGAAAGTTTGTCATCTGTCTTCCCTCCCCCTCCGCCACCAGAACGACCTTGTGTCAGGAGGACCGAGGCAAACAGTAGGTTAGTTTCCTGCAATTCTCGGGAGATATCCACATTCTCATGCATACCAAACACTTCCGGGTGCTGGTTCTGGGGCAGGTTCTGTCAAGCAAAGGTCTAAACTGTACAGGCTAATCAAAGGAAAAATATGTGGATCTAGTATTAAAACAATTTAATTCTCTACGAAACTGTGCTGGCATCACATCACAAACAATTTTAACTCCATTCTAAACTTTACATAATGACCTTGTCACCTTAATAAACTGTACATAGTCCTTGTAGGATCCTTTAGGAGGGGAAAAGTAGACACCCGAGGCAGAGAACTTGTACTTGGGGTCCATGATGATGTGAGCGTTGTAAAAGTCATCCAGGATGGTGAGCAGACATCGCCTGTCCCAGTCGTCCGTTACACGACCTCCGTAGTTACACTCCCCAGTCATGTAGGACACAGCGTCATACGGCACTTCATCGTACTCGTTGATGAACATCTGCACGCAGATACACACACACTAAGTATGTACCTTCTTGATAATGAGTTATACATCAGTAGGCATTTTACTGTATTTCACTTTTTCATTTGTCAACAAAAAAGTGAAACTTTTATTATAAAAACATATATCTAAATTTACCAAAAAAAGAGTTACAAATAACATATTAAATACACGACTGAAATTATCTTTGCAAAGGTTTGACATTCATGACTGACAGATCATCAATGGCTGCAGATAGAAGATAGTTATTCCTTTACTGCATGTAGTGCAAATCCATATGGTCAAGGGGAGAGAATTAGATGTTGTTTTCCTTTCAATTCTGCTCTGCTTGGTAAACCTTCCTAGCTTGTACAAGACTTAAGAAATCAAACTTTGTTTGTTGATACAGGTGTTCACAAATGTACTGTACAATAAAACCAATCAAATGGAAATAGATCATCACCAAAATGTAATCAATTTCTTCATTTAAGTTCAATCCCATCATTGTACTGCTGGTGTAGCTCAGTTTGAGATGAAATTCTTGCAGCAGAGATAAATTTTAACTCCATGTTTTAAGAAACATTTTTTACCCTAAATTACAAAGTTGGCCTATACATATTTGATCAGTTTGTATCATCTTCTAGTTCTACAGCTGTCACACCTGTAGTTGTCTGATAGAGATCCGGAGATCGGACTCGTTGAAGCCATAAGGGATGTTCCAGCCGATGGGGCCCATCTTCCTCCTCTCCTGCACCAGGCCATGGAAGAAACACAGCCCAAACAACAGCTTCTCAAATTGCTGAAACAAACAAGCAAGTACCTCACTCCAGGTCAAAAGCAACATATGTGAGTGAGTGAGTGAGTGAGTATGGTTTTACGCCGCTTTTAGCAATGTTCCAGCAATATCACGGTGGGGGACACCAGAAATGGGCTTCACACATTGTACCCATGTAGGGAATCGAACCCGGGTCTTCTGTGTGACGATTGAATGCTTTAACCACTAGGCTACCCCACCACCCCGATGTATATAAACGACAGCACAAAATATAATGTGTCTAGACTGTAATTGTTTTTTGGTGAGGCAACTGACCAGTTCCTTTCCGGGACATCCCCGGAAGAATTCCTCGTCACTGATGGGGTCGTTGAGGTAGGACTGCAGCAGGTTCTGGCGGAGGCCAGTGGGAGGCTCATTGGTCATCTTCACACCGTTCTGCAGCACTGTCACAGGGAACTGAAACATATCATCCAAAAGTTAACTTTCTCTACCAGGTTATCATTATACATATTTCATAAACTCATGTGTTACTGATATCAAATGAGAGTGGTGTCTGGGTAAATGTTACGGAAGAGTGTGTGAGTTTGTTCTGCTAGTTCTGATGGTCTGAAGGGTACTGGTGAGTGACAGTCTGAACTTGGGGTGAGTAAAAGTAGCAGTTTTAACATACCTTGTCTGAGGGGTGGCTGGTGAGTGGCAGTGTTATGCCCGTTCTGCTGCTTGACATACCTTGTCTGAGGGGTGGCTGGTGAGTGGCAGTGTAATGCCTGTTCTGCTGCTTGACATACCTTGTCTGAGGGGTGGCTGGTTAGTGGCAGTGTTATGCCCGTTCTGCTGGTTGACATACCTTGTCTGAGGGGTGGCTGGTGAGTGGCAGTGTAATGCCTGTTCTGCTGCTTGACATACCTTGTCTGAGGGGTGGCTGGTGAGTGGCAGTGTAATGCCTGTTCTGCTGGTTGACATACCTTGTCTGAGGGGTGGCTGGTGAGTGGCAGTGTAATGCCTGTTCTACTGGTTGACATACCTTGTCTAAGGGGTGGCTGGTGAGTGGCAGTGTAATGCCTGTTCTGCTGGTTGACATACCTTGTCTGAGGGGTAGCTGGTGAGTGGCAGTGTTATGCCTGTTCTGCTGGTTGACATACCTTGTCTGAGGGGTGGCTGGTGAGTGGCAGTGTAATGCCTGTTCTGCTGGTTGACATACCTTGTCTAAGGGGTGGCTGGTGAGTGGCAGTGTAATGCCTGTTCTGCTGGTTGACATACCTTGTCTGAGGGGTAGCTGTTGAGTGGCAGTGTTATGCCTGTTCTGCTGCTTGACATACCTTGTCTGAGGGGTAGCTGGTGAGTGGCAGTGTAATGCCTGTTCTGCTGGTTGACATACCTTGTCTGAGGGGTGGCTGGTGAGTGGCAGTGTAATGCCTGTTCTGCTGGTTGACATACCTTGTCTAAGGGGTGGCTGGTGAGTGGCAGTGTAATGCCTGTTCTGCTGGTTGACATACCTTGTCTGAGGGGTGGCTGGTGAGTGGCAGTGTAATGCCTGTTCTGCTGGTTGACATACCTTGTCTGAGGGGTAGCTGGTGAGTGGCAGTGTAATGCCTGTTCTGCTGGTTGACATACCTTGTCTGAGGGGTAGCTGGTGAGTGGCAGTGTAATGCCTGTTCTGCTGGTTGACATACCTTGTCTGAGGGGTAGCTGGTGAGTGGCAGTGTAATGCCTGTTCTGCTGGTTGACATACCTTGTCTGAGGGGTGGCTGGTGAGTGGCAGTGTAATGCCTGTTCTGCTGGTTGACATACCTTGTCTGAGGGGTAGCTGGTGAGCCACAGTCTGAACTCGGGGTGAGTGTTCTCAGTGTTGAAGTCTTCACATATCTTCTCGAGGGCAGTCATCCAGGAGACAGCCAGATGACAGTTTTGCAGCAGTACCCATGTACCATCTGCCCGGGCCTTCTCTATCATCTTAGAAGCAATAGGACCCTGGGAAACAGTGGATGAAAGTTAGCATCCTCATGTACAATAATGTGATTTAAAGGCTTCAGTTCTATATACCATAGTTTTCAATTTAATGAATTAATCATAATATTTTAATCTCTCACTATACAGTTGTGTTGAACTTTGATGGGTGGAAAAGATGGTTGTCTCAAAGTAAAAGCATGGTCCTTGCGTGTTCCTTCTTTATTCATCATAACTTAACCTCCGATGTGTCGAATCTGATGTCTTGACGTCATTTTCCAGTCCAAAACATGTACTTCAAGAATGTATTTTGTTGCTTAATTTTTATTATGTGTATTAGGGCTGGGACGATACACAAGGTCACGATACGATACGTATCACGATAGTGGGGTCACGATACGATACGTACGATACCATACAAAAAATAACATCACAAGCTGTGGAAGATGATGAAAGTTTAATGTAAAATAGTTCTCATCAAATAACTCATATTTTCCTTCAGAACATGTGTCAAACACAGCACATGTCACTCAATAGCAAGACTCAAAACACCTGAGTTAAGGAGCCTGACTAAATACCTTGATTTTCTGCAATAAAAATGCATTCTAAATGTCATCTGAACTGCAGAACTATTTGGTAAAAACAACCACTGGTTTGTGATTTTCTCACAATGATCAATGAAAGGCAAATTGTCTGAAACTCTGAACTTGAATAATCAACATCACACTAATTAATAAATCACAAAGTCAGACATGTTTAACTGATGTCTGAACATTAACTATTTCAAACAATGGAAGTTGTAGCTAGCTACAGATCTCAAACAAACTGAAATATGCTCAGTTTTATGCTGTAATGTAACCTAAACCTGATACTGTTGCCTAGATTACAGACACACTAATATCACAGTTCACAGTACTCCCTTAACTCTTTCAACACCAGTCAACCAGAAGTGTTTACTGCTGGGACACCGAGTTCCCAGAGACTCTTGTGTGATAGATGAAGCCAACATTTATCTGCTTGTAAAATATATTTGCTACTACATGTTATACACCATTTGAAAGGTCTGATCCTATGAATTCTAAATATGAAAGTTATGTTTTCACATTATTTAAAATAATGCATTTGCAACTTAATTAAGTTCGTTGTAAATAAAAAATGTAAGCTAACACGTTGTTAACATCCAGATTAAGGACGAAGGAAGCGAAAACGATTTTCGGAAAATATAATATTTCATAAAATCCACTTACCTATTTCTATTTTATTTTCATTGTTTACGTAATTGGAAAATCATTTTTAAAAGAATTATAAATAGTTTCTGTCATCACCCATTTCCCGATAACAGCGGCTGTCTGCTAAAACATGAAGAAATACCCCCGTTTTCGAGGCTTCGTATGAATAACACGTTGTTGAAGAATGGCATATGACACATCGCTAGAAAACTTATTCTTTCATCTACACGCTCGTAACATCGCTTGTTTTTTTGTCGTAATTATGACAAGCGATTTCATTGGATTAAAATTGGTTTCAAAAGATCGCTTTCTTGCCGAAATCTGCTACAAGTTTCGTGATTGGTCAATTTTGAGCACGTGACCTAAGACAGCCAATCAAATTACAGCTGTGATACCAAGCTCGTGTTTGATAAAATTCAGAAGTTGGCGAAAGATTTTTCTTAAATCGTGTTATTCTGAACGTTTTAAGCAGGAAATCACGATATATATTTAAAATATGGAACTTCGTGAATGTATCGTGCTAGGTTACGAGCTGTGACAAAGATTTTTCATGCATATATTTTTGCATTAAACATCGTGTCCGAGCCGAGAATTAAAGGCGACGAAAGTCGATATGTCATTTGACCTGCATTACACACGATCGCACAAAAAGATGGAAATAATAACTTAGATGTAAGTTTGAATACTTTTAGATACATTTTTGTTGATTTTTTTTATTACTTTGTATAATATATTTAAAGATTTGTTTAAAATGTCTTTATTTGTATCATCGCTTGATTTTCTTTACTGACTGCGTTGGAACAAAACGGACGATGTAAACAGCGGCAAATACGTTTTGTTACTCGTAGTATATCAGCTGTGTATCGTTTTGTATCGATACATAGACCCACGAATCGATAGTCGTATCGAAATGTAATGTATCGTGATACATCGATGTATCGGTGAATCGTACCAGCCCTAATGTGTATGTATATTATACATTTAATAATACATAAATGTACATATATTACTACTATTCCATTATTGCCAATAACGATAAAAGTAATGTTGGACATTTGTTTCATTTCCTCGTTTGTTTGTCACATGTTTTGTGTTATTCTTTCTTCATGCCAATCAGTTTATTTTTTGGTTGTGTTGAACCTTGGATAACTCGAAGTATTTCCTTCGGTCCCTTCACCTTCAACACAGCGGTGTTTGGCTGTATTTCACTACCATTGACATATGCCACCACAACACAAACTCATTGTGAAAGCTGAAAACTGCTTGTCCTTGAATGTCAGAATGACATATCCTCCATCTTTTTGAAAATAAAATGCATAATGACCTTAGGCATTAAATAATAAAGATAACTGCACATTCTTATTAACTGGTGTAATATTTTAAAAACATGCATATTTGAAAAATGGTTCAAAGATTTTCTATGAAAAATATGTCTTTTTCAAATATGCATTAAGTAGAGTTATTTTTCTATATTGTCACCTGTCCCTGCCCAAGGGAGATGGAGTTAAACTTGTTGCCACCATATCCCTTGTCATCGGCAAACTTGAGCAGGCTCATGGTGGGGTCAGCGCCGGGTGACAGGACAAAGATGAGAGGGGTCGTCTGGTTGGAGTCAACATAACTCTTGGCAAGGTCAAATGGTGGAGGCTCCACAAACTTCTTCCCAAGCTTGTCCATCACAAAGTCTGTGATGGCCGGAGCAATCTGTGCATGCAATAGGGGTCATATCTACTCTTGTTTCATACCAACCAACAAATAGAAACCAAGTCAAGACTAGGACATAAGTGCAAACACTGAAATGTTCATACTGACTGTCAGTTATCATGATTATAGAAGTAAATAATTAAAGTTTTCAAATATATAACTCTAAAGTTTATACAAAACAGTCTTATACAAGTTCCATCTGCTTGCTGTAAGAAGCAAACTGGATGTGTATTGGGTGGACAAAAGGTCTGATTCCACAAAGTGATCATCATATAAAGCCAATCATAACTCACAAACTCTAACATAATTTACAACAGTTGTGGTGCTAGGATCACTTTGTGGAATCACTCTGAAGACAGGGCCTGGATGCACAAGACTGGCACCTCCACATCAAGGACACTACAATATCAAAAACAGCTGTACATCAGTTGGCCAGTCCAGCAGAGACTGTCAGCTGTCACCTACAACACGGTATTGACGTCAGTGTGTACCTTGTCTGGACGGATACAGCGGAGCACAATCATCTTCTGAAACTCATTCAGCTGAGAGTGATATGGATCTGGCAGCTCCGCCTTGTTCGGTTCCTTGTTGTTGTAGAACTCACGCCATTTGTCAATGTTCTTCATGAAGTGCTCCCTGTTGCAAGAAATAGTTGTATCTGAGGTTCAGAATTCATTCCGACAGCAACACTTTCACCTTAGTTATTTTTTCACCTCTAATTATAATTGCAGATAACTATTAAATACTGACATTCCTAATTATAATATTCCACAAATTGAGATAATAATGTTACTCATTTGTTTTTAAAAGCATGTCCTTACTTGAACTTTTTGAAATGTTTTAAGTCTGAAAGGCGACAGATCTCATCCCAACTCTTGTCAGACAGCCATGAAGGTGCTGGGTTGGCCAGCTTGTTGTCCAGTCCCACACCACCGGTAAGGAAGAACATGAACTCTTCCAGGTCAAGGTCGTTACGAGCTCTGCAGGACACACATGACACTCTCAGTATACATCATACCTGGCCAATAAAGCCATGATATCTACCCCCACATACTTGACCAGTGTACCTGTAGCCATCATAACTAGCCCATATACCCGGCTACCATAACTTACCCACATACCCAGCAATCATGACTAACCCACATACCCAGCTACCATAACTAACCCACATACCCAGCAATCATATCTAACCCACATACCCAGCAATCATATCTAACCCACATACCTAGCAATCATGACTTATCCACATACCCAGCCATCATAGCTAACCCACATACCTAGAAATCATGACTAACCCACATACCTAGTAATCATAACTTACCCACTGGGTTAGTTATGATTGCTAGGTATGTGGGTTAGCTATGATGGCTAGGTATGTGGGTTAGTTATGATGGCTAGGTATGCATACCCAGCAATCATAACTAGTCCACATACTTAGCCATCATAACTAGTCTACATACCTAGCCATCATAACTAGTCCACATACCTAGCCATCATAACTAGTCCACATACCTAGCCATCATAAATAGCCCACATGCCTCCTCCTCATCATAACTAGTCCACATACCCAGCCATCATAACTAGCCCAAATACCTAGCCACCATAACCAGCCCACATAACTAGTCCACATTCCTAGCCACCATAACTAGCCCAAATACCTCATCATCATCAAAACTAGTCCACAATTAGCCCATCAACTAGTCTAATGTCGAAGTCATGAAACAATAAGTGGGCCATGCTAAATTAAGACAGGTACACAAAATACAAAATAAACAATAAATATAAAATGTAAACTATCATTCATTCCACTTGTAAGACATTAACCATGGTCCTCATCACTTAAACCATGGCCATCACATGCATAAGACTTCTACAGTACATTTGCACACAACATGGGCAACCATTGAGACTTAATATTCAACTAAACACAGTGCCAAATATTAATGGAACATTAACAACAAACAAAACACACAGTGCTTGTGCAATTATTAATAGCCTTAATGATTAACAAATATGAGTCGGGTAACACGCCAGCTCAAGCAATATTTGATAGAGGGTACGCTTGTGACTGGGACAATTTCTCCCAGTTTCCTGACAAGCAAAGGGAAATGTCTGAGTTCATTTTCTAGAATGTAGATTCTTTTAACCCTTGCTGGTACCCATCACCAGGTGTACAGAATCTACAACCTAGATTAACAACTAACACAGAGCATTACAAATCTCCATTTCACTATATACTTAAGAGTGAGTCCAAACAGAGTTCCAGAAATATCACCTGGGCCCCCAAAACATGTCACATTTTTTTATGACCCACCCCTCACAATAACAAATGACCAGAACCTAAATATTGTTCAAATTTATAATTATTATATTTAAAAAAATAGAATTGTGTCATTTTGTCTTTTTTCCACCACATAAATTCATAAAAGGCAACACATAAGCTTCACACAGTGCCAACATCTATGAACAATAAACATGCATATTTTCTGAGGTTATTGTAAACAGCTGCCAACAACCAGACACCGCTGCATGTGCTGAAACAAACTGTGTAACAAAACAATGTTTTATATCAAAACAAAACATGCAGAGGTTGTTAAATATGGAGGAAACATCTATCTACACGCTCAGATTAGTATAGAGTTAAAAATGTTGTTAGTTGTCTCAAAGCTAAGCAAAGCAACAGCAAGGTTAGGCAGTATTTAGTTTGTAAATAGATGAAACAAGAAAATGTTAAAACCATGTATATATTTGGCAACAGTGAATAGCCAGGCTGATCTGGAGGTGCCTCCGACCAGGTGTCTTCCCAAACACTAGTATCTGTCCAGTCGGACTCGGTCAATATTAAAGGCTCTCAAGCTGTCACTGTACTTTCACTAAACATACACTCTTAACACAGAATATTTGCATACAATGGAAACCCAGGAAATATTCCAGTCTGAATAAATGGTTTTTGCTTCATCCAGTACTGTTACCTTGTGTCATTCTGGCTTGGGCTAGTAGCCTAATGCTTATTTCTATTCCAATCACTGGTTTGTCTGGTCCAGACTCTCATACTTACAGGCCGCCATCATATAGCTGGAATATTGCTGAGTGCAGTGCAAAACAACAAACAAATCATTTCTATTCCTGTACTATTTAGATTGCATTTCTGCAGATACAAATTATAATATTTTTTTTTTCATTTTCCTGCAAATCTATGTGACTGTCCCTCTTGTCAATGTCAGTAGGTGAGACACATTGCTGCATACTTACAGCAGTATATTTGAGCAGAGAAGGAAAGAGAAGAGCAGCTTGTCTTTTTCAAATAGAGATCTACAGACATTGCAATAGAGGTTATAGGTGAAGTGGTCCGACAGGTAGCGCAATCTTTTTTCCAGGATCTTGGATTTGTTGCTGAAACAGACGAGACGAGTACGTGGAGATGATAGATGGCAGAGATGACAGTGGGCTGCGCACCACCGTCTCACATCCATCAGATGTCGCAATTCCTCTTTCCTAGACACCAGCAGGCTGATTGGAACAGTCTCAGGGTACAAGTTTACATTTGAAACGTAATTGGCAGTGAACACTGCAAAACCACAATAACTTCAAGGATTACAAGTTTTCTGTAACTACACAAGATTTGAGGCAGACTCACAATCCAGAGACATTAAAAGGCCAGTGCAGAAGTAATATGTCTGGATGAGAAAAAGTAGACCTTAATTAAGTCGATAATTTTGTTCAGTAGCATCAACTGAACAACATTGAAATAATTATGATAACGACAGTACAAAAATATTACCACCTGTTCAAAAGGAGTTAGAATATGCCCGGATTCAAGTGTAGTTACTGATCAGAAAAGCTGCCATCCACAAAAGTGATTGCATGTCGCATTCTGTGCTAGTCACCTGATGGAGAGTGAGGGATGGTGGAGCAGCCACAGCTGTGAAAGATGGTCATGCCTAGCCGCTGCTAATGCTGCAATGCCACTTAGTACTTACAGCAATTGTTTGGCACACAGGAGAAACGCAAACACCAACTTGTGCTTGGCAAATATGGACCGAGAGACATTGTCATACAACTGATAGGAAAAATAGTCTTTCAGGTAGCGAAGACGCTTCTCCAAGATCTTAGACTTATTACTGCAAAAACAAAGCTTATTAAAACATGCAAATCCTTACAAACTACAGATGATATTTTAGAATTCAGAATTATGTCAAAACCTCATCTTCAAAAATAATTAACAAATCTATACTAATTATGCTGAGGCTTTGGATTATTGACATCATTATACATGCTTGTTTGAAATAAAATATTTTAAATTTAGTGAACAAATAATAAAAACATGGAAAATTCTAAGAATTTTATTTGTTTTCACCATTCCACAAGTGACCTTAGTAAAACAGTTAACCAGCCCTTCTACTGTTTTCCAACAGCTGGATGGCTTAAAATATCTCACCTGTCCTGTATGGACATGACGAAGAGGTTGACGAACCAGATGAGGGAGTACTGGTACATAGGGTCTATGTTGGGCAGGTCAGCGATGGAGAAGAACAAGATGGAGGAATGTTTAGCTATTGGTCGGTACCCCATACGAGAACTCTCAATCTTCTTCTCCGTCTCCTCTGCGATCTGATAAAGGAAATTACAACTGCATATAGCCCATGAAGGTGGAATTCCTTTGTCCAAACAAAATGAGAGTCTTCCCTTCAGTTTAAATTCCTCTTAAATAGCTAATTTGATGGCAGCATCACTGATGCCAATATTCATAGAATAGTACTTTTTTTCAGTCATTGTTGGTAGGCATATTTAAATAATTATATGTAAAATTGTAGGTTACAAAATGCAAAGTTGCGGTTACACCAATATTCAAATAATGTGTGGCAATACATTTCCGGGCACAAAACATGATAGAAGTCTACAAAGAATGTATCTTCAGTTTTGGGGACAACAGAGAGTTTGGAATTTGGTGCTTTTTTATATACAACTGTGACGTCATATCTTTTTGTCTCACAATGAGCGATATGACGTCATAATGGTGACGTGCGGTGTAGAACAAATGCTTTGCAAGGCTTGCTTAGTTTTCTTTAAGGGTGCCCACCTCATGTTGGCTTACCAAGTTGCTGTGCTATATGCTTTCAATACCTAAAATCTACAGGTAACCTAACTTAGTATGTTTATCTCCTAACTAGCATTCATGAAATAATATGTTAAACCCTATCAGACTGAGCTTAACCTTAGTTTATATAATTATATTAATAGAACATTTCAGTTTGTTTACCAGAACAATTGCATGATGTAAATTGAAAATATGAATTTATAAGTAGTATTTGTCAGTAGCTAAAACAAAGTGAATTAATGTACAACAACAATTCCAAATACTGAGAAATACTTGTCTCATTTATATATATCAGAGCAGAGATTACCTTCTGTTTCTTGGAGATTTCATCAGAGAGTATTTTGGAGGAGTCGAGGATCTGGATGGCACTTTCGTCCTCTAGAATGTTGCCCTCAGAGGCTGACAGAGTGTGCAGGATCTTGTCCTCAATCTCCTTCAGCTGCTTCCTGTTGGCTGCACTTGTCACAATCAGAGCCTGTCTCTCCTCCTCCAGCTCAGGCCTGTAACACACAACATACTCTCTTGTCAGACACATGGAGACTGTTTTCAGACACATGGAGACTCTATTGCCAGACACATGGAGACTATCTTGTCCGACACATGGAACCTCTTGTCAGACACATGGAGATGCCAGACACATCGAGATATTCTTCTTTTCATGATGCATATATCCTACATACCTTAGGCTTAACTCTTCAATGAACGTCATGTTACAGATACTGAGACCCATGATAATGATGGCAAGGACTACACCATGTATGTAAGTGACTATTGCCATGGGGTACGTAGCACTCTCTGGCCAACTGACCAGTCCACTCACCTCTCCTTGGCCACCACTATTCCCAGCAGCTGGTCCTCCAGACCCTCTGGGGTGATCATGAAGTTGAGCAGTGACACCTTGGTGGAAATCTCAGGCAGGTAGTGCGGGTTGCGGAGCTTGGTGGTGATGTAGAAGCGGAAGTCCTGGCTGTACTCAATCACATTGTCTCCGAGTCGGATCATGTCAACGCCAGCTAATAAACAAAACAAAAGTCTTACTCACCAGCTAATTTCACCTTTTTTATGCTTTATTTACTCTGATTTCAAATCTGTTTTAGATTTAACAAGTGTTTCAAATGTAAAATAAATACTTAGTTCAGAGTCAGTAATCATAGGCTAAATAATAAAGGAGAACATATAATACACATAGTTCTTTGTTACACAGAGCATTACACACAGGTCAACACAGTTTAACTATAAGCTCTCATTGATTCTCAGTAATCTGGATTTTAGAAAACACCAAATGAGGTTACTGATATGAAAAAGAAGGAAAGAATCTGATGAGACATTTCAAGACATGAAGGTGTGGAAGTGCCAGCTGGCTGTGAGGGATGAACCAGCTGAGAGAGGAAAACACGGAGCCATGTGACGGCCCGGTCACAACCAGGGGACCGATCTCACTTACGTCAGTAATAACATGGACAACAGTCATATGCACACACACACAGCAACATGATGGCAAGAGTGGGGCTGGAGATTGATGTGGAGTTAGGTTAAGGTGACAGCCGTCACAGGATTAACATGGACAACAGTCTGATAATCATACACACACAGCAACTTGATGTCGAGTGTTGGGGTTGGAGATTGGGGGGTGGAGGTGTTTGGGGTGGAGGTGTGTGGGGGGGGAGAGGTTGGGGGGGGGGGGGGGGGGGGGAGTTGGGGGGAAGGAGAGACAGATTGGGGTGGAGATTGAGGGTAGATGGGGTAGACAAAATACTGGAGGGGGTGGAGGGGCAGGTGGGTGGCAGATTGGGTTGAGGTTGAAACAGGGGTGGAGATGGGGATGGAGATGGGGATAGATATTGGAGGGGAGATGGAGGGCAGATGAGGTGGAGATGGAGCGGAGATGGGGGAAGGCATGGGGGTAGATATGGGGTGGACATAGGGTAGAGATGGGGCGGAGATGGGGTTGGAGATGGGGGAAGGCAGGAGTAGAGATGGGGGTGGAGATGGGGTTGGAGATGGGGGTGGTGATGGGGGAGGACATGGGGATGGACATGGGGTCGAGATGGGGTTGGAGATGGGGGTAGAGATGGGGGTGGACATGGGGTGGATATGGGGGTGGACATGGGGAGGAGATGGGGCAGAGATGGGGGAGGGCATGGGGGTTGACATGGGGAGGAGATTGGGTTGGAGATGGGGTGGTGATGGGGGAGGGCATGGGGGTTGACATGGGGAGGAGATTGGGTTGGAGATGGGGGTAGAGATGGGGTGGATATAGGGGAGGACATGGGGGAGGGCATGGGGGTGGACATGGGGAGGAGATGGGGGAGGAGATGGGGTTGGAGATGGGGGTGGTGATGGGGGTGGTGATGGGGGAGGGCATGGGGGTAGAGATGGGGTGGATATAGGGGAGGACATGGGGGAGGGCATGGGGGTGGACATGGGGAGGAGATGGGGGAGGAGATGGGGTTGGAGATGGGGGTGGTGATGGGGGTGGTGATGGGGGAGGGCATGGGGGTAGAGATGGGGTGGATATAGGGGAGGACATGGGGGAGGGCATGGGGGAGGACATGGGGGAGGGCATGGGGGTGGACATGGGGAGGAGATGGGGGAGGAGATGGGGTGGAGATGGGGTGGAGATAGGGTTGGAGATTGGGGTGGAGATGGGGGGAGGACATGGGAGTGGAGATGGGGGTGGAGAAGGGGGAGGACATGGGGGTGGAGATGGGGGAGGAGATGGGGGTAGATATGCAGGTGGAGATGCTGGTGGAGATGTTGGAGGAGATGGGTGGGGACAGGGGGGTGGACATGGGGTCGAGATTGGGGGGGGGGGGGGGGGGGGTGTTAGGAGACATCACAGGACAAACAAGGACAACAGTCAGATATTTACACAGCAACATTACAGCAGGGGTGGAGGTTGGTTCAGGATGGACAAATCCCACATACAACACAGATCATCCTATCTAGACCTACACATACATAACACTATCAAAGCAAACATCTGATTCATGACTATCTTGCCAGCATCTCAAGGTAAACTGCAATATCTGAATCAGCAACAACAGCAGTGTGTGCAGCTTGCATCGCGCAGGGAGTGATAACGGTATCGTGTATATGAAGCCAGTCTTGTGATGTTAGCATGGCGCAAGGAAATGAAGGTTTAGATTATGGAGGATGTTCTAAGAAGCCTTCATTTCTCTGCAAGGCTTGTCAAAAGCACTTGGAATTCAGTGCCAACCATCTTCACTGCAGTGCTGGTGTTCCACAATGTGAAATACGGTTGAGCTGGGTTTGTTTCTGAATCATTATACAAGCTGACACAAGCAGCAACAAATACAGCAGCTCCAGGACAGACGAGGCCAGAGCAATGATCTGCTGCTGGAACACAGCTGACAGCAACACGAGGCACCTCGGTGGAACACAGTGTGTGACGTCGGACAATAGCAGGCTCTACTACCTGACTCTTCTCCAGGTGGCGCCCCATCAAAGATACTAACATGTTCAGTCATTCTACGGCCTTGTGAAATAAGTAGAAAATAACAAAAAAAAATATGAATTTCTTTCAATTTTGTCACGTTTCTCTGTCACATTGGCAACATTGATAAAAATGCGAGCCAAGATTACACTGACTTTGCCAAACGCCCCAACTCTAGGCCAACATCACAGATTTTCATCCAATCATTATGAATTAATGGTACAAAAAGAAAATTCCAACAAAGTAGCTGACAACACAGATACACACATCAACATTAAAACACATAAATAGAGGTGACTCAGACTTTTCACTGTGGGTATTCCAGACCAGCTCAGTTGACTTTGGTCTATGAACATTTTCATCTGATCTCTTAAATGACTTGTGGTCACATGATGCCTTTATGCATTACCATTATTAATATTATTATTATCCATAATCTTAAAAACAAATAATAACAATCAATGACTGACCACATTTGGACACTTGTTATGTCAAGAGAATCTTTATGATATACATATAGCTTCCCACTCTAAATTTCAAGACCTGTGACATTCATGTGTAATTTCCACGACATAAGCATTCAGTGTCATACATACTGATATATACATGTGAAAGGTACATGTTTTTATTTTTCATTCATATACAATGACTTAACATCAATCGCACATGACAGATATTTCTGTCACTTTCAGACACGAATGCATCAGAAATGAGAAACTTTCATCACTGCTCATGTAGATGGCCACAGTTAACATACACAGGACACAGCCTCCACATGTCGGTGTTGAAGCCAACGCAGTGGGAGGACAGAGTAGATGGCCACAGTTAACATACACAGGACACAGCCTCCACATGTCGGTGTTGAAGCCAACGCAGTGGGAGGACAGAGTAGATGGCCACAGTTACATACACAGGACACAGCCTCCACATGTCGGTGTTGAAGCCAACGCAGTGGGAGGACAGAGTAGATGGCCACAGTTAACATACACAGGACACAGCCTCCACATGTCAGTGTTGAAGCCAACGCAGTGGGAGGACAGAGTAGATGGCCATGCACAGTTAACATACACAGGACACAGCCTCCACATGTCGGTGTTGAAGCCAACACAGTGGGAGGACAGAGTAGATGGCCACAGTTAACATACACAGGACACAGCCTCCACATGTCAGTGTTGAAGCCAACGCAGTGGGAGGACAGAGTAGATGGCCACAGTTAACATACACAGGACACAGCCTCCACATGTCAGTGTTGAAGCCAACACAGTGGGAGGACAGAGTAGATGGCCACAGTTAACATACACAGGACACAGCCTCCACATGTCAGTGTTGAAGCCAACGCAGTGGGAGGACAGAGTAGATGGCCATGCACAGTTAACATACACAGGACACAGCCTCCACATGTCGGTGTTGAAGCCAACGCAGTGGGAGGACAGAGTAGATGGCCATGCACAGTTAACATACACAGGACACAGCCTCCACATGTCGGTGTTGAAGCCAACGCAGTGGGAGGACAGAGTAGATGGCCATGCACAGTTAACATACACAGGACACAGCCTCCACATGTCGGTGTTGAAGCCAACGCAGTGGGAGGACAGAGTAGATGGCCATGCACAGTTAACATACACAGGACACAACCTCCACATGTCAGTGTTGAAGCCAACGCAGTGGGAGGACAGAGTAGATGGCCACAGTTAACATACACAGGACACAGCCTCCACATGTCAGTGTTGAAGCCAACACAGTGGGAGGACAGAGTAGATGGCCACAGTTAACATACACAGGACACAGCCTCCACATGTCGGTGTTGAAGCCAACGCAGTGGGAGGACAGAGTAGATGGCCACAGTTAACATACACAGGACACAGCCTCCACATGTCAGTGTTGAAGCCAACACAGTGGGAGGACAGAGTAGATGGCCACAGTTAACATACACAGGACACAGCCTCCACATGTCGGTGTTGAAGCCAACACAGTGGGAGGACAGAGTAGATGGCCATGCACAGTTAACATACACAGGACACAGCCTCCACATGTCAGTGTTGAAGCCAACGCAGTGGGAGGACAGAGTAGATGGCCACAGTTAACATACACAGGACACAGCCTCCACATGTCGGTGTTGAAGCCAACGCAGTGGGAGGACAGAGTAGATGGCCACAGTTAACATACACAGGACACAGCCTCCACATGTCGGTGTTGAAGCCAATAACACAGTGGGAGGACAGAGTAGATGGCCACAGTTAACATACACAGGACACAGCCTCCACATGTCGGTGTTGAAGCCAACGCAGTGGGAGGACAGAGTAGATGGCCATGCACAGTTAACATACACAGGACACAGCCTCCACATGTCAGTGTTGAAGCCAACGCAGTGGGAGGACAGAGTAGATGGCCACAGTTAACATACACAGGACACAGCCTCCACATGTCGGTGTTGAAGCCAACGCAGTGGGAGGACAGAGTAGATGGCCATGCACAGTTAACATACACAGGACACAGCCTCCACATGTCGGTGTTGAAGCCAACGCAGTGGGAGGACAGAGTAGATGGCCACAGTTACATACACAGGACACAGCCTCCACATGTCGGTGTTGAAGCCAATAACACAGTGGGAGGACAGAGTAGATGGCCACAGTTAACATACACAGGACACAGCCTCCACATGTCAGTGTTGAAGCCAACGCAGTGGGAGTACAGAGTAGATGGCCATGCACAGTTAACATACACAGGACACAGCCTCCACATGTCGGTGTTGAAGCCAACGCAGTGGGAGGACAGAGTAGATGGCCATGCACAGTTAACATACACAGGACACAGCCTCCACATGTCGGTGTTGAAGCCAACGCAGTGGGAGGACAGAGTAGATGGCCATGCACAGTTAACATACACAGGACACAGCCTCCACATGTCGGTGTTGAAGCCAACGCAGTGGGAGGACAGAGTAGATGGCCACAGTTACATACACAGGACACAGCCTCCACATGTCGGTGTTGAAGCCAATAACACAGTGGGAGGACAGAGTAGATGGCCACAGTTAACATACACAGGACACAGCCTCCACATGTCGGTGTTGAAGCCAACGCAGTGGGAGGACAGAGTAGATGGCCACAGTTAACATACACAGGACACAGCCTCCACATGTCGGTGTTGAAGCCAACGCAGTGGGAGGACAGAGTAGATGGCCACAGTTACATACACAGGACACAGCCTCCACATGTCGGTGTTGAAGCCAATAACACAGTGGGAGGACAGAGTAGATGGCCACAGTTACATACACAGGACACAGCCTCCACATGTCGGTGTTGAAGCCAACGCAGTGGGAGGACAGAGTAGATGGCCACAGTTAACATACACAGGACACAGCCTCCACATGTCGGTGTTGAAGCCAACACAGTGGGAGGACAGAGTAGATGGCCATGCACAGTTAACATACACAGGACACAGCCTCCACATGTCGGTGTTGAAGCCAACGCAGTGGGAGGACAGAGTAGATGGCGAGGGACAGACACATACAGCAGACATGTACAGCAAGGTTACACACTGAATGGTATGGTTGATGTAAACATTAAACAAAGTGGAATATGAACTACACACTGGTCAATACTGATTGAATGTTCTGGCTATATATATTTATTGAATATCATACTCATAATGCACAAATACAAAATATGGATTTTAGGATGAGGATGAGGTATGATAAAAGCCCTTTTTGGTACACTGGAAAAGTAAAAGAACCATCAGGAATGTCACCAGACATACACTGACTGAACATGACAGAGTGAGACAATTAATCTTTTCTGTATCTTGCAAATTTTGAACTCAACAAATCAGATCTAAGCAAATTTGTAACCCAAGATTCGCACCACATTTTGTACCTACATTTCTTTAAAAATCAGCATGGTCAAAAGACTGGTTCATGTTGAGGCGATTTTCACAATAATTTAAAAAATTTTTTTTTTATAGTTCTAGTGGCCTTTCCAGTTTGCCAAAGATGCTCCTTATAATAACTCATCCTTTCCTTAAAACACAAAATTTCACAATATATAAACATAAAACTAAGAAAAGACTGTTATGTTAGATAATTCTGACAAAGTAATCTACTGTACCGCACATGGAGCTGACTATCTCTAAGTCCCATGCTGACTACTGTATTACCAAGCATGTTTTGCAGCCCTGATGACTGTCTAGTAATACAGTACATGTGCCTACCTGTCTTCATGCTGGCTAACATTACACACATATACCTCAGACCTCTGCCTACACACTTACACCAGATACAGCACATCCCCATGCTGGCTAACATTACACACATATACCTCAGACCTCTGCCTACACACTTACACCAGATATAGCACATCCCCATGCTGGCTAACATTACACACATATACCTCAGACCTCTGCCTACACACTTACACCAGATACAGCACATCCCCATACTGGCTAACATTACACACATATACCTCAGACCTCTGCCTACTCACTTACACCAGATATAGCACATCCCCATGCTGGCTAACATTACACACATATACCTCAGACCTCTGCCTACTCACTTACACCAGATATAGCACATCCCCATGCTGGCTAACATTACACACATATACCTCAGACCTCTGCCTACTCACTTACACCAGATATAGCACATCCCCATGCTGGCTAACATTACACACATATACCTCAGACCTCTGCCTACACACTTACACCAGATATAGCACATCCCCATGCTGGCTAACATTACACACATATACCTCAGACCTCTGCCTACACACTTACACCAGATACAGCACATCCCCATGCTGGCTAACATTACACACATATACCTCAGACCTCTGCCTACACACTTACACCAGATATAGCACATCCCCATGCTGGCTAACATTACACACATATACCTCAGACCTCTGCCTACACACTTACACCAGATATAGCACATCCCCATGCTGGCTAACATTACACACATATACCTCAGACCTCTGCCTACACACTTACACCAGATATAGCACATCCCCATGCTGGCTAACATTACACACATATACCTCAGACCTCTGCCTACACACTTACACCAGATACAGCACATCCCCATGCTGGCTAACATTAAACACATATACCTCAGACCTCTGCCTACTCACTTACACCAGATATAGCACATCCCCATGCTGGCTAACACCACAGGAACCTGTATGGCAGGGTGCTGTCTAGAGCAGTATGCTGATCTTATACAAGCACTGACGGATCCAGAGGAGTGTGCGCAACCCTACTTTTGACTTGTGTAAACTCCCTTTTTGTCACTCAGATATAAATGTTTATGTTCATTTCATGACTTTGGTATTGTGTGAACCCCCTTTTCAAAATTCTGGATCCGCCTCTGTTACAAGTGGAACAGTGCATTAGCATGTAAAGTGACAATCATCCATACCTTTCAGTTTCATTACAGTTATCAAACGAAGCAATTTAATCTTGTTTGGCCGCTCAGGCGGATCTATGAAAGATGAAAATGTGTCCTACTACGGATACTTCAAAATATCTCTATATATGATCTACACGTCTCCATCAAGTGAATAGACTTTATACAAAATGAACTGAATACCTACCAGTTTATACAACAAGTATTAATATTAATTATTATACTAGATTTTATACTGAAAAGTCAGCAATATTACAGCTATATCACAGTGGGATGACAGCACATCAAACAGAGAGCATGGATAATAACCCAGACATGGTGATGACACACCAGTCAGGTTCCAACCCAATCCACACCTACAGGTATGTGAGTGAGTGAGTGAGTGAGTATGGTTTTACGCCGCTTTTAGCAATATTCCAGCAATATCACGGCGGGCGACACCAGAAATGGGCTTCACACATTGTACCCATGTCGGGAATCGAACCCGGGTCTTCTGCGTGACGAGCGAACGCTTTAACCACTAGGCTACCCGACCGCCCTCTACAGGTATGTATGACATGAGTTCTGGATACTATTTATCATCCAAAACTGGCTCCCATAGGAGATATCTCTTGGATGAGATCAAGCGATATCTACACTGTAGATATCGCTGCAATGAAATTACATCACAATGCTTTGCAGACCATTGTGACATCACTGGTTACCATGACGTCACAATCAAATGACATCACTTATGACTCTGCTACTGAAGCTGTTTGCAGTACTTTTTACACTGAAGACACTGCTAATTACTGTCTACAAATTGAAAAAGTTGAAAGAATGATGTTGGATAATAAATAAAATCTCACCCTCGTGTCTTTTTATATCAAATATATCAACACTCGTGGATAAAAGTAGCAAGCCTCGGAAATTTTTAACTTTTATTAACTCGTGTTGATATATTTGATATCAAAAGACACTCGGGTGAGATTCTCTATATATTCTCCCAAGAATATTCACAGATTAGAGTGAGAGAGTGAGTGAGTATGGTTTGACGCCGCTTTTAGCAATATTCAAGCATATATATATCACGGCGGGGGACACCAGAAATCGGCTTCACACATTGTACCCATGTCGGGATTCGAACCCGGGTCTTGGGCGTGACGAGCGAACGCTTTAACCACTAGGCTACCCGACCGCCTCCATAGATTAGACTACCCAAAACACAGACAGATCTTTGTTAAATGGAGAGAAGCCTTGAATTAAAAGAAGCCCTAATTGTCAGCTGAGTATATACTGACATCTATCTATGTATACTGTATATATAGCAGTCTGTGAGTGGAATACAGGGTGAAGTACAAGATATAGACATGTGGTGAGCTGCAGCTAAAGGTCTTACCAGCATCGTCTACTATGGTTTACCAAATCAAAAGTAAGAGTTCAGGAGAGAAGTTCACAGAAAGAAATAAGCTCATAAATTGGAGAATATAATCTGATAACTTCATACCCGACACTGGTTTCAGAAAAAATAAAAGACACATATACATTAATGATTAAATAACAAAATCATCCCTTGATATTATATAGTGAAACCTCAAATACTGACATGCGGATATAACTAAAGAAAGTGCAACTTCATGGCACTGCAGAATCCTTCATTATTGCAGAGACCATCTACCAGGAGATGGAGTCTCTGATTATTCCTCACTATCTGACATGCATTGGAATGCCATTTACTTCCTGACATTGTATATCCAGTTATTCCCCATGAGCACCCTCTCAAAACCTTCCATAACTCATCATACATTTGATGTCCCAAAGTATGTGCAACTATTTTACAAGGTTTCACTGTAAGGGAACAAGATTCCAACCCTAAATCTTTACTTGCATATTTAAATTGTATAAATCATCTATGAAACTTACATAGCCTGCATATATCATTTTCAGTTTGTATCAATTATATAACTTTATTTACCCCTACAAAAAATGAAAAGAAGGTGAGACACAGCATCATGAACTGACCTTGTTTGAATGTCTGTTTCAGCAGCAGGGGCTCCAGGGAGGGATCCAGCTCCTCTGCAACATTCTCCAGCAGCAGGGGGTTCCCAAAGGAGATGCAGTTCTCCAGTGTCCGCATATAGTCTCCGTCACTCAGCTTGATGACAGATAGGTTGCTGTCCTTCTCGGAGTTCTTCACCCACTTGTTGGCCTGACCCTGAGGGTCAATCATCAGAGGCCTGCCATAAAGAGGTGAGTGAGTCAGTTTACATCCTCTTCCAGCATTCTTATGGTACACCAAGACTGGGCTCCATTCATTCTAACCACATGGGGTAAGGTGCGAGGAGTAAAACAGATGGAAGGGTATAACAACAGTTCTCAATACACTCTACATACAGTAGATATGAATGTACCTACAGTCCTTGTTTACAAATTTGAACAAATGTATTCAGCAAAGAACATGAGAACTACCAAAACAAATGGAAGAATATTATAAGAGCTATATATTCAGTGCCATTACTAGTATTATGTTGTTCATGTTTCATGATGCAACACAACTAGAGTTCAAATAGTCATACAATTGAATGTTTTCAACATTAGGATGATTAAACATTTGAGATTATAGATTGAAGTACAGCATTTGTTTCATAGTCTTTACAGTTGTCTAGACAGAAATAGGTTTATGTAGGGATGGGACGGTTAACTCAGGTACTCGGGTCGGGTGGCTCCTGAAGAGGACCCAGGTACCCACAGGACTACCTGGACTTGTGGTTAGTCATGTGATATATTGTTGAACGACAATAACAATCAAACTCCCTGGATACACAAACAAGTCACTAAATGTTCGCATTTCTTTCTGACTATGCATGCATTCATTCTGACTTATATATGTTTGAGTAAAGATAAAGCTTCTGTCAACTTCAGTGATGCATGATCAGATTGTTTTATGCATGTATCTAATTAGTTTTTGCCAGGGCTCATGTAAAACAAAATCTCAATCGTACATTTTGTACCCAACTTGAGACCTACAGTTGGAACCCTGGTAGGGTCAGCTAATAGGGCGGTTGGGTACCCGGGTAATGAATTTGGACTCGTCCCAGACCTAGTCCCAGAGATGTTATTCTGTAACAAATAGGCTATCAGCTACACTTCGATACTCAATAGAGAACTGATTAGGCTGGGCTATTGGCCAAATAAATAGGGAAACAGTCAATTTTATTACTGGCTGATGCGACATTAGAGTTAAAATTTCAACTCACCATCTCCTGGAGTTGGCCACAATGACACCATTATCTATCGAGAAGCTATCTTTAGGCAGGCCGGCAATGTTCCAGGCTTGGATCTTGATGGGCTCCCCAAGTGTCTTGCTAAGGGAGAAATCTGCAGAACATGGAATCTTCTTCTCCTGTGAACACCAGAACAATTTCACAAATTAAACACGCATTGGATTAAATAAAACACTAGTAACAATGAGTCAGTGATACTTTGGACTAGACATGTCCTGTTCACATCACACTGATGAAACAAAATGTGGAAATTATTTGTGTCACCAAAATATCTTTAAAAATAAAATGGCAATAATTTTTTTCTATTTCTTTTACTTTTAATCAACTCAATTGAAATCTGACAATGTGTATGTCCTGAAGTAACTATCATATCTATGAAAAATGACTCGAGAAATGAAACCACCAATACTCACAGTACATATTTTGACCCAGTTAGTTGTGGAGGACTCTCTAAATGCAGATGTGAATGGACCGAGGTAGGCAATGACTCCAGCAGAAATGAGAACATCGCCCAGTAGGTTGTTGTAGATCTGTTGCAGGTTATTGGCAGCCACTGTCCACCGATCCTTTTCACCACCGAGTCCTCCGATCAGCTTCTCAGCCCTCACTAACTTCTTACCGCACAGGTCGACCTGGGTAGACAGTCTCTCCTTCTTCTCTGTCATTTCCTGGAATGTGGACTTCAGGTCGGCCAGACGTTTCTCCACAGCAGCAAGTTCTGCCCTCTTCTCATTCAACAATGCCATGGTTTTTTTCAGTTCATCTTCAGCTTCTGCCAGCTTGGCTTTTTTTGGTGCAACAACTTTGGCAACTCTGTCATAGATCTCCATGGCCAGGATCCACTTACACAGACCTTCTGCAGCAGATGAAGCGTTGGCTACTTTGGCTGGGTCAAACTCAGGGTTACCTATGTACTCCTTTCTGATCTTTTGCATTATGTGTGGCTGTGTGGCAGAAAATGTAGACAATGAGTAAATTGTCAGTGACACCCTACAAGTATAACTGGAATAAATCAGCATGAGGCATTAGTCATTTTTAGTCTTTTTAACTTTGTGTCTGGACATAAGTCCATGGCAATAACGTTTGTCAATAAACAGAGGTTACAATGGTATAATTCAATTTTCAATTAACATTTTGATAATAAAAGACACTCACAGCAATGTTGTCCTTGTCATACACTTTGAGCATGTTGAGGAAGTTCATGTCATTCAGCAACTTTTTGGAAGGTCCCCAGTAGTCAAGGATCTGTGACAGATACAATGACAGGTAACATGTCAAGTCGATCAAATGGATAGGATGGCTAAGAAGAAACATTCACATATGCTTACATTGTAATCTGAACATGACAAAATATGACTGTTTCTTAGTCTGCAGCATGTGATGCATTACCTTCTGTCCTGGCTTGTCAGGGTCATTGATCTTGTCTGCCTTGATGTCTTTCATGATACACACAGCAGCCATCACAACCTTCACTCCATTAGGAGGGTTTTTCATGGACTTTACAATCGTAATTTCAGATGACTGAAATTAGAAATATTGAAACATATTTGAAAATTGTATTGAAATACAAAGTGTAAAACTTCCCAGCACTCGGCTGGCAAATTGGTGTAGCCATCCAATCTTACATACTGACCTTTAGTGTATCGAGGGCAGCCAGGGCAGCCTCCAGGGCGGGAAGAGCCTCCGCCAGGTCAGCTTCACATTCATCCTTCAGGGCCTGGGCTGATGCCGCCTGCTCATTGGCTACTGCCTCGTCAGCCTTCACCTTCTGACTTGTCACCTCTACCTCCTTTGACTCCTTCTCAATGACTACAATCATTTTCTCATTCTCCTCGGAGCTCTTCACCAGCTGCGGCTGCAGTTCCTCCAGCTCCTTCTGCATAGTAGCCACCTGGAGGAGAAGCCAATACATAGCGCAGTATAGTGCTCTGTTAAAGCAGTGTCAGTTAGGGCTGGGACGATACACAAGGTCACGATACGATACGTATCACGATAGTGGGGTCACGATACGATACGTACGATACCATACAAAAAATAACGTCACAAGCTGTGGAAGATGATGAAAGTTTAATGTAAAATAGTTCTCATCAAATAACTCATATTTTCCTTCAGAACATGTGTCAAACACAGCACATGTCACTCAATAGCAAGACTCAAAACACCTGAGTTAAGGAGCCTGACTAAATACCTTGATTTTCTGCAATAAAAATGCATTCTAAATGTCATCTGAACTGCAGAACTATTTGGTAAAAACAACCACTGGTTTGTGATTTTCTCACAATGATCAATGAAAGGCAAATTGTCTGAAACTCTGAACTTGAATAATCAACATCACACTAATTAATAAATCACAAAGTCAGACATGTTTAACTGATGTCTGAACATTAACTATTTCAAACAATGGAAGTTGTAGCTAGCTACAGATCTCAAACAAACTGAAATATGCTCAGTTTTATGCTGTAATGTAACCTAAACCTGATACTGTTGCCTAGATTACAGACACACTAATATCACAGTTCACAGTACTCCCTTAACTCTTTCAACACCAGTCAACCAGAAGTGTTTACTGCTGGGACACCGAGTTCCCAGAGACTCTTGTGTGATAGATGAAGCCAACATTTATCTGCTTGTAAAATATATTTGCTACTACATGTTATACACCATTTGAAAGGTCTGATCCTATGGTTTCTAAATATGAAAGTTATGTTTTCACATTATTTAAAATAATGCATTTGCAACTTAAGTTCGTTGTAAATAAAAAATGTAAGCTAACATGTTGTTAACATCCAGATTAAGGACGAAGGAAGCGAAAACTTGACGATTTTCGGAAAATATAATATTTCATAAAATCCACTTACCTATTTCTATTTTATTTTCATTGTTTACGTAATTGGAAAATCATTTTTAAAAGAATTATAAATAGTTTCTGTCATCACCCATTTTCCGATAACAGCGGCTGTCTGCTAAAACATGAAGAAATACCCCCGTTTTCGAGGCTTCATATGAATAACATGTTCCTCGAAGAATGGCATATGACACATCGCTAGAAAGCTTATTCTTTCATCAACACGCTCGTAACATCGCCTGTTTTTTTGTCGTAGTTATGACAAGCGATTTCATTGGATTAAAATTGGTTTCTTGCCGAAATCTGCTACAAGTTTCGTGATTGGTCAATTTTGAGCACGTGACCTAAGCCAGCCAATCAAATTACAGCTGTGATACCAAGCTCATGTTTGATAAATTTCAGAAGTTGGCGAAAGATGTTTTGTTAAATCGTGTTATTCTGAACGTTTTAAGCAGGAAATCACGATATATATTAAAAATATGGAACTTCGTGAATGTATCGTGCTAGGCTGTGACAAAGATTTTTCATGCATATATTTTTGCATTAAACATCGTGTCCGAGCCGAGAATTCAAGGCATCGAAAGCCGATATGTCATTTGACCTGCATTACACGTGATCGCATGAAAAGATGGAAATAATAACTTAGATGTAAGTTTGAATACTTTTAGATATATTTTTGTTGATTTTTTTTATTACTTTGTATAATATATTTAAAGATTTGTTAAGAACGTCTTTATTTGTATCATCGCTTGATTTTCTTTACTGACTGCATTGGAACAAACCGGACGATGTAAACAGCGGCAAATACGTTTTGTTACTCGTAGTATATCAGCTGTGTATCGTTTTGTATTGATACATAGACCCACGAATCGATAGTCGTATCGAAATGTAATGTATCGTGATACATCGATGTATCGGTGAATAGTCCCAGCCCTAGTGTCAGTGGTCTTTTTATAAAAGTCCCATCATGAGTGAGTTGTGTATTATGTTGATTTGTGTGTTTCTATAGTTATTTCAAAATCAGAGTATTGTTTATTTTATATACTTATCCTGCATTACATATTGCACATTGCTCTTACTAACAAAGTCCTAACTGGAAATGAATGGAAAGGTATGGAATCAATTCATAAGACCCATAAATTCCTGAGAAGAATAGGTCACTAGTAACCACTGCTAGCGTAAGGTGATTACATATACAATGTGACATGAGTAATTATTTGAACATGTACCCAGATTACATGGATTTGCTTACTTTCTACATTCTTGAAGTTTCATATTATTTTGGAGACTTTGGATCAGAGGATAGAGCGTTAACTAACCTGTGATGCTGCAAAGGCTAGCTTCTCTAGACCAACAACATATCTCTTCTTGGCCTTCATCGTCTCATCCTGCTTCTTGCCCAGCAGCAACTTGAAGGAGTAGATGAGCTCCAGGTAGGAAGTCGGGGTCACGTAGTTGTGTCGACCCTGCTCATCCAGGAATCTGGAGATAAAACGCCCAGTGTGTGCACAATATATGTTACATCCATATTTCCTAAATCCTTAGAAATAGACAATTTTATTCAAATAACATGTCAAACAATAAGATATTGTAAACTGTAACAGGAACATTCCCCCTTGACTCACTTGTCTGAGAGCTCCCGCACACTCTGGTGAAAGTACTTGCAGATGAAGACAGAGTCAGATTTCTGTTGGTCCTCAATCTCAGCATCTTCCAGGAACTTGTTGGCCACTCTCTCCAGGGCATCCTCTGGCCAAGGCTACAACACACAAGAACTTGTCAACACCATACAACCTACATTCAACACCATCTGTATAACCTACATTCAACACCATCTATACAACCTACATTCAACACCATCTGTACAACCTACATTCAACACCATCTGTACAAAATCAATTCAACACCATCTGTATACACTACATTCAACACCATCTGTACAACCTCCATTCAACACCATCTGTATAACCTACATTCAACACCAGCTGTACTACCTACATTCAACACCATCTGTACAACCTACATTCAACACCATCTGTACAACCTACATTCAACACCATCTGTATAACCTACATACAACACCATCTATACAACCTCAATTCAACACTATTTGTACAACCACAATTCAACACCATCTGTATAACCTACATTCAACACCATCTATACAACCTTCATTCAACACCATCTGTACAACCTCATATCAACACCATCTATATAACCTACATTCAACACCATCTATACAACCTACATTCAACACCATCTGTACAACCTACATTCAACACCATCTGTATAACCTACATTCAACACCATCTATACAACCTACATTCAACAATATCTGTACAACCTCAATTCAACACCATCTATACAACCTACATTCAACACCATCTGTACAACCTACATTCAACACCATCTGCACAACCTACATTCAACACCATCTATACAACCTACATTCAACACCATCTGTATAACCTTCATTCAACACCATCTATACAACCTACATTCAACACTATTTATACAACCTACATTCAACACTATTTGTACAACCTCAATTCAACACCATCTGTATAACCTACATTCAACACCATCTATACAACCTACATTCAACAATATCTGTACAACCTACATTTAACACTATCTGTACAACCTCAATTCAACACCATTTGTATAACCTACATTCAACACCATCTATACAACCAACATTCAACAATATCTGTACAACCTACATTCAACACCATCTATACAACCTACATTTAACACCATCTGTATAACCTACATTCAACACCATCTATACAACCTACATTCAACACCATCTGTATTACCTACATTCAACACCATCTGTACAACCTACATTCAACACCATCTGTACAACCTACATTCAATACCATCTGTACAACCTACATTCTACACCATCTGTACAACCTACATTCAACACTATCTGTACAACCTCAATTCAACACTATCTGTATAACCTACATTCAACACCATCTATACAACCAACATTCAACAATATATGTACAACCTACATTTAACACCATCTGTACAACCTACATTCAACACCATATATACAACCTACATTCAACACCATCTGTATAACCTACACTCAACACCATCTGTACAACCTACATTCAACACCATCTGTACAACATACATTCAACACCATCTGTACGACCTACATTCAACACCATCTGTACAACCTACATTCAACACTATCTGAACAACCTCAATTCAACACCATCTGTATAACCTACATTCAACACCATCTGTACAACCTACATTCAACACCATCTGTATAAACTACATTCAATATTTAACAACACACAGCTGGCTATGAAGATATATACTACAGTGACCAGTTTCACCTAGTACTGCCTTATTTGAAGCATATTTACCAATGCATAAAAAGTGTTTAAAATACAAAGTGTGAACTTTCTCAATGGATTCAAAATATTTAATGCCCCATATTTCTGAGCCGTACAACAAAATGGGTAGAAGTTTACCATCAAATATCGAATTTGCAGTTGAAAATGAGATAAATTTGTTTTCCTTGAATACTTTATAAACAGGAAACATTGCCTTAGATGCCTGTAGCGCTAAGGTGTTACAAGCCTTGGACCAATTTAGTCTTGAGGACATTAATAGTGCTAAATACTTTGATATTGTTTCATAATATATGGATGGAAACAGTATTCTTAAAATATCAATATCAATTAAAACAGAAGGGTCCAAATCTCTTTCAGTGAGCTCAGTGCCATTTTACAAAACAATCTTAGTGCTAATACTGTCGTAAGTCTATGTGGGAGTTACGATCACCTTAGTGGTAAAATAGCTTTGTACCACAGCACCCAGGTAACACATGTCAGGCTCTACTCACCTGGAACCAGTCTATCGTGCAGCAGTTGATGAGGGAGGGGAACTGCCTCAGTCTGTTCCGGAAGGCGTCGCCAATGGGGCTGAAGGCAATCATGATGTGGAGGTTCTCCTTACAGCGGTTCACAAAGAAGGCAAACAAGGCAAGGGGGCTGAAGTCTGCGTTCTTGTCTCCGGCTTGAGCAAACGGACGTACAACCTATAGACAAAGAGAATGTCACCAACAAATAAGAGGAAGTACATTATATGGGTACAGAACAAACGGGTCCATCCTACCCATCATGAGTCAACAGTCAGTTGTCCAAACAAAGATACAAAAACCAGCATGGGTACCTCCATGATCAAACAAAGATACAAATACCAACATGAGTGCCTCCATAATCAAACAAAGAAACAAATACCAGCATGAGTACCTCCATGATCAAACAGATACAAATACCAACATGAGTACCTCCATGATCAAACAAGATACAAATACCAACATGGGTACCTCCATGATCAAACAAAGATACAAATACCAGCATGAGTACCTCCATGATCAAACAGATACAAATACCAACATGAGTACCTCCATGATCAAACAAGATACAAATACCAACATGAGTACCTCCATTATCAAACAGAGATACAAATACCAGCATGAGTACCTCCATGATCAAAGATACTAATACCAGCATGAGTATCTCCATGATCAAACAAAGATGCAAATACCAACATGGGTACCTCCATGATCAAACAAAGATACAAATACCAACATGAGTATCTCCATGATCACACAAAGTTACAAATACCAACATGGGTACCTCCATGATCAAACAAAGATACAAATACCAGCATGAGTACCTCCATGATCAAACAGAGATACAAATACTAACATGAGTACCTCCATGATCAAACAGAGATACAAATACCAACATGAGTACCTCAATGATCAAACAAAGATACAAATACCAGCATGAGTACCTCCATGATCTCTGCCTTCTCGTCTGTGGGGAAGAGGTTGGGCACTTCTCCTGTGTTGAGGAGGTTGTCGATGTCCTCGAGGAATGACTCCTCTTTAATCTGTGTGTCCGTGATGAGGAACACTGTTGTCTTGCCCATGGCTCCAGCACTCTTGAGTAGGCTCTGCAGCAGGCAACACCAGTGTGTCAGCTATACTCAACCATAGGACTCCCATGTACAATACCCATAGACTAGATATACAAGCAATTGAACACTTATTATGATTATTAGTCTATACAGTATTTTGTCTCCATCATTTTTGCCACATCAACTTGTGTTGTGATCTGTCATCTGAACCTCAGCCTCTCTAAACTACACAACACATCTTAACCTTACAGCTGTGAAATCAACATTTTATGAACAGGAATGGCACAAAAGTTCAATTGAGGGAACATCACAAACAGAAGTTAGATACTATTTGATTGTTTTTCTAAGAGACGTATGCATAAATCTTCTGTAAATGAGCTGTGAGTTTGAGAAAAAAGTTTTGGATATTTTTACAGCATTACAAATAGGCACTTGTCCTATAGTCCTTGCCAAACTGCTTAAAAGTTACGGTATGATGAGGACTAGTAGACATTTTCCCTTTTTAAGGATTTTGCTATATGTTATGATTATCAGGACTAGTGGACTAAAACTGTTAGTTTTCATGCTGATTTAGATTTTAAAATGTGTAATGTTTTCTAGTTTGGGTTATGACTTTTATGTTGAAACCATGGCAATTCAGGTTTAACTTCCAGGTAATCAATACATGATGCCTTGACTAACTTCACATATATTCATAATAGTATACTTTCCATGCTACATGTCCTACCTTGAGATCTTCCCTCCACTCAACCTTGCCATAGTTCTTGGAGATCTCTGGCTGGAAGATGCTGTAGCCAGCCATAGCCGTGGCTAATCTGGTCAAGGACTGCCGCCCACTGCCCCCAACCCCCACGAGCAGGGCGTTGCCCCCCGGCACACGCAGAATACGACAGATGCGGGACAGGTGCTCCAATACATATCTGACAAAACAATTGGCATGTAAATTACAACGACCAGCACCAAGATCACAACACATTTTTCACCCTGGGGATTTCAGGGAAGAACATCCCTTGCTTGTGAGCCAACTGAAGAGGACTAGATGTTCAGGTCTGGTGGCTTGGCTGTCATCACAACCTGGTGGTGTCAATTGTTTTTTCATGCTTTCAGTCACTGGATTGTCTGGTCCAGACTAAATTATTTTCAGACCTCCGGCATATAGCTGGAATCGTGATGACTGCATCTTCCCGAGGCAAGGGAGTTAACTGACTATAAAAGTCCATTTTCCACCCTTGCCGAAATACGGCTTAATCAAAGCGTCACCAGTGGCCATTACGAGTTATCTCACTTCTATATCCCTTCTATTGACCAATCAGATTCCACCTCTCACTTCACTTGCATTTGCTTCAAATAAAATGGCAGCACCCAGTCAACACGATCTGATCAATTATCAAGATCTATATTGTAATAAAATGTGCTATTGTGTGCCCCCTAATTGTGGCTGTGTGACAGTGTGTCTCTACCTGAAGATGACAAGGTTCATCCTGGTCTTATGGGTGTTGTTGTACTCCTCCAGACAAAGCTCCACCACTCTGTAAAACTCGTCCAGCGACTTGACTTCCTCGTACACCCTCTCCTCTGTCTCTGCATCAGGGTTCATGTAGTCCCCAAACATCAAACTACGCAGGTCTTGCTCTTGTACCTGTAGTGACACATACAATGAGTATACCTCATACTTGGGTGTGGAAATCCTTATGTTTAGACTGATTTTAAAATTCATATACAAATAAACCTTAAGTCTTGGGATAATAGGTGTTTTACTTTAGTTTTGATTACACAAGAAACTTGACGGTCTATTCTTATATTCTGTACTGTTAGAAAAAAAGAAAATTAATTATTCAAAAGAAAGAAACCAGAAAGAGGTCTCAATTACATGAACATCATTTGAGACAATATCGAGCACAGCCATTCTCTTTATTTTACGTTTGAAAAGAGTTTTTGCAAGCTTGATGGTTTTGGCAGCCTGAAACACAGCTCAGAGTTGATTAACTCATGGTGAATCTAACCTAGTGTCACCCAGTAGCTAGTGCAGGTGATATCTGTTGTGTATAGCACACTCAAATTTGTACAATTGACACAAACAAAGGAAACAATTTATGTGAATAAAATGAACATTAAAATTCCAAGGTGACTCAAATGTCAATGAAAAAAGAAACGATTGGGCAAGTGTTCAAAGTCATGCCTTATGTAACTATAAAGGTCTTACTCTATCAATACTACCTGATAATGAGTGCCTTCAGCCCAGATAGAACTGGATGTTGATTGCTGTGGGTTTCAGTAGTAATGGTGTCTATTCTATCTCTCATTCAGAATGATTGATACCAACAGAGTGCAGGATGCTAGCTACAATTTACTGACATGTACTACATCCATCCATAAAGCACTATTATAAACATGCACTCTAGGCATGTTGGCTCTAGTGTTGTAGATTTACTACCGTGATATGCTGCTTGACATGTATTTCATGGGTATTTTACAGTCATGTAAATATATTGTACGTCCTGACATTCATAACTTCTACCCTGGAATAAAATCTCAACAACATGCAAGGTTAAGGAGGGAGAAACAAACAGGATAGAAACAGGAATGAAAGGTTCAAAACCCAGCAGACATATACCTCGTCCTGTAACAGAGAATTGGTTACATTGTTACAGCAAGGGAACACGTGAAGAACAATGGGTCCATTACTACAAAGATTCTGCCAGAGTGTTGTCACGGGGACCATATCACCCCACTAACTGTCACAGGTTGGTCTTCTTTAACTACTAAATGCTGTAAAAGCATGCTCAATTGTTATCACCCTTAAATATAATGATATTGTGTTTTGGCCATTTGGATTAATATGAGTTGGACAATTCACCTCAAAATCAAGCTTTTATTTGCAAATAAGGGAAGAGGTTGTAAATTCTTTTATAATATTTACATAATATAGTGAGATACTGTACATCTACAGTAATGTCCTTACTGTCTACTATGACATGCAACTGCTTGCACACTACTTGTTGGATGTGCGTTGTACTTGCTAATGAGATCTGACAAAATCTTCACATACACACATACAACAATGTACATGGGAGTTGTAAAAAGCAGACTTAGTCCCAGTCACCCAGAAGGTAAAGATTCCTCTAAGTTAAGAAACCAAGAGAGTATGCATATATTACACAGCCTGAGAGTATGTTAGAGAGTTCACACAATGAAGGCAGCCCTAATTCAGAAGCCACTAACAGGATTACACAAGAGAAACAGTCGAATACATAGTAAAGAGGTTTTATGTTATATGACAGAGAGAGTTCAGAAGCCTCAGAGAAACAGTCAATGAATACGAAATAAAGAGGTTATATATAACAGAGACAGTTTCTGAAGCGGATGATGATAGTGTTCAGTCTGAGAATGTTCTGAGAGGCAAACAGCAACAATAAAACCACCTACCTTGCCACCCTCTCCTCCATTAGCAAGATGTTCAAACACTCCATCAAAGCTCTCCTTGAAATGTTCTCTCACCAAGCTACCTACAGTCCTGGCAATACAAACACAGTGTCAGAATTCCTTCCTGAATTGAAGGTTTAAATGGTGTTAATAGGACATTTCAATAACTCAAGACGAAGTCACCTTCAAAGTTATAAATGTCCTTGACAGGACTCTAAACTGCCTCTATATATTGCTTGATGAAACACAAATCTTGAAAACATTGATCTGTAAAAGATCACTGTCAGGCAGGTGGGTATTTTAAACACTGTAATACTGTTGGGCTAGAAATGAATCACCTTTGACCAAATGTATATCAGAATCATTGATATGAAACTGATGTTAGCACAAGCAAAATAAAACATACTAAATACTTACTTAAACAGCCATGATCGGTCACCATCATCAGTGAGACGGTCATAGAACACTCTCATAACTTCATGCACCCACAGCCTGAAACATTGACAAGTTCGAACATATCTACCAGTGGTAGAACAAGTAGGTCAGGTAAGGCAAAAGTTGCATGGCATTACCCAAATTATAACATACAAGCACATTATTAGAGACAGATCATGTGTCTAGTTAGTTGTCCCCATAGATGTAGCTGGACTGCCCAGATAAACGCAGTGGCCGAATGATCACATCTCAAAGTGGGAGGGATATGATAATCAGTATAGGGAGAAAAGGTCAAGGTAATCCATGTGAGGATTGTGAGAAATGGGGAAAATACCAATCTGTTTATAAAATGGAACTTGTCCCACATTTCCGACGTCCGATTCTATTCAGGGAGTCATCATTATTAAAATTTGGGTAAATATTATTAAAGCTTGTACATTTGATCAACATCTTTAAAGAGGCTGTACATGATATTGATATCACATATAAGAAACAAACGACTCTGTGCCCCAAGCGGTTTATTCTCCCTGTAGTGTTTTATTGTATGATAAACAACTCCCACTCGTTGTTTATTTCTTAAATAAAATATTCAAACTTTCCTTTTTATTCTTAAAAGTGCTGTCATAAAGAAGATAAAATGAATGACCCCTTGACAAACAGTTAGTCAACATTAGCCACTGTTCGTATATAAATGATTAAACGTCCTGCACAATCCATAGTCATTGATATTTGTTAAAGCATCTTGTCTTCTGCTACAATGCAGGAAGCTCACCTGATCATCTGTCGTTTATTCTCTACTTGTTCTTTCTTAATAAGACAGACGCCCAGGATGACTCGAGAGAAGTCTCTCAAGTTAAACACATAATGGGACTTGGCTGGTGTAGGCAGCAGGTTGGCCATTGCCTGCTTGTACATCTCCATGGTAGCCTGCACTATGTTGTTCCCCGCAGAGAAGAAGTCAGCAGAGAACTCCTGACCCTGGACACACAGAGATCAGAGAGCTTGCATTAACATGAAGGAACTTTCTATGGCCGCCATATTGGAAACATGGATGGACAAAATCAGAAATTGTTTTGGAGTTGTGCTCAATGACAAGTGGCGTTCATGTACAAATTCAGGTTACCCTTTGGTTTATGCAGGCCAAGTTTTATTGGTGACAAGAATGTTGTAACCTCAGTGGATCTTCACCTGCACCTAATAGTATCTCGCCAGTCTTCTTATGCACCTGGTACATTGACAACACAGCATAAGCCCTGTAGCAACTGGTGAAGCGACTTACCCTCAAGTAAGTGGACATGAGTGTGGAGAAGATTTTGATCATCGTGTCCTCATTAAAGGGGTTCATGGCCACCAGGTTGAAGTGTCGGAGGAACCTGGGGGTGACGTGGTTGCGGCCTCCGCCCGGGGGGCCCATGGCTGCCAGGAACTGCACATCCTGCAGCGTCAGCTTGGAGGTGTCCTTCAGGTCATACCTGCACAACCACGTCTTGCATCACAACCAATATCTAGACACGCATAAATACTTTACTCCTAACAAATATTTAATGAGAATGTGAATTCATAACTTTGTTGAATTTGAACAGCAAAAAGATTTTCTCACCAGTTTCCATGATCAATGCACTGCCTAAGCAATTCAATCGGAGGTTGGGCGCCATACACTTCTTTAGCTGGCATGTTGAGATCGTCCACAAATATCACGGCTCTCTTGCCCATCTGTGGTCCGAACACGCCCTTCCTCCGCTTGTCAAGCTTGGACATGATGATGTTCTGAGTCATGTTGGCACTGGTTTGTGCAGAGAAGTTGACAAATGTTGGCAGGTAGCGGTCCTTCGAGAGACTCATCATCTTCTCCTGGACATACACACTCTTGCCTGTTCCTGTTGGGCCCACAAATAGCAGGGGTCTGCGAACAAACAATTTCTCATTACATACATGTATCAAGTTCCCATTCAAACTGAAATACAAGGGTCTTGTATCTATATATTCCTTTGTCCAAAACAATAATATCAGAGTCTATTTACAATAGTTACAAAAATCTGAAAAATTAGAATTTTAGCATAAATTGTATATTTACATACTTATCCTATCTCACATTATGCATATCTTCTTTCTTCTTTGATCCAATGTGAAAACATGCTGGAACCATGTTTCAAGTTTCAAAAAATAGTAATTTATCCAGTTGTTGGTTGTAACCATACAGATGCTGGGGTGTGTTTGGGTGAATGTTTTTGTTTTAGAAGCTGGAAACATGGCTTAAGCACGGTTCCAGATAGGATCATAGAAGAAAGAAGATATGCATAGTGTGAGATAGGAGAAGTTCAAAAATGGGTTTTTCAGATTAAAAACGATGTTTTATTGGTCTGTTTTCAGTCGTACAAATAGGTATCTCTCATACCCTCACATCTAGTCGCACGTTTAAAAGGGAGCCAGAAGCTGGAATGTAAACATTAAACTTGATTCCGTCCGGTTGCGCTAGCACCTCCCTATGACATGTCACAAATCTCGAAGAATAAGCCATCAAGCAGGACTGGACTGGATTACTTCCCTGTGGGGATGGCTGGGTGGGAATGTACGACTGAAAACAGACCAATAAAACATCGTTTTTAATCTGAAAAACCCATGTTTTAGTCTGTTTTCAGTCGTACAAATGGGTAGAATTCGACGGAACACTGGAAGGAGGGTCGGGAAAGTAATCAGGAAGTGACCTCTTTCACATCGAATGTACCAAGTTCCTCACCCCTGTAGTGACAATAGAACATTCGACCAGATGCACGGACGAGACAAGTTGTTTATCATGGTTAATGCTCTTCGACACACAACTAATTATCGATGCGACAGGACAACTGCACGTGTCAGTTGAACTGCGATCGAAGTGTGGTCGACGTATAGTTTAGTTACAGAGCAACTCGCAGTATACAAGGTAACTAAAACAGCATGTTTAATGCTCTTCGACCCACAAGTAAGTATCAATGCGACAGGACAACTGCACAGGTCAGTTGAATTGCGATCGAAGTGTGGTCGGCTTATAATTTAGTTACAGAACAACTCGTCGTATCCAAGGTAACTAAAAATAGCATGGTTCATGCTCTTCGACACACAACTAATTATCGATGCGACAGGACAACTGCACACGTCAGTTGAATTGCGATCGATGTGTGGTCGGCGCATAATTTAGTTACAGAGCAACTCGCAGTATACAAGGTAACTAAAAAATACAAGCAGTACTATAAATATGGGAAGACGATGCTTACACCGAATAACCATAATAAAAAAGCCAAAGTACTGCACACAACAAAAAAACCATGAGAATGCATACATTCACCAACAGCTTTTATTGTAACATGTTATATGGCACGAAGTGTCGAGCAAAAAGTCCAAAGTGAATAAAGCACAAATTCACTGTCTATTCCAGGAGATCTGTTGTGCCACCACGAGTGGACCAAACTGTTTGAGTCCTTCAACATCTTCTGTTGAGATATCTCTAAGATAATGCAAAGCAAACACTGAAGTAGATCTCCGAAAGCAGCCCTCCATAATAGCTTGTAGCGAACAATTATTGTGGAGTGCTAATGTTGAAGCTATGGCTCGAACTTCGTGCGGATGAGAGGAGGTGGGAGGTGCGAGTAAGCTCTGAGAATGACGCTCTCAACCAAAAGGAGAGAGTATTACGTGTAATCTCTTTCTTTGCATTGGTTGAGAGCGGTATGAACAGCCGTCGAAAATGTTGTCGTCGCTGTTCAGATCGCTGCAGGTAAATACGAAGCGCACGAACTGGGCACATGTTGAGATCAGCGTGATCATGAGGGCCCATAATAGCCGATAAGGAAGGAATGTGGAACATTTGAATCTTGGCCAGGAAGTTGTTTTTTCGCCAAAAAATCCCATCTGAGACCAAGATGGACGTTGCCATGGTTAAGCTGATCGAACGAAATCCAACCGACGTCAAAGGCATGTATTTCCGATACTCTCGCTGCCGTAGCCAGCGAGAGAAGGAAAGCCCTGTTCTGAGTCAATAAGTCGAACGCGACCTGATCTAGAGACTCGTAAGTCTGACTAGACAGGTTGCACAGAACGACATCGAGGTCCCAGGCTGGCGGTCGGAATTTACGGGACTGATCGTCAACCATGAAGGCACGTAGAATCTTCTGCAACTCCGGTACTTTAGTGAGCTTGTCGCCTGTAGGAGACGGCACCACTGAAGCCAAAGCTGCCAGATAAGTCGAGATCGTCGACCCTTTCAGACGCCGAGATGACCGGAGATAGACTACCTGTGGTGGGGTTGCTACCGCCGGGTTGAAGCCACGAGACCTGGCGAAAATGGAGAAAGTGGTCCACTTGTCATCGTACAGCTTATGAGTCGTAACTCGATGTGCCGATGAGACAAGCGCTGCCGCTTTAGCCGAATATCCTTTCTTTATTAACGAGGTCTTAAGCAAACCCAGGCGTGAAGCTGGAAGTTCTTTATCCCCGGATGCAAGTCGTTGCTGTGAGGATGAAGAAGGAGGTCGTCTCGATCTGGCAACGGGAACGGTGGCTGCTCGATGATCTGAAGAAGTTCCGGGAACCACGTTCTGGCCGGCAAATAAGGCGCGACCAAAAGCAGACGTAGGTTGGCCGTTTGACGAACTTTCTCCAGTATCGATGGTAACAGCACCGTTGGCAGAAACGAGTAAGCGTCTAGACCCTCCCACGATATCGCTAGAGCGTCATGGTCCCATGCCCGTGGGTCTGGAACCGGCGACACGAATCGAGGGAGGCAGTTGTTGTACTGGGTTGCGAAGAGATCTTCTTCGGGCAGCCAGAGTCGATCTGTCAGCAGATGAAAGACTGTCGGATGGATCATCCACCCCGTGGGAAACTGCCTCGATGGTCTCGACAGGGTGTCGGCTATCACATTCTTGGCGCCCGGGATGTGACGGGCACGTACGCCCATGTCCAAGTTGTCAACAAGGGCGAAGAACTTGAATGTCCGGTCCAAAAGGGCCGCCGACTGGACGACTGTGGAGTTGTCCTACTGTATCATCAGCTTCCATCTCAAGGCAGTTGATGTGGAGGACTTTTTCTTCTGGCGACCACAGCCCGGCCGCTTGGTCGTCCCCGAAGTGCGCTCCCCAGCCTTCCAATGACGCGTCTACGAATAGGTGTAGTATGAACAGGGGCTTGCTCATAAAGACGGCTTCGCAAATGTTCGACGGCTGGAGCCACCACTCCAGATGACAACGTAGCTGCGCCAGAAGTGGAACCAGGAGGTTGGGAAACAGCAATCTCTGCAGCGGACGAAGTTGAAGATGACCTCAGCGAGTCAGGTCTTGGGCCTATGTCAACAGACCGAGAACTTCCTGCCACGTGTGCACCGACGCTGAGGCATGTAGAAGTCTTGGAATGCTGCTGACAATCTTGTCCCAACGGTCTTGACCAGATTGACTCCCGTCTGGAAGCGTATCCTGATGTAATGTAGATCCCGAGTTGGTACCAAGTCCGACTTTTGAAGGTTGACGATCCACCCGAGGTACCGTAGTAGATTCAGGGTGGTCGTTAACTGTCCTTGAAGGGCTTCTGTGAACCGGTGAGCTTGGAGCCCGTCGTCTAGGTAGAAGGCGACCCTGGACGCCTTCCAATGGAGCCATTCTACGACCGTCTTCATGATCCGTGTGAAAATGCACGGGGCCGTAGAAATTCCAAACGGGAGGGCCGCCCACTGGTTATGAATACCTTGGTATTCGAATCAGAGGTACTTCTGGAACTCGGAAGTACATGGAGATACGCATCCAGAAGGTCTATCGAGACGATGAAATCGTTCGGTAATATCTTCCGACGCAGAGAGCTGAGGGATATCATGGTGAATGTGTCGGGTTGTTGGAGGTATGTTGCGTTGAACTTTTTGAGATTGAAAATAAGCTGCATCTTTATGGAATTTTTCTTGGGTACTAGAAAGATGGGCGAGTAGTACCCCCGGCGATGGTGCCGCTTTTTCCACCAATGAATCGATGGCCTCCGTCAGCTGATCCGTCGGGGATGACGTCAGTGGAGGCATCGATCTCAGGCGTGGGGCGTAGCCTGTTGTCAAAATGTTCTGAACGTAAGGGTCGTTGAGGAAAGCCCACCTGTGGGCATAGTGATGAAGTCTCCCCTCTACCGGTAACTCGTCTAAAGGTAGTGTCCCCAGGGGCGACTCCAACGACAGTGACGGCGGGTGGAAGAGTCCTCACTTCTTCCCCCGCTGGCTCTTCCCCCCCCCTGGGATACTTGGAAAAGGAGACCTGGCGACCTTTTCTGACCTCATCTCTCTTGCGGGACGGCTGTCGAGGCATGTCCCTACGAAAGGCCCGTTGCACATTCTCGTTTTGATAACGTCGTCGTGGGGCGTTCGAAACCGGTGGCTGTCTGGACAGGTTGTGTGAAGCCGAAATGATGATGTCATGCTCGGCTTCCTTGGAGTACTTGTCCAGAACATCATTGGTACGACCGTCAAACAACTGTTGCGATGACCACGGGGCCCTGCCATGACGATCAGGTAGTTCAGTGCAGTCGATGTAACCATGACGACGTGCTGTAGTAATCTGGCCCGATACATATCGGGACTGGGCGAGGACGTCCGAGATCCACCGTTGCATACAGTTGAGGATCGATGGCACCGTCCTTTCGTCCTCGTCCTGGGGGTCTTTCTCCTCAAAGTACACTGAGAGGGCCTCAATCGCTGTCGACAGCATAGCAAGCGGTTGTAGCTGGTGACGAACAGCAGTGTCCATGGATTCCAAATGCCTGTCTTCTAGAAGAATCTTGGAGGGCGCTGGTTTCTTGAAGAGTAGCCCCCAATCCAAGTCCCTACTCACGGGTGACGAAAACGGCATGCCATAAATCGGGTAACGCGATCGAACAGGCGGCTTGCTGAAACTCTGCCCCGGCAGAGCAGAGGCAAAGTTCTGGTCCATATCGTGAGCCATGGCTCTGAAGACATCGGGAGGAGAAAACTGAAGAGACTGCGGCATATCTCCGACCTTAAAGCCAGCACGTGTCGGTTTGTCATCATCTTTTGATAACTCAGGCAGAAAGTTCAATAGCCAAGCAAACAACTCAATGTCTTTGGGAGGCCTAGGAGGGCTGTCGTCACAATCCATCGTCGACGTCGATGGTGTAGGTGTAGATGAAGGAACCGGTGTACTGGTCGATGGTCCATGGACCTCCGACGTCGTCGAACCCTTCTCGGTCGACGCCGTCGAGGCGAGTACGGCCGCCGTGATCTGGGCTGTCAAAGCCGGGTCGATATGAAAGTGAAACGAGGGTGTCAATCGATCATTATCTCTACGACACTGATCTCCCAAAAACTCCTTTCGAGAGCGTCGCACGTCCCCGTGGGGATGAGGGCTACGATCTCTAACTGTAGAAGTACTACGATCCCCATCATAGTTATCGTCAGAATCGAACTCTCGACGACCTCGAAGGCGACGAACGTCCTCGTGTCGTTTACTGTCTCTTGACGAGGCACTAGACCTGTCATCCCGAGAACGGGAACGACTTCTAGAGAGGGATCTGTGTACACTGTCGACCTGCACGACGTCCCTATCGTTGTTGGTAGGACGAGAGACGGACCGACTGGGGACCGTAGTCCCCTCATGGTCCTCGTCATGAGCCGGTCCCGTCGTAACAGGGGTGGCTGAGTGACGATCTCGATCAACCGATTGACGAAGATCAGTCGTGCAGGTAGTATCATCAGCAGGCGAACGGTCACGTGTCTTGTCAAAAACATAAGTTGACAGGCGGGTCTTTATCAACGGATTTCTTGGGTGTGGCCGACGCGCCACCCCCAGGGCCAGATGTAGAGGGTGCAGACTCCAAGGATCCACCCGATGACCTTCTCTGCTTGTAGCGCTGGTCAGCAGTCCACTTCGCCAGCGAACGAAGATACAAGTTAAAGTTTAAAGAAGACAAGTGCTCACATTCTTTACAACGTTTATCCCACGAACACGTTGAAAACCCGTCCTTAATTATGCAGGAAGGACAATACTTGTGAGGATCCACTTTAGACAGTTTTCTTTGACACGAGGCACAAAAGCCTGACATGTTGCCACGTGTATAATCAAGTCAAACAGTGAAACGCGTGTTGAACACAAACAATGGATTACCAAGGATTACATTCCAGGAGTCTACAGGTAAGACATATTATTATTACTTTATTAGAACAACAACTGTAGACACACGAAAAGTACTAGTAGAATACAAACTAGCATTCAATCGCGAAAGTCTTTCTCGAGCGACCAGCTCAGAGGCGCGCTGAGAGATTTGTGACATGTCATAGGGAGGTGCGTGCGCAACCGGATGGAATCAAGTTTAATGTTTACATTCCAGCTTCTGGCTTCCTTTTAAACGTGCGACTAGACATGAGGGTATGAGAGATACCCATTTGTACGACTGAAAACAGACTAAAACAATATAATTGTTGGATTTTTGTATGATAACTCATAAAATGCATTGTAAATATGTTTTTAAAATACAAATTCTTCTCTCACATGAGTAAATCCATGAACACCTTACTTTACAAATGTTAAACATCTTGCAATTGGAAAGGAATTAGCATTTATTGTTTCTCTTTAAATCAAATGACCCAAGCGACTTTATGCCAAATAACATAAAACGTACCGCGCTGTATATATATTTTTTTATTTTCATTTAGACCAACCGAAGCTGACTGGTTAGAAAATTTCCATAAACCATAAAATAATAAAAGTGTGGCCTCAATTGAAGTGCCTACCGTCCATGTTCTATACACAGGTCCATGAGGTAGGCATATCTTGCAGTGTCCATGGTCGGGACCAGCATCTCTCGGATCTTCTTACTCTTCACCTCAGCTCCCTTGATGAGGTCATTCCAGTGACGCCACTGACCTCGAGCCTTTTGCTGAAAAGAGAAAACATTCTGTCTCATATATGCATTCATTTATGAAATAATTTGGCCTTACATCAGTAGTACATTGCACACAGTCGACAGCAGGTCTTTAGAGTGCCTCACCTCATACATGAAGTCGTACACCATGTTGTCACTGGGGAAGGGCACCTCGATCTTTCCAAGAACTTTGGGTAAGGGGTGTTCCTCAAACTTTCCTGACAGAAGATCTTTGAAGAACACATCAAACTTCTGTCTGCCGTCAACATCGACCACTCCTCCGATAGACCATGGTGTGGAAAACAGGACAGCCGACTAAAACAGAGCAGTTTCACAGGATGGGAAACAGTTGTGCATACATTGATAGTTGCATCACATGCTGTTCTAGATGGGAAACAGTTGTGGGTACATTGATAGTTGCATCACATGCTGTTCTAGATGGGAAACAGTTGTGGATACATTGATAGTTGCATCACATGGTGTTCTTGATGGGAAACAGTTGTGCATACATTGATAGTTGCATCACATGCTGTTCTAGATGGGAAACAGTTGTGGATACATTTATAGTTGCATCACATGGTGTTCTTGATGGGAAACAGTTGTGCATACATTGATAGTTGCATCACATGGTGTTCTTGATGGGAAACAGTTGTGGATACATTTATAGTTGCATCACATGCTGTTATAGATGGGAAACAGTTGTGGATACAATTGATAGTTGCATCACATGGTGTTCTTGATGGGAAACAGTTGTGGATACATTGATAGTTGCATCACATGGTGTTCTAGATGGGAAACAGTTGTGGATACATGCTGAGTGATTGATTGTCACAAATGTTTGAGCTATTTACGGGTGGTTTGTAAATAGCCTGTTCTGCAGCACAAAACCAGTGGTTGACAGTATGAGCATTAATCTTGTTTTCTGGGTTAAGAGAAACAACAGATTGCACAACCTAACAATAAGATCCCAATTTTAGTGTTCTTTTAATGATAAGCATGGGGTACTTGCGACCTATTCATGGCATAATTGAAAACAAAGATATGTCAACATGCATACTTTTTTGACAGTTCATTTGACAAATACATATTGAACTGTCTCATATCAGTTTTTCTATTAAATGATGTTGTGATGTGCTAACATTCTATGCTGGCTCTATCTGCAGCAGTCTTACGAGAATGTGTCTGTCAGAATGTCAGCTTGTATGTGATTTGATGGTAGACAGAATTACGGAAGTGAAGAAATACTATCACTGCTATTCTGTATATATGATACAGTTAGGACGTATAATCAGTTTTTGTGCAAAATGCCGTAAATTTCCAGGTACAGAAAACTACGGACACAACAAACTCAAAGAAAGCTCTAATTCTAGTTTGTTATAACTGTAGTTTTTAAGGAGCATATATACAGTTCGTTATAAGTGTATTTGTTATAAACGAAGTTTACTGTTTTAAGTCTATATCTGATTCGTTCAGTTGTTATACATAATAACTGAACTTTTCAGGTATTATACTTTATATCTGAATTGACATTGGAATGTTAATGTATAGTAGTTAACCTTTGTGTTGTTTAGTTTGTTTTCATAGGATACTTCACGTTATAAGAAACTATTTTAAATCTTAAAATGTTCACTAATTTTGGGAAAAACCCAAAAGAGTGATGAATAGATGAGTGAAAAAATATTGGTTACCCAATGAAAAATGTAATAACCCAATTAAAATAGAAACCCTAGAGTAGAAGCTCAATTGCTCAAAATGTTATCTGGAGCTCTGAATCTTTTAGGTGTGTTAAGTGACGTCTTCAATAGAGTGGTGTTGTGCAAGAGATAAGGAGAAATGTCAGGTACACCACTGTTGTCAAGTCGGATGTTTTGAACATCAAGTACTTTAGGAATAATTTGATGTATGTCCGACATCACTGTACACTGTGGACGATATGTAAACTAACTAACAATACATAATAGGCGACTAACAGGATCGGGTTGTCAGACTTGCTGATGCTCATGATGTCAATCACTGGATTGTCTGGTCAAGACTCGATTATTTACAGACCGCCGTCATATAGCTGGAATATTGCTGAGTGCGGCGTTAAACAACAAACGAAACTAACTAACAACGCCATTTCTCTTAGAGTTTCTGTACAGAGAGAATCCAAATATGGAGGTCAAGACTTTATTAAATGCAATAGCGCTGGCACCAACAGATACCAAAGTGACAGATGCAAATGCTTTAAAGCACGATTGATGTGTAATTTTTGATGCCACTCAAGCGGCTCCTGCACAAACAAAGACTGTTGATAAATCTTGATATTTTCTCTCTTGTAATGGCAATGTGACGATATTATGTTGATTGCATTAATAAAGAATCAAAGTTAAAAAAAAACAAAACAAAAAAAACCCCATTCTATGCTGGTATAGTTTTCATAAATAACTTGGGTGCAAATTCAGTTAGTCCCAAAGTTTCGTTCACTCACCACGAGGTACACTTTGATGTGCTTGTTGTCAGCTGCATCGTCTTTGTTGATGGACCCGTGCATCAACATATCGATGAGATACATCAGAGAACGGACCAGGTTGGCGGGGCTTGTGGGGACATACTCCTGCAAAAAACAATCACTTCATAAAATATTTACTTATCATAACCGATCATAACTAGGTCGATTACAGTCAGAAAGAAAAAGACATTGTAACATCATCTGGACTGATAATAAGAGGTCAACTTGAATCAGTTCTACTTGAGATCATTTCAGATGATGCTCAGGGTTGCAGTTTTCTGCTGACCTTGCAGTGTTTCCTAACAAAGTTGAGGCAAGGGTCCACAAGCCACTCGAACAGGGCATCAACCAGTTCCGCACTCTCCTTCAGCACTTCAGGGAAGGTGTGGATCCAAGACTTGACTATTGGCCTCCAGCCCAGTGTTGTTGGCTCGAGGTACACCATACCGCACCGAGACACCGTGGCAGGCTGCAGGGAACAGTCACAGCATTAGACAGGAGAATTCAAAAGACATTTTTACAGGTACAGAATTTCAATAATGACCATTTTCTGATAAAATTAAAGGAAATGAAAAACAAATGAAGCTCATGTGGTATTGAGCTGTAAGGCATATGATGATAGTCGATAAGACTGCATGCCCTTTTCCAACAAACCCACGACATATGATATTTTAACAATAATGTCAACAAAGATGAAAGACATCAACTTCAAGGTATCTGAATCTGGTATCTCGTGTAGTTTCCGTCAGAGAGGTGGTGTGTAAAAAATATGCATGCTATCATACGTTTAACATGTAACTCTATAGTCTGGGTTTAGTGGCGTCATGTACAATAACATCCTTAGTCTAAGAATCCTTGAAATACATTTCTTAACTTTGGCCTATCAATGTAGTTTGAGCATGGATATGTCTTATCCACTTTCTGATAAAGCGGAGAAGAAAGGCTCTGTTAAATTTCTTTCCATTTACTGAGGACAAAAGGTCAATTTCATACTTAAACGCAAGACATGGCACTGTTAGGATCATTCTAAACTGTATTAAGATTGCATAAAAAAGAAAACTATAAGGTCTTGAGTTTAAAAGAAAACTGCTGGTTTTAGTTCAAAACATATCTTGTCTAGTATGAAATGAAACAGCTGATTTCTTCACTGCTTCTCTGCTGCCTTTCTGCAGATTCACACCAGAACAAGACTGTATTACAAGTACCGTAAAAGGCATCAGTTCACAGTCCACCTCAAATGGATTGTCTCCACCTCCACTAGGCATGAGCTTACCGAGGCCTGCGAGAGATCCATGGTTTCAAAGATGAGACTCATGACAGAAGACATCTGGATGATCTCGCCACTCATGAGACACAGCTTCTTGTTGTCATCCAGAACAGTGTTCATGTTCTCAATCCACAGGGCATCGATGGGGCCATCAAATATGACCCACTTCCTGTCGGGGGTATCCGTGGAGGCAAACTCCCTGAATGTGTTGGCGACCACGCCATCTGTCCACTGGAAATATACAACATCACACATGGGCTCATCTCAAGACAACAGCAATGTCTACAAACCACTGTGATAATAACTCAAAATGAAAACTGCTTTAGCCAGAGAGTGAGTTTAATGTGGTTTGCACAGTATTTCAGTTATATTCCGTTATGAAAGTAGAGATCCAGGAACTGGATACAACTTTGGTGAAATCCTCAAGCACATGTATGGTGCTGACAAACATAGAAACATAATCAAGTTGAACTGGGATTCAAACCCATGATCATAGGTACACAACTAAGGGATGCAACTCCACACAGCAAACTGTAGTCCCTGAGATGAAAGGGTCACATGTGCGCCCTTTAGGTTGTGGAAGAGTATAATAACATCCTAGCTTGCTGCCTGTTTACCTCATGAGAGACGGGATCAAACTGTCCAAACAGCTGGCCCATGGTGATGGATTTTGGGTTGACGATCCTCGTGATGACCCTCTCGAAGTCCTCATGACCTTCCTCACTGAGCTGTGTCATGCCCTCCCCTAACACCTCCAGCACCTTGGACTTGGCGCCAAACGGCTCCCCCACCAACATGAAGCTGAAAAAAATCCACACTTCCTCAATCAAACTAATAATACATATTGTTTTTTTCATATTCTTTAAAACTCCTTAAAACAGTACTGAGAGAGCAGCTGACGCATGTTAAAAAGAATTGGGAACACATCAATAATTTGAACAAACCTCAGAATGACTCAGAATGACAAGAATATGTTTTGAACATTGTACAGTTGGAGCAACCTCACTATTATACAATACTGATGCAACTGCAATAACATATTAAATTAATGCACTGAAAAGTGTATTTCAAGTGAGTGACATGTTTTATACCACAATGGGCCTTATAACAGCTATTCAGCTTGGGCTGCATGTACTCATATCATACATCCTTGGTTGATATGCATGAGCAGCAACCCATGCCATTGTCACACATGGTAACCACCAGGGGCCAGTTGCACAAAGGGATCTTAGCACTAAGGTGATCGTAACTCCCATACTTAAGCATAGACTTAAGATCATTGTTGCGCGAAGCTGACATTCTTTTAATTACTTGGTTTACGGATCCGCCGCTCTTTCAAAGTCAAAATGTTGGACATAAATAAAAATAAAAATGACTCCTTTATTTATTACCGCCGATCTTTACTTTAAAAAATGCAAAAAAAGTTCAAACAAGAAAAGATTTCATTTCCTCCGCGAGTGTAAAGAAAAGGGAGGTCACTTTGATATTTCTCGCTGGGATCCTGCTCTGATGCCATCGATGCATGTGCAAAGTGCAGTGGTGACCAGTTTAACTGTTTCAACACTGAAGGCCGGTACACCGGCCAAGAAGCCACAAGTCACCAGACACTGCAGGGCATTAGACCGGCCAAGTCACATAAAAATGGTATAAAAGTTTATAAACTTACCTGTCATATCATTCATTTATTAAATCTTTCACATTCCGTAATGCCTGAAATACGTATTCCATTTCAATTTATCATTTTTTATCAATATATTGGAAACTTATTCACTATTTCCCGCAATGTTATTGAAAATAAAAAATTTGGACACACACTTCAACAACTGATTCTCATTGAACATGTCAAACAGCAAAATAAAGACGTTTTAAGCAAATCTTTAAATGTATTATAGAAAGTAATAAATAAAATCAAGAAAAATAACTAGAAGTTGTCAAACTTACATAGATCTAAGTTATTATTTCCATCTTTTTGTGCTATCGTGGGTAACATAAGTCATTACATCTCAGCTTTCGTTGCCTTGATTTCTCAGATTGATTCATTGATTAAACAATGTTTCATGCCAAAATATATGAATAAGAAATCTTTATCACAGTTCGTAACTAGCATGATACATCCATGAAGTTCCATATTTTTAATATAGATCACAATTTCCTGCTTAAAACGTTCAGAATAACATGATTTAACCAAAACCTTTCGTCAAAATCGGAAAATTATCATACACGAGGACGGTACCATTGCTGTAATTTGTTTGGCTGCCTTAGGTCACATGCTTAAATTTGACCAATCACGAACCTTGTAGCAGATTTCGGCAAGAAAGCATCACTAGAAACCAATGTTACAGCTACAAAAAGACTCCTATGGATGTTACTATTATCATTAGGTCTGTTAAACAATATAAGCTTATTAATGGATACCCACATGGCAGCCTTTGACGAACGTGTTATTCATACGAAGCTTCGAAATCGGAGGTATTTCCTCATGTTAGTGAGTGGACAGCCACTATTATAGGGAAATGTGTTATGACAGATACTATTTGTAATTCTTTTTAAAATAATTTTCCGATTACGTAAATAATGAAACTAAAAAAGAGTGAGTGAGTTTGGTTTAACGACGCTTATAACAGTATTCAAGTTATATCACGGCGTGTCAGCTTAATGTGGGAGGAAAACTCGAAGTAATGCAGGTCTTAGACGTTTACCACTTCGGTGAAACCCACAAGCACGGTATGGTGCTGACACACCTAGAAACAAAACTGGGGTGAACCGGGATTCGAACCCACAATCAGGTTTCTGGCGTGCCCAAGGGACGCAACGCTGCACATCGAATCGCGGTGCCTTAGACGACTGGGCCACCCATGCCCCTTAAACTAAAAAAAAAGAAAAAGAAATAAGTAAGTGGATTTTATGAAATCTTATATTTGCTGAAATTTTTTACAAACCTGTAGAGGTTATGAATTCTCTGATCAAATCCTCCTTGGGGCACTTATTGCATTTTCCTTGCTCAAGAAAATCTACATGACATAGTTGTAACCATTTTCCTTAATAAAAAATGTTACCATACAAAAAAACTTCGTTTTTGTATGATATACAACCACCCTTATGGGGCCTCACCCTCCACAGCGTGTCACGCCAGGGGAAGCAACTCTCACCCAAATCACTTTCCATATGTCTAATGCTGATGGAATGTGGGGAGGTGGGTGGCCAGGCCCCAAGGAGGATTTCATCAGAGAATTCATAACCCTACAGGTTTGTAAAATTCTCTTTCGGATTAAATCATCATTGGGGCACTTATTACATCAAGATAGACTCCTAAAGATAATCTAGGAAGTGGCATCCGTCAGCAACAAGTGTAATAAATACATCGTATTTTGATTATTTCATTGAATAAACAAGAGTTCAATAAATGGAACCAACCTTATCGTGAGGCACCACCGTCGAGAGGCGGGGGCTAGAGACAGGGCGTGGTCGACCATATACTATGAAATATCCATTATTTGTGGCTGATCATATTCGAGAACTTGAAACTAGCTCGGCTGGCTCCAAATAGCCGCGGAGCAGATCTCCTCAATGGGCAGAGCTGCGGCGTACACTTTTGATGTAGCCACTGCTCTAACCGAATGAGCCTTCAACCTGGTAGGGGGGTTCCTGCCTTGAAGCATGTATGCAGTACAAAAAGTTGACACTTTCCACCTCGAGATAGTTTGTTTGCTCGCAGGTGAGCCAGCCTTCCTACCACCATAACAGCAAAATAGTTGGTTATACTTACGGATACCCTTAGTTCTACTGATATAGGCCTTGAGGGTCCTGCGGACATCCTAGACATGAGCATGTCTTGCAGTGGTCCCAGACGAGGAAGGCTGTGAAAGAGCAGGTAGCTCAATAGGAGCCGTCACGTGGAAGGCGTGTGCGACCTTAGGACTATAAGAGTCCGGCAGCCGAATACTGACCCTGTCCCGGTGGAAGACTGTTAGTTCGGGATCAGCTGACATTGCATGAATGTCGCCTACCCATCTGCCAGACGTTACCGCCACAAGGAACGCCGTCTTCCAGCTCAACAGCTGAAGAGAGAGAGATGACAGTTCCCGAAAGGAAGGACCGGACAGCCAATCAAGAACGATTGACAAGTCCCAAGGGGGACTGATCCGCCGGACAGGCGGTCGGATCCTGTCCACAACTGCTAAAAAGTGCTGCACTAATGGGTGCGCACCCAGAAGTGCCCCGTTGACAGGGACGTGAAAAGCTGCGATAGCTGTAGAGTACCCCCGGACTGTCAATGAGGCCAGGCCGTCATCTAGTCGCGACTGGAGGAACTCAAGCACGGCTACGAGATCTGCAGAAAAGGGATCTGCAATCCCTCTATCGGCACACCAGCGCGCATAGCAGGCCCATCTATCCTCGTACTGAACGTTTGTCGAATCCCTCTGCGAAGCCAGTATTGTGTCTGCAACTCGTGCAGGAATACCGCTCTTCTGGAGGGGATTCCTGACAGTGGCCAAGCCACCCAATGAACTTGGGATTCGGGTGGAGTGCCCCGTTCTGGGATAGGAGGTCCGGTCGTAAAGGTAATAGAACAGAAGTCTGAGCCAGAAACCTGAGTATTACTGGAAACCAACTCTGCGCCGACCAAAGAGGTGCCAGGAGCACAAGCAGTCGCGCAGGCTGAGTGGCTAGCTGAGACAGGACCTTGGAAATCAGAGGTACTGGGGGGAATGCCCACAGAACTCTGTCCGTCCAATCTAGCTGGAAGGCGTCTGGTGTCCCACCGACCTCGGGTCGGGGAGTCAGGAGCAGAACGTTGGTGTCTGGTGATTCACTCCAGACGCAAAAAGATCCACCTGGAACGACCCGTATAACAGGGAGATAATCCCGAATATCCCCAGGTCGAGCCTCCACTCGTGAGGAGCGAGGATCTGGCGAGACAGAGCGTCCGCACGGACGTTGTCCACCCCCGGGAGATAAACAGGTAGCACCCTGATATCGTGAGAGTCGCACCATAGTAGGAACTGCCACGTCTCTTGGAGAAGCGACGGGGACACCGTTCCTCCCTGCTTCTGGATGTAAGTCATCGCCGTTTGGTTGTCCATCTCTAGATGAACCACTTGGCCACGAAGCAGATCCAGGAAGCGTTGGAACACCAACCTGACCGCTCTCAGTTCTAGCACATTGATATGCAGTTTGATCTCCTGCTTGGACCATAGTCCCGAGGCAGTGTGATCGTTCAGAACGCCTCACCAGCCGGAGAGTGACGCGTCTGTTTGAACTGTGAGAGATGGAACGGGAGTGTCGAGGGGGAGCCCCTGGGACAGATTCCCGACCTCGGTCCACCACTGAAGGTGTGTAATGAGCCACTGCGGAGTCTCGAGAACAGTCTCCAGATCTTCCGAGTTCACCCAAAGTCAACGGAGCGCTTGTTGAATGGGTCTCATTCTCAAATAGCCCGGCAAACCACATCCACCGTCGCCTGCATGTTGCCCAGTAACTGGAGCCATATACGAGCAGTGTGTCTTGTGGACAGAAGGAACTGGGAAGTACAACTTCTGACCTTGATTATGGGATCTTGTGAGAGAGATACAAGTCCGCTCACTGTGTTGAAGTTCGCCCCTAAGAAGACAAGATTCTGAGTAGGGCTCAGATCTGACTTCTTGAGATTGACTATCCACCCTAGAGTGATCAGAATGTCTTTCTGACTCAGGGAATGCGATAGAGCTCTTAGTAACCAGTCGTCGAGGTACGGATGGCAGAACCGACCTTTCGACCTTGCCACTTGGGCAGGAATCAACATCAGCTTGGTGAACACCCTCAGGGCCGGTCTCGGATGGTCCATGAGGTCAAGTGGCCTGCCTCGGCTGACGCCGGGCATTCCACAAGACCTCGAAGCTGCGTCCGGCGCCGACAACGGGAAAGGCCCAGCCCGCAGCTCCTCTCGGAGTTGGGAATTGACCTACTTCATCATCGACGCCATCTGTGACTTAAACAAAGCAGAGATGTCTGCCAAAGAGGGTGCAGGAGAGGGTGCAGGTGTGGGAACCTCGGGGACTCTAGAGCCCTCTCCCCCGGCCCTCGGAGAGGGGGCGGAGGAGACTGTTGCAGAAGGCGTATGTTTCGCCTTACTTTTACCCTTTTTAGAGGGGGGGGATGGCCTTTTTAGAGTGTTTTCAGGGTAAAGGCCCTGCAGATGGGGCATGATTGATCCTCAAGCCCCTTTTCAACCAAACACTTCAGGCAGCATTCATGCTTGTCCTGGGTGGGATGTTTAGCCCACATCCCGTACAAAGTTTGAAGGTCTGTAAAAAAGAGGGTAAATTCTGAGTTGGGTTGGGCGGGAAATAGTGTATCAGTGCGATATTAAAGATCGGAAAGATACGTGCATTTAAAATTGTGAAAACAGAAGCAAAGGCGTAATGTAGAATGCGATTTGTAACGCGATACTAATAGCCAATGTCTGTAGTATAATTTTTTAAAACACCAAAGGGGCGTGTTACGCGCTAAGGTGTAAATAACCCGTAAAAAAAAAAAAAAGTAAGTGTAGTTATAATCTAGCACACCACCTTGGGTTTATGTAAAGGAAAACGTGCAGTTCAAATCTGTATGATATAACAAAACCCCAAGCCGTTTTGATGGCCTTGGTGTTACATGTGTCAGACAGCGGAACCACACAATGGACGCCATTATGGTCATTTGAATTCCAATGCACCATACACGTGGCGTTTCTTCTATGAGAATTACAACACTATAACTTTACAATGCGAGGTATTACGCCTTTGCAAGGAAATAAATGTACCATACATACAGTTTGGTCAGTCATGGTGTCTCAGTGTACGATTTCGTTGGTGAAACTTTTTCTTGAAATATCAAACGTCCTGTCAGGCGTATGACATAAAGGAAAGTGATTTGGGTAAGAGTTGCTTCCCCTGGCGTGACGCGCTGTGGAGTGTGAGGCCCCGTAAGGGTAGTCGTATATCATACAAAAACGAAGTTTTTTTGTGTGGTAACATTTTTTATTAAGGAAAATGGTTACAACTATGTTATGTAGATTTTCTTGAGGAAGGAAAATGCAATAAGTGCCCCAAGGAGGATTTAATCTGAAAGAGAATGGGAAACTTTGGCTTCCTTAGTCCCTCATCTGGACGTTATGAATGTGTTAGCTTACATTTTCTTTATTTACAACAAACTTTATTAAGTTGTTAATGAATTATCTAAATAATGTGATACACATAACTTTCATATTCATTAACAATAGGATTAAACAGACCTTTCAAACAGTCTATAGCTAAATATGTAGTAGCAAAGATGTTTTACAAGCAGATAATTTCCATGATAAATGCTGGCTTCATCTATCACACAAGAGTCTCTGGAAACTCGGTGTCCCAGCAGTAAAATCTTCTGGTTGACTGGTGTTGAAAGAATTAATAGTCGCCCATGCTGCCAAAACAGCAGCGTCTTCATGTATTTCACCCATGACATGAATATTGTTATACTGCCATTTGTGCACAAGGTGTGTGCCAGAGATATAATAAAAGGTTCTTGAAAGATTAAGTTGTTTTACTTTTGTTACTCCAGAATATGTTTTTTGTACCTCCCTAACTATTTAGGACAAAAGTCAAGTTTTTAAAAAAAATTGGCCTACCTCACTTTTGAAATGAGTTTGAAATCCGTAAACCAAGAAATATAAAAAGTGTTGCCTAAGATTGGTTTATGCATGTGGGCCCTGTTTCACAAAGGAATCTTTGCCAAGGTGATCGTAACTCCAATACTTTAGCATAGGCTTAAGATCATCATAGTGCTAAGATGCTTTGTGGAACAGGGCCCTGATCCCATGTCCCTCCTACAACGAGCAGGAGGTACGGTGCTACAGGGCACATCTAGGACTGACTCACCCGTGTCTCACTATCATCATCTCGTATGTCTGGATGATCTTCTCCCGGAAGAAGTCCACAAACTGTAGGTTCTTCTTCTCACACTGATACTGCATGGTAGCAAGGAAGAGCTTGTAGTCGGCCTCTGGCAGCTGGAGTCCAGGGAACAAGTCGGAGATGATACCATTGAACAGTGGGATGTCGTGGGATAAGAACTTGGGTAAGTTGACATCAATGATTGATCGCAGAAGCTAAAATAAGAATGACAATGCTATGAGAAGCTGTAATTATGTACCGTACTGTGTCACTGTTGAAAAATGAGGTATAAAAAATGATGACGTCAGGAATAATTGCACAACAAAATCAGTGAAATCTGTATGAAGTGTAATAGATACAACCTTGATAATGAAAAGCTATTGTGGATATTTGCCTGAACAGTTTGTCAACCATTGTTGAATGTTGAGATATACATGGACTTACCAGGATATCTTCATCTTCATCAGGATATTTCAGCTTGAGGTTACCTGCGGCTGACAACACGGCCTTCACAGCTCTCATACCATAGTCGTAGTGAAACTGGGAGGACAGTTGTTCCGAGCACAGTCGGTAGGTGGTCACAATCTTCACAGCCAGATTTCTGGCATCCAGGAAGCCGAAGGAATATAATGAGATCTCAGCAATCATGGCATAGTCTGGCACCATCATGGCCACAGTTCTGAAGAGCACCTTCAAGTTGTCTGGCAGCTCAGAGCGGCCAGCATAGCCAGGGTTCATGGTGATACAAACATAGCAGTTGGGGTTCAAGGCGAGCTCTGTTCCTTCAAACATGAATGTGTCAACCTTGCCCTGGACCGCACGGATAATACACAGGATCTGAGGGAGACAGCAATATATTAAATTCATAGGACGCGATCTGTCATAATGTCATTGCTGAAACTAATATATTCCATATCACAACAGCGATAGAAACTATTTAAGTCCACTATTCCTTATAATGATAACATATAGGTAAACCTTTACTAATGGCAAATTTCTACTAGTCCTTATGATACCTTGACTAATGGGCAGTTTGGCAAGGACTACAGGACTAGTGACAATATCTAACGCTGCACAATTCTTTATCAAAATAAATCCAAATACATAATAACGATAAATAAAACATGACATATAAACATCACCAAAACAATTGCATACCTGCTGTGCAACCACAGACAACACTTCCAGGTCGATACGGTTGAACTCATCAAAACATGCCCATGCTCCTGCTGAGGCAAGACCTTTGAAGAACTGAAATTCACAAACCAGTTCTAAATATATATATACATAATAGTGTAAGTGAAGATAACAATTTTTCTGCGCATCAATTAGGAAACCATTTATGATTATTGAAACTTAGCAGTGAACCTGTGACCAAATATTTACCTTGCCCATAGCAATGTAGTCCAGACCATCGGAGCAGTTGAACACAACACACTGCACAGCCAGAGCCTTTGCCAGATCCTTGGTGGTCTCCGTCTTCCCTGTTCCAGCAGGACCTTCCGGCGCTCCGTTCAGATTGAGATGGAATGCTCCGACCAGTGTTCTGTAGCATCTGTCTGTGAGAGGAGTGATGACAAGGCGGCCGGAGTTGCCAAGGTACTCGTTACAGTATCTGACAGTTGCGTTGGTGATGCGCACCAGCATCTTCTCCTCCTCCCAGTAGTAGCGCAGCTGGGACAACCAGTTGAAGTCATTCTCCGCAGCCACACCTAGCATAAACAATAGTCACAGAGATTAAAGGAACTGCACTGTATAGATATAAATATAATATTTGAGAAACTGAATGTCCTGATTGCATACGATCCTATTTTTATTGTACTCCAAAGAGGCAACAATGTACTGATTGTATTTGGCCATAATATAGTAATTATTAAATCAAATGATTCTCCAAGTACCTTCAGAGAAAAATAAACTTGCTACATGGGTTGCCTTGATGAAATTGTAAATTTTACAATGAATTGTATATTTATAAACTTATCCTATCTCACACTATGCGTCTCTCTTTCTTCTTTGATCCAAAATGGAAAACATGCTAATACAAAGGTTTCCAGCTTTTAAAAAACCCCAGTTCACCTGCATCACCATGGTCACTTCCCAACAATCTGGGTCATGCACGCTCTGTATGCATGTTGACCTATACACACTAACCACGTGATTTCCCCAGCCAACTCATTCTCTTTCTAAAGCTTCATAGACTAAGAGAATTATATGCGGGGATGAACGGGTGCGCATATAACGTGTGAGATAGGATAAGGATTTACAATTTTTTGGGAAATTTACACATTTGCAAACTTATCCTATCTCAAACCATGCATTTATCAAATAGTTGGAAGGTGGGGCGCAATGCCCTAGCCCCAGAAAATAATCGTGTCTGGGCCAGACAATCCAGTGATTGACACAAGCATCGATCCATGCTATTTGGATATGATGACATGCATCAACCAAGTCAGCGAGTCTGACCACCCGATCCCGTTAGTCTCCTCTTACGACAAGTATAGTTGCTTTTTAAGGCAAGCATGGGTTGCTGAAGACCCTATTCTACCCTGGATGTTCACAGGTCCCCAACCTCTGAGTACTTTTATGAGCTCTGAGTACCTTTATTGGACATGTCCAGCACCACGTCCCGAGCATGTACGTCTATAACCACAAGAGCTCCCAGTGTGATTCTCTGCTGCTTGGTCAGTTTGCCTCGGACCAGCGCCACAACATCAGTCAGCTGAATCTGCAATTTCTCCCAGTAGTCCTTGAGCCCCTGCGGTCCTCCCCGGATAGCCTCATGCACCTCACGTGTCCAGTAAACTTGGGATGCACACAAGACCACCTGGCCCGGCCACTCCTTCACCCACTCACAGCGGGGAGAGATCAGGTAGGCCTTGGGAGAGACAAATCAAATTAGTAAAATCTAAATATTTTTTACATTTGTATACTTATCCTGCATTACTCCGTATTGCATTTACTGCTATGTTTGACAGAGAGACGAACTGTGTGAGATCCAGCTGCTGAAGAAAGTTGTCCCAACCAGCCCAGGAGGCAGCGCCCTCTCACAGTCGGCACGTGACCCGGAAGTCATGACGTCACACCAAAAGACATAACTGCTTTAAACATAACATCTGAAACTTCGTGGGGAGGTAGCGTAGCGAAAGGGAGGGAACTTAGACTTCGTAATGCAGGATAAGTATACAAATGTAAAAAATATTTAGATTTTACTAAATTTTTTAACTTATCCTGCATTACTCCGTATTGCATCTTTATCAGACGGCTTGGCCGGTGGGCATACTTGCAGATGTGAACCATATTAAACCCTCGTCAAGGTCCGATGAATCCGCACCACATACAAGTGATGACCGGAACATCTACGACCATTCCTGTCTTCAGGAAACAAGAGTCGATGCAAAAACGAAACGCCCGAATAGGTAACCGAAAAACAATGAGGCGTGTAGCCAAAATATATAACTTACCGAAGAGCGAAAGCGAAACGCAGTAGAACCTAGAGCTAATCTGAGGTGATAAACACCAGAGAGTTCGACGGGCCCCGCTCGGGGAATCGAAGAATCAGCGGCGTCGGCGGCAAAATCTACGACCAATCCCAAGAGCGAATGCGAAACGCAGGAGAGCCCTCTAGGCTGGAGGCAAGGAACACCGGTGAGGTCGACGGGCACCGCTCAGGTACCAGAGAAGCAGCGGCGTTGGCGTCATCCTCATCCTCGGCACCCACACTGGACGAGGGGGGAGGGGACAAGGAATGATCTATCAGGCTGTCCTGGGAGTTGAGTCTTTACGCTGACGTCCCAGTACGGTCCATGATGAACGGCGCCCTGGGTACCGCATTCGAACCGGGCATGGGAGACGTCGAGGGCGTGCTGTACATGGACTCGAGCGGCAGTAGTCAAAACCAGTAGAAACACCCGTCTTCTACTTAAGGTCGAAGAAGGAAGACGAGGGGAGTGGTTCGAAGGGCATTGAAGACCACATTCAGATCCAACGCAGGCGGTCCGAACTTGGTCTTCAGGTCTTCAAGACTGAACGAGCGCAGCCAGGCCCGTAGGTCGGGAATTTTCGTCTTTCTCCGATCGTCCGGGATGGCCAGAACGGAGTAGATGGCGACCAGGTATGTGGGGGTGGTAAGCCCTTCAACCGATGGGTGCTACACAAGTACAGAAGGAACTGATCCAGGATCTGCGGTGACGCTGTCATCGGATCCTGGTGTTTGTCAGAACAAAATGCCTGGAACAAGCATCATTTATCAGCATACAGTCCCCCTGTAGATGGACGGTGGGCTGAAGCAATAGCCTTGGTCGCTCTAGCCGAATAGCCCTTGGCTTTCTGCATGTGTGTCAGGCGTGCAGACGATAACATGCAGGTATGAGGGTGTGGCAACAGACCGTGTGGATGGAGCAGAAGGTTGGACCACACCGGAAGTTCCAGGGGTTGTCTCTGGCTATGTTTCGGAGGTCGATAACCCAACTTCTGGCTGACCAATAAGGCGAGACCAAAGTCAATGGCAGGGGTCGAGTGGCCTGGATCTCTGAAGAACCGTGGGAGGGAGAACCGGAGTCGGAAAAGCGTACGCGCGTAATCCTTCTCAGGAACGATGGAAGGCTTCGACTGCCACAGCGGTCGTATCCGGCACAGGTGGAATGGAAGACGACAGCTGGCCACATTCAGATATGAGGCAAACAGATCTAGGGTTGGGGTGTCGACCGTTTCACATAGTCTGGCCCGAGGCGCCGGAGAGCGTGAGGCGTCCGAGAGCTTGAGGCGCCTGGAACGCCGAAGATGGTGATTCTCGGGGGCGCCAGTCGAGTTTGTGGCGCCGGGAGAGGGGCGAGAACTCTGGGTCCGCAAACACCACACTACGGTGACGTCGTCAGTGGACACGATCAACAGGGCGTGACCGAGAATGCACTGTCAGCAAGTGCCGTCCTGGATAAGCATTTATCTCGAGGCTGTTGCTGTGCCAATGTTGTTGATCTCTGGATCACAGGTGGTCACAATGTGGGCTGGCGTGGGCCACTAGCCACTGACAAGGTGGCAGGGGAGGTAGTCAGCAACAGGGGTCTGCGATTGCGTACCGTCGGTACGATTCGGAAAAAGGTGTGATCGTCTGCGAGCCAACCTCAAGTAGACGAAGTAAACCAGCTTCACAATCGATCGCCGGGGCATCGACGTAACCGGGTAGTAGGAAGTCGAGGCAATATGGCCATTGCACGAAGTAATGAGATCGTTTTCATCCCTGAAGCGGCGTATAAGTACTCCTGTTCTTATATCGAGGTGACGATGGAGGACGACAACACGATATGAGGCAGGTATGCAACAGGGGTCAGTGGGACGGCCGAGGGACTTTAAGTATCAAATCGACACTGTGTCCGGTAGTCAAGGCTGAAGATAGGAAGGTGTTGTAGTCGAAAAGATCAAACCGGACGAAGGAAGGCGATCTTTTCCATCCCTTGAACGCCTATAGGCGCTATCGTTCTTATAGCGAAGGGTTGATGAAACAAGGTTCCTCGTGACAGCCGTGTTGGTAGAGGAGGTCTATTGTTTCCAACATCCGTGCATGGATGGACTGCGACAGGCGCCTGGTTGAGTGGTATCACCAAGCGTACAGGTAGACATGGAAACCAATCTGTAGAAATACATGGCACCCCTTGCCATGGTAAGTTGACCTAAATCCGGTCGGAGTTGTTGACAGTCCGAGTACTTGACACGTGACATGTAAATCACTCTGCGCAGTAGCCGAGAAAACCGCCTTGGAGTCGGAACTGAGGTGCAAACTCCACACACAGACAATCCTCAATGAACTGTGTGAGAGACGATCAAGTGGTGTACCCGAGTTTTGCGATAAAACACGGAACCCCATGGGCGTCGTGGAAAACCCGGGGAGCGCCGAGGAAGAGTCTCTCTCAGGAACGCTGGCGCTAGGGTAGGGTAGAACAGCGTTGATGTCTGCGATGTCGACGAAGTAAACTCTTTGTAAGTGGATGTCGTCGTCGAATCTGATACAGACGCTGTTCACATGACGCTCTGTTTCATTGGAAACCCGCAGGTCATCTCTCCGGAATCATAGCGCTTTAAATGACGGGATTATGGATAAAGTCTCAGTGGGCAAGTTGAATCAGACCAACTGTCTATTGGTTGAAATGATTCCACCCAGGAAGTAGAACGATAGTCACGATCCCGAAGACCGACGGGAGAGTAGCGAAAGGAGCGGCGACAGTTGTTTCACCATGCTTCTCCGTGTGACGAGTTATGAGACGGCAGCAAGAGAAGAGGGCAGTGGCGCCGGGGAGGCGATTGCCGATGGTGCCCCTTAAGCCGCAGTAGAAGATCGGATGGTCGGCTCGTTGATCTGAGCTTGATAAAGCTTGTTGATCTGAAGCTTGTTGAGCGCCGAAGACATCAGAGGATGCGGAGGCGCCGGAGCGCGGAGACATCAGAGGCGCCGGTGGCGCCGAGACATAAGCGGCGCCGAGTCATCAGAGGCGCCGGTGGCGCCGAGTCATCGGAGGCGCCAAGTCATCAGCTTGTCATGAACAAGTCATGAAGCTTGTTGAGCGCCGAGACATCAGCGGCGCCGAGTCATCAGAGGCGCCGAGTCATCGGAAGCGCCGCATCATCAGAGGCGCCGGGAGCGCCGAGTCATCAGAGGCGCCGCATCATCAGAGGCGCCGCATCATCAGAGGTGCCGGGAGCGCCGAGACATCGGAGGCGCCGAGTCATCAGAGGCGCCGTGTCATCAGAGGCGCCGGGAGCGCCGCGTCATCAGAGGCGCCGGGAGCGCCGAGTCATCGGAGGCGCCGGGGGCGCCGGAGACACCAGCGTTGACGGTGTTGGAGACCGTGAACGGTCGTATGTCGTGCCAGGGGAGGCAGACTCTACGTTGGGAGCGCTGGAGCCGCCGGTGGAGTAGGAGACCGTGAACGGTCGTATGTCGTGCCATGGGAGGCAGACTCTACGTTGGGAGCGCTGGAGCCGCCAGTGGAGAAGGAGACCGTGAACGGTCGTATGTCGTGCCATGGGAGGCAGACTCTACGTTGGGAGCCGCCGTGAAGCTCCGCTGAGCGCTGCTGCCGTCAACGTAGGTGGGGGTCGACGAGCACGTTGAGCGAGGTGTGTCCTGGATACTCGCATGAGCTGAAGGATCACAGCGACGAATGACTGCAACATCGGCACTGCCTTGTGAAAGTACAGGGCGTCGTACAATCACGGCAGAAAGGGGCGGCCCCGACCAGATTTGTTCCCGCGGAAACAAGTGCAGCGAGGCAGAAAATCTGGAATTTAAGCAAAACATAACTATGTGGCAAAGCCACAAAGTGCGGGAAGCATAATGTGTGGCCAATCACAAAGTATGGGAAGCATAAAGTAACTCAAAAACAGTATATTTTATTAAAGTTTATGAGATAAACAAGTACGCTAAAAGGGAGCGAAAAGGCAAAGCCTTAAGCAAACACGTAACCATGTGGCAAAACCACAGAGTACGGGAGACATAATGTAACTCATAAACTTCGTATTATATTGAAGTTTATGAGAAGAAACAATTACGCTGAGAGGTAGCGAAAAGGCAAGGCTTTAAGCACACCAAAACAACATACATAAATGTAATGTATTACCCAAGCCAAAGAGAGAATTCAAAACACAGAACACGACATTACGTGGCCACGTGGTGAATGGCCAAAATGGCGGGAAAGAAAACAAAATGGCGGGAACAACATTGCGCCCGTAAATTACTGTGACGTGAGCCACAGACGAGCGATAAACGTTACAATTTACGAATGGGAAGACCCTTAGGTCACGGCCCATAACAGGTAACAATGTAGCAGCATATAATGAATGTAGAAACACGCAAAATATAAAAAACAAATAATAAGCTTTAATTTCCACAAGGGATACAAAGTACGTCCGTCCGTGGAGGTGACAAAGCAGTTATGTCTTTTGGTGTGACGTCATGACTTCCGGGTCACGTGCCGACTGTGAGAGGGCGCTGCCTCCTGGGCTCGTTGGGACAACTTTCTTCAGCAGCTGGATCTCACACAGTTCGTCTCTCTGTCAAACATAGCAGTAAATGCAATACGGAGTAATGCAGGATAAGTTAAAAAATTTACTGAATATGAAATAGCAGGAAACAAGGCAAAAGTGAGCAGGGCTCACTAAAACCACTGACCTTAACTCCAACATCATCTGGAGAACAATTTTGATATTGGAGATATACTGATGCCTTAACGTTTGAGCCGGTGTCTCTTAAAAATCACAGCAATATAACCTAGCAATGGCATGATCCAAAGGCGCTATGGTGCGTCATCGGCAAGCTTTGCAGGATATTGTACACTTGACATAAAAAAGCAACATTTTCTAAAAGAAAGTCCACTTATCGAAATCAAGTTTTACACTATACCCTTTCTATTGGTATAGAAATTGTACCCCCAATTGGAAAAGAATCCATGAAGTAGTTTTCAAGCTATAGGTCGCACAAAGGTTTGCATAAAAATATTCAAAGTCAAAAAAGGAAAATGGCTGTATTTTTTCAGAAAATCCAAATATTGAAAATCAAACTTCACACTGCATCTCTCCTATTGGCATAGAAAGTGTTCATCAGTTTGAAAAGAATCTATGCAGTAGTCTTCAAGTTATATGTCGAACAAGAAACTGTCCCTTGATGGACGAACAGAAGGATGGATGGAATTCCTTGGTAAAATTATATACCCTCGCCCTTTTTGGTCGGGGGTATAAAAATGCTTGAATAACATTCATAGTCTATCTATATTCAATGTATTGTTTCCATGAACTTTTAAATCAATCAACTGAGCCCCTAAAATAATCAGTGACAGCACTCACAGCCTACATAACGAGTGCCGATTTCTATCTTCAGGGTGTCAGACTCTTATCCCAAATAGCACTTGACCAACAAACAAGGAAATTGTGTAGAACCACACAAAATTTCTTGTTTGATCGATGTAAATTGTGAAATATATCTTATTCTCACCTCAACAGCAGCAGCAATGACATCATGTACAGACAGCAGCATGACGTTCTGGACCTGCAGTAGCCACTTCTCCACTGCACCCCGCGCCTCGGCTGTAGATATAGCAGTGGAGTACTTCACTTTCTCCCCCTCGCTGGAGAACATGGCGTGGATGTCCAGCTTATCATCAAACTCCAGCTTGGCAATGCCTTCAAAACACTTCTTCAGATGTGGCTGGACTCTCATTGGGTCCTTGGTCTCAGAGAGAATCTCAAGCATCTCATCATTGGACAAGAAGAAGAATCTGAAGGAAGAGATACATCTGATGATCAAGGGAGGTAACTGGCTCAATGATTATTTCATTAAACATCATTTCAATCTAATTTCAATTCTATTCAGGAAAAATGGTGAGGGTGTGAATATTGTACACCATTTCACTTGACAATATTACAATGGGACCAGCAACCTAGTGGTTGATAGTGTAAGCAAGAATCAATGACTCAACCAGGTCAAAATGGTACCACCATATCGATATATTTGTTGGTTCTATTGATGAACATGGGGAGTTGGGGACCTATTCAGCTCTGGCATGGCAGTGCATCAGAAACACAGATACCTTTAATTTGTTTCAGAACTTATTACATCTGCAACATGTTGACAAATCCATTAAAAAAAAAGAAGAAAGAGATAAATCCCAGGCTGACACTACACCTGCTTCATCGTGTAGGACACTAACCGTGGGAAGAAGAGACGTTTCTTTTCCAGGTAAGCATTCAGCCCCTTGTTGATCTTGTCCAGCAGACCATTGCTGTCCACCAGCTTCTCCAGCAGCCCCTGCATGCCCACAGCTGCCATCACCTGAAGCACACAGGCAACACTCACGCTCTACATCAAGTGATGCAGCCCCACCATCCTGTGTCATTTTTACCCACCTCATCATCTACTTATGGTCTTAGCATTGTTTTGTTAACCGAAGTCAAAATGAACAGATTTGGGGATACCATCTTGGTTAATTAAAGTTGTTGGGAAATACATTCAAACACCAAATACATTTTTCACTCAGATTATCTGTGTAGTGTTGTTAACTTTACGTCTATACTAGTGACATCAACAATTCATTATCATAATACCCGTGAAGATCCAGGGTAGATTAGGTCTTCAGCAACCCATGATTAATGGGATCGGGTGGTCAGGCTCGCTGACTTGGTTGATGCATGTCATCGTATCCCATTTGCTAGGTCGATGCTCATGATATGAATCAATGGATTGTCTGGTCCAGACTCGAGTATTTACAGAACGCTGTCATAATGCAGGAATATTGCTGAGTGTGGCGTTAAACAACAAACAAACATTATCATAAACTTTCTTCTTATTACTTATCAGCTATATCACTTATGATTTCTTTTTTTATAATGCCGTTCTTCTGACGTAACTGGGGGACATGGATAGGGCCATACTTTACAAACATGTTGATGAGTTTATTCAAGGCAGGGCATTCTCTTGGTTGATGGTACTGACCTTGGCATCCTTGACAGTGTGCCTCATGACGTCCTTCCAGTTTCTGTCCACCATCTGGAACAGCCTCCCCTCCTCCGGCATCTGCTGCATGATGTCCTCAGAGGAGAAGATGGGCTCCAGATACAGCCACTGCGCTTGCACCTTCAGCCACTCATCGATCGTCTCCTGCGTCCGCATCAGTTTCTCTTCCCACACCTACACACACCAACAACATGCCTTGTTAACATACACCGTCCTACCACACAACAATCTGTATACATGTATCATCACAGCTAAACTGATTCAATCATATTTCTGTAAATATGCAAGGAATTATATGACAGGCAAATAACCTCGTGAGGTTTGGTAATGATGAATTGGTTGTTAGTAAATATAGTGAGGTTAAATGACAGGCATGCTGTACAAAGTTTGAATACCAGATAAGGTATAGATTGATATCTATTGTTATTATGTAAAGAATAAATAGAAATGATGAATCGCTTGAAGCATCCCTTTATATTTGAATATATTATACCGTCCAAATTACATGCTAGTGACAAACAATACTTTTACTGTTTTCAGAAACTTCTTCAAACATAGTCATACAATTGGAAAAACACAAACAGCCTTGCATGATGTTTATCTGATTTATTTAAAGCAATTTTAAGAATTTTAGGTTGGTGCACAAGACATATCAAACAATCTGGGGTCAATCAACTATAAGTCAACTAATTGACATAGGATTTGCATAAGAAGCACGCAGTACAGGTTTGTTTATTAAGTGCCTCAGATTTCATTATATTTTAATAAAGATATAGAAAAAATATATTATACTATTGTCAGGAAGCAATCATAAAATATCCATTAAAAGGAAACTTTAATACTGAAGCTCTTAAAGGTTTCTATGGAGGTAGGGATGTGTAGCAGTCTCTGAAAATAGTGATCCTACTCTACGAACCACTAATCCTTGTGTAGCACTATAAGTCTAGACAAAATTGAGCAAACCTTAACACATTCACTAGAGAGAATTGCTATGTCATGACAACTGTCATGCGTTAAATACATGAGATGTTAATAAAGATGGATAATACAGTGGTGTGTTCAGTGACGTATAAGCACATGGAGCAACAGGCACATCGCATAAGTGAACATCATGTGTATTGTTTGCAATCACCATGCTACGACTATAGCAACTCTCACACCTCTTACTGTAGTTGTTGCATATTTTTCCTGGTGCAAGCAGGCCAGCGTTTGTTTGTATGTCTTTGAAACATCATTGAGAATCAAATGCTTTGCATCTTGTGTGAATGCATTAGATCAGATGCTCAAACATGGCAGTGATATGGCCGGGACCCTGTTCCACAACACGATCTTAGCGTTGAGGGGATCGTAACTTCTATACTTTAACATAGAGCTTGACAACCCTAGCGTTAAGATCGCTTTGTGGCACAGGACCCTGAAATGTGACATGGCAGTGAGTGAGTCATCAAAAGATGAGTGAGAAAGTGGGAGTGAAAGGTCATGAAAAAGGTTCATCACTTGTTGGCAGACTACCTAGATTGTATGTCAGAGACCTGAAGACAGAGATGCTCATGTTGCTGCTACTGCTAGTCATGCAGAGAGCTAACAGGGCAACCCTGGGTCATCCTTACCAGCCGCCACATAACAACATATCTTCCTCTTTGTGTAGGAATGGTATACATGTCATAATAGCATCACAGACACTCATAAATAATAATAACACGCTCTATTACCAATCAAACCCTGATTTCGAAAAAGTTGCAATGATTTTGATTTTCTGTACAGTATAACCTTTCATAGTCATAATCATCCTACCTTGTAACAACCACTCTCTTACAGATCAATTCCTGTCATATTGATTCACACTAAACAATAAATGTTTAAGCTCATCCAGTGAAGAAGTTCCTTACATAATCATTGTTACATTTAAACTTAAACATATTTGTCTTCGTTCTATCAGTTTTAAACTTACCTTATTATTACCCTACAGTGGTTACGCTACAACTTGACAAAATGTACCTGACATGAGGTTTCATTTCGGAAAGGCTATACTGTACATCACAACATTCAATGTTATAGCTTGTGACTAAAAGACAAGTCCTACAAGCATAGAAGAATTCATTTACTGCAGATTTCCATGTTTAATGCTTATACTGGCATACCATGACAGTATGTGGGTGTTTGATGGATAATAAAGTTCATGATTATTATTTCACAAGTTACTGTATATGCTGCAAAATGTCAATGGTATCCTCCAAACTGCAAACCATTCTACAAAAGATATGACTGTGACAGACATATGTCATTGTGTCATATAAATGTAGTCCCAGTTGACACATGCACAGAACTGAAACTGTCAGATGGAAAGTGTTTAAAATGTCCAGATTGTATTTAAACAGCTGCAAGACTTGGCAGGTCCATCCTCGGCCCAACACACAAAACACACTCTCCAAGCCCTGCCTGACAGTGGCTGCATTCATCTTATGTTGGGGCAGTTTTTGAACAATGGAAAGAGCTGATAGATGTACGAATGTAGCGATTCACCTATGTCACAAAACAGTGCAATGATGTGATCCAATAGATACAGTGGACTTGGCAGTTTACACCCAGGTGGGTCTCCTCATGTCATGTTGCAAGATGGAGAGTATACAAGGACATTCTACAGTGGTTAAGAGGTAGACGGCAAATACAATTCATTTGAATGTGGAGAAAGGTTGAAGGACTACTGGTCAGGTCTCTAGTCATTCCCTACAATTTTGGATTACACCTTCATAAAATTAATGTTTTGACTTTTGGAAATTGTAGCATGTATTGTAAAAATCCTTATAATCAATTATATGTCATTATTGTGATAACATGTATCATTTCAACCCCACAGTTATCTGCCCTTAGTCCTCTGATGCAGGGAGGTGTGTTCAAAAAGTGATTGTTGGAGTAGAGAATGAGAGTCAATCTTGATAGAATACAGCTGGTAATTTGTGGTCTCTTAGAATTTGGGAGAGTTATGTTGTCGAAGCACAAAGAGTTGAAAATGTCTCAGATGTGAAAGACATTGCATAAAGAAATCTTCAAGTGTGACCTTTTTAAAGCTGGTGTTAATCCATGAACGGCTTTCCTACATAACTGGATTTTCGCAGATATGTGAAAACTCTGTGTGTTGGTCAGTGTTTTCACTAGGTGTGTCTGCAGTAGTGCTAGCACCATCGACATCAGCATCACCACTGCAAGGAGAGACAACTCCATCTACCTTGATTTCCTTCTCAAATGGCTTGATGAAGGGCGAGCCTCTCATAGTCTGTGTCTTGACGATCTGGTCATCCAGCGTGGTCTGAATGTCATCCACGGATGCCAGGATGGACACACCAGAATCCCGGTACTGAATGAGGTTGAAGTTGATTCCTGTCCATTCTTCCATCATCTTGTTCATTGCCTTCTCCAAGGAGAATTCCTGTGGAGGACATAGAGTTGGACAGTTGCATGTAAAATAAACAACCTGCAGAATTTCTGCACTGCACTAGATCCACTTGTATGTTCATAGAATTATACATTGTTATCAATACAGGTTTAAAAACATAGCACTCAAAGCACTATGGGCTGAAATACAGAGCACAAAAGGTTCAGCCACAGTGCAGTAAAGATTCAACCACACAGCATTCAAGCTCAACCACAATATTCTAGGTTCAACCACAGAGCTCTAAAGGTTCAACCACATAGCATTCATGGTTCAACCACATAGCATTCACCGTTCAACCACACAACATTCAAGGTTCAACCACCCAGCATTCTAGGTTCAACCACACAGCATTCTTGGTTCAACCACACAGCATTCTAGGTTCAACCACATAGCATTCAAAGGTCTACCACACAGCATTCTAGGTTCAACCATATTGCATTCAAGGTTCAACCACATAGCATTCACAGTTTAACCACTTAGTATTCAAGGTTCAACCACATAGCATTCAAGGTTCAACCACATAGCATTCAAGGTTTAACCATATAGTATTCATGGTTCAGCCACATTGTACTCAAGGTTCAGCCATATAGAATTTAAGGTTCAGCCACATAGCATTCAAGGTTCAGCCACATAGCATTCAAGGTTCAGCCACATAGCATTTAAGGTTCAGCCACATAGCATTCAAGGTTCAGCCACATAGCATTCAAGGTTCAAACATAGCATTCAAGGTTCAACCACACAGTACTCAAGGTTCAGCCACATAGCATTCAAAGTTCAACCACAGAGCTCTAAAGGTTAAACCACACAGCATTCAAGGTTCGGCCACACTGTACTCAAGGTTCAACCACATAGCATTCAAGGTTTAATCACATAGTATTCATGGTTCAGCCACATTGTACTCTAGTTTAGACACATAGCATTCAAGGTTCAGCCACATAGCATTCAAGGTTCAACCACATAGCATTCACCGTTCAACCACATAGCATTCAACGTTCAACCACAGAGCTCTTAAGGTTCAACCACACAGCATTCTAGGTTCAACCACACAACATTCAAGGTTCAACCACCCAGCATTCACGGTTCAACCACATAGCATTCAAAGGTCTACCACACAGCATTCTAGGTTCAACCATATTGCATTCAAGGTTCAACCACAGAGCATTCACAGTTTAACCACTTAGTATTCAAGGTTCAACCACATAGCATTCACCGTTCAACCACATAGCATTCAAGGTTTAACCATATCGTATTCATGATTCAGCCACATTGTACTCAAGGTTCAGCCATATAGAATTCAAGGTTCAGCCACATAGCATTTAAGGTTCAGCCACATAGATTTCAAGGTTCAGCCACATAGCATTCAAGGTTCAAACATAGCATTCAAGGTTCAACCACACAGTACTCAAGGTTCAGCCACATAGCATTCAAAGTTCAACCACAGAGGTCTAAAGGTTAAACCACATAGCATTCAAGGTTTGGCCACACTGTACTCAAGGTTCAACCACATAGCATTCAAGGTTTAATCACATAGTATTCATGGTTCAGCCACATTGTACTCAAGTTTAGACACATAGCATTCAAGGTTCAGCCACATAGCATTCAAGGTTCAACCACATAGCATTCACCATTCAACCACATAGCATTCACCATTCAACCACAGAGCTCTTAAGGTTCAACCACACAGCATTCTAGGTTCAACCACACAACATTCAAGGTTCAACCACCCAGCATTCACGGTTCAACCACATAGCATTCAAAGGTCTACCACACAGCATTCTAGGTTCAACCATATTGCATTCAAGGTTCAACCACATAGCATTCAAGGTTCAACCACATAGCATTCAAGGTTTAACCATATCGTATTCATGATTCAGCCACATTGTACTCAAGGTTCAGCCATATAGAATTCAAGGTTCAGCCACATAGCATTTAAGGTTCAGCCACATAGATTTCAAGGTTCAGCCACATAGCATTCAAGGTTCAAACATAGCATTCAAGGTTCAACCACACAGTACTCAAGGTTCAGCCACATAGCATTCAAAGTTCAACCACAGAGCTCTAAAGGTTAAACCACATAGCATTCAAGGTTCAGCCACACTGTACTCAAGGTTCAACCACTTAGTATTCAAGGTTCAACCACATAGCATTCAAGGTTCAACCACATAGCATTCAAGGTTTAACCATATAGTATTCATGGTTCAGCCACACTGTACTCAAGGTTCAGCCATATAGAATTCAAGGTTCAGCCACATAGCATTTAAGGTTCAGCCACATAGATTTCAAGGTTCAGCCACATAGCATTCAAGGTTCAAAAATAGCATTCAAGGTTCAACCACACAGTACTCAAGGTTCAGCCACATAGCATTCAAAGTTCAACCACAGAGCTCTAAAGGTTAAACCACATAGCATTCAAGGTTCGGCCACACTGTACTCAAGGTTCAACCACATAGCATTCAAGGTTTAATCACATAGTATTCATGGTTCAGCCACATTGTACTCAAGTTTAGCCACATTGCATTCATGGTTCAGCCACATAGCATTCAAGGTTCAACCACATAGCATTCAAAGTTCAACATCACAGCATTCACAGTTTAACAACATAAAGGTTTTGCCTCATAGCATTCAAGGTTTAACAACACAGCAATATGTTTAATCACACAAAACATTATAGATTTAACTGTGTAGATAAGTACCTGGTAGTTTTGTGGTGAAAGCAACTAACTCATGGCATAAGTGAAGAATTGTTGAGATATACTTTTTTTTAGCTGTTACAATTCTAGGGTGAATCGTCAGAGCAGAGCTCTCTCGGTTAGGCCATGTTAATGTGAAGTCACCCTACCTTGGATGCAGCTCCAGATATCTGTTCAAACTGCTCCATGTAAGGGTCAAGGTTCAGTTTGAGGACCTTCCTAAGTGTTGAACCAGAGTCTGGGGTGAGGTCAAAGCCAGCTATGTCTGACATCTGCTTCCAATGGCGTGTCCGCACACCAGGGTTGCACATGATGCTGATTACAGGGATGAACTCCTGTAAGTAAATCAGATCTTTAACAATCAACAGTAGTCACACCTTCTGGGGAAATCATACAAATAGTAGTAGAAAGAAATCAAACATATAAATTGATAAAACCTATACATACATTTCTGATCCTTGAACATACTGATTTGACCAAATACTGATACCTGCTGCTTACAACTGCTTTAGACATTTTAAACAAAAGTCAGTACAGTACAGTAAAGTTATGAAACAAAATTACATTAATGTTATCACACAAAATTACGGTTAAGTTATGAAACAAAACTAACAGCATGTTATAGTAGAACTTTGGTGAATATATATCTATGCCACTGGGATAATTGATGGATAAACTATTTATATTTCTAAGTTACACCAAAAAAACATACAGTAGTGATTTAACATACAATGATCTTGCTTTCCTACCTTGAAGTCCTTCATATTGTCCATGACGGTGTTGCAGACGGCCAGAGACTGTGGTGGGTGGAACTCACCACCATCATCCTTGGCCTCGTCACCCCCATCCTCAGCCGTGCGCCGCTTCTTCTTCCTCTCTCTCTCAAGCTCATCCCTCTCCATCTGCATCTTCTTTACTTTCTGGTTGAAGACCTTCTGTATCTTGTAGGTCTCCCTCCAGTACTCATCTACCTCGCCCTCCACTGCCTCTGAGTTCAGTTCCAGGAAGGCTCCATCCATCCATCTGCAGCATACACCAACTGTCAGTCCTTGGCAGTAACAACACTATCCCACCAACATCAATAGGGGAGGCCAAGCATAACCTCCAGTGCTTATTATACTCTTGAAGAGAATTTCCTCCAGCATGATCAGTAAATATTTAGGAAAAAACATAGTGTGTTTTCAATGTAGAGCTATAGGTTACTAGTAGATTTAACTGGTCCAAATTGAATTTTGAAACGAATGCGCAGCTTGAGGTTTCAAATCTTATATTTAGCAGGGTAATCTACAGGTAACCAAGCTCTACATTGAAAACACAGTATGTTAATCTCTATTCTAACATCTCTAAACATTACGTGAAATCTTTGGTGTTAGCAAATATATTGAGTGGGTTTAGTCCAGTGTTGAGTGGGTTGTCGATCTGAATCACGGAATCACCGACTACAGCTTTTAAATGAAACATGGCGCTGTATATGCTCAAGCAGTTTGTTTACATTGTAATACTTCACTCGAACAAATGATAGGCATTGAAAGCATATAGCACAGCAACTAGGTAAGGTGGCATGAGGTGGGCACCCCTAAAGAAATCTAAGCAAGCCTTGCAAAGGTTTTGATCTACATCGTATGTCCATGATGACGTTATATTGCTCATTGTGATGCAGAAGAAATGACACCACAGTCATAAATTCCAAGCTCTCTGTTGTCCCCAAAACTTGAAATACATTCTCTTTGTATATTTCTAACTTTGCATTTTGTAACCTACAATTGTACATATAATTATTTGAATATGCCTATCGACAATGTTTGAAAAAGAAGTACTATTCTATAAATATTAGCTTCGGTGGTGATGCGGCTGTCAAATCAGTTGTTTCAATCAGAGGGGGGGTTCATTGTGATTTGACAACCTCTGATTGACCGATCAGAATTGAGTAATTTCCAAATTCATGGTCGAATTTGGTGTAAGGTGAAGTTTCAATTGTTTTGTTTTGGTTTTAATTTCAAATATACGGCATGTATTACTCTACTCTGGGAAAAGATATCGATACCAAAAAAAAAAAAAAAAAAATAGATCCTGAACAGAGAATACAAAATGTACAAGTCTACACAATAAGGGATTCATTGCGACAGTTGGATCTGTTGTTCCAATCATGACATTTACCGCTTGGCTACCCATCTAATCACTGACAAAACAAAGTTGTCTCTCAGTTTCTAGCATTAGGAAAGATGTCATGATTGCTTATTTGCAACTAACATTGAAATAAAATAAAGACAGAGCTGTCACTTCACTACTCACCTCTTCTCTGCCCTCTGCCATTTGAGTACAACATTGAAAAGCCTCTGGAAGGGGTCAAGTGATGAGGAGATCTCGTCAACATCTGGGTAGGTGGTCACTGGGTACTTGAAGAGCACTTCCTCCTGGAGAACACAGGGAAGCAGTGAAACTCTAGTCAATGACACACAGTTAGTGCTTGTTGATCTGTGCCACAGTTAGTACTATCATGGCTTTACCAGCCTACAAGTCTGGGACACTAGTGGTTGTCAGCGTGAGCAACACTCCACTCTATCACAGACACACAGTCAGTGCTTGTTGATCTGTGCCACAGTTAGTACTATCATGGCTTTACCAGCCTACAAGTCTGGGACACTAGTGGTTGTCAGCGTGAGCAACACTCCACTCCATCACAGACACACAGTCAGTGCTTGTTGATCTGTGCCACAGTTAGTACTATCATGGCTTTACCAGCCTACAAGTCTGGGACACTAGTGGTTGTCAGCGTGAGCAACACTCCACTCTATCACAGACACACAGCCAGGGCACACATTGTAACCACCTGATCTCCAACTTAGTCCAATGTTATAACACAGGGAAATAAGGGGCCTGATATGGCTCAGACCCCTTGAAGCTGTCTTTCACATGAACAATGGCAGCGAAACTTCATGAACATTTTTACAAAGGTAAGGACAACTAGAGATACCTTATTGATCCAGGTGATCTGTTCCTGCACATCCACCAGGCGGCGCTGCACACCGCGCACATCCGCCACATACTGCTGCATCATGTCCAGCTCACCATTCTCGTTGAACTCATCGACACGCTGTCGTAGCTTCTCCAGCTCAATCATCACCCTCTCTCTCTTCTCCAGTAGCTGCTTCTCTCCCTTCTGTTTGGAACTCTCCACAAGCTGAGGAAAGAAAAGTCAGCCAAGAATGTAAAGACAAAGCTAGATGCATCGCAGATCACATGTACTGAAATCAAGGTTTACCTAAAGTCTTCTATGAAAACAATATGAAACATACCTCATCATTGGAATCAAAGACAGGGTTGATTCTTGTTGGCCAGGTAAGCACCTCACAGTTGAGCTCAATATCTTCAGGCGTAAACATGAACACGTCTATGAGATACGCAAGGCGGTCTTTAGATTCCTGTATGGTTACAAAGCACATAAAACAATAACATAGAATAGGAATAATTTCTTTACACAATTAGCCTATCTGAAAGCCAAGCTAGGATCCTACAAACACTCCATAGGTGGTCACTTCAGGAGAAGTTCTATTCAGCCAATCAGCTTCTAGGCTTCAAAAGCAGATTATCTGATTTCTGTACCTCACAAACATAAACAGGCAGCTCTGAATGGAAAATAATAAAGAATGTGCTATATATGTTGTGGACATTTATACACCTTTTTGTTTCTGAGCGCATCTACATCACAAAGGGTGTACTAGTCAAATCCAGATATTTTTAATATTAGAATACTTATCCCGCATTACTCCTCAATGCATTTACTGCTTGTTCTTGACAAAAAGAAGAGCTGTGAGAGGTCTTTCTTAAGAAGAAGTTGTTCCAACTGGTTGTGAGGCTTATCCTATCACACATCACTTGAGCTGTGTGACAGGTTTAGCCACACAACCAGTTGGAACTTCTTCAGCAAGACCTCTCACAGCTCTTCTTTCTGTCAAGAACATGCAGTAAATCCATTAAGGAGTAATGCAGGATAAGTTAAAAAATTTGTGTTTTATGTGGATTTTCTTTTTTTAGGATAGACAATTCCAAATTGAAGTGGTAATACAAGGTGATATTAATGGAAATTTCATACAAGCATTGGTGTTTTCATTTTGAACATTAGAAATAAGACCCGTTGCGGTATTGTGACATAAATGTAGCTACATAAGTATGACACCTGTGAGCTTTTGACAGCAGCACTCACCTTGATCCTTTCATTGAGTTTGATCATGCCCATTGTACGAGCCTTCTCCACAAACGACACCATGTCCATGAGATCCTCACTGGTCTCTGGCTGCCGCAGGGCTCGCTCTTTCATAGTATGGAACTCCTTGCAGATACTGAGGGAAATTGTCAATTACCTATCAGACACCATCTATGTGTTTTCTACTCTCATCTTTTGTGTTTATTGGATTGAGTTGGCTATTTCTGTAAGCTTTCACATATTGACAGAATAAAAAAACAACACCTGAAGGTACTAAGATACTGGGTATGGCGATACATGTCATATGTTAGTTCATGATCAACAATCACTAACAACCATTAAGAGTTAATAAAAAACACCAACTTTAACACCTATGTAGTAAATCTACCTCTCATTCTCCGACCGATGATCTGCAGAAACACGACTCAACAACTCATCAGCCAATCCTCGAGCAGCTTCTGCCAAGCCCCGCTTCAGATCTTCACAGTCGAGGCGGATAATAGCGAAATGCTCGATGCTTGGAAGTCCCATGATCTCACTGGCCAGGTTACGGAACTTCTCAATTTGCTGCAAACATAACACCAGGATCTTTCTTAGGCTTCTTAAAAACAACACATTATATCCAATAATGATAACCCTCATAATCATGGCAATAATCACAATAAATATGATCCATAAGGTTAGAAATAACAGATTTCATAAAACTAATATGTGCACTAGTCGCTAACCATATATGTGTATTTTTACTGTTTTTGGCTTGATTTGATTGTCCTTTGGTGAAAACAAATGTTCAATTGTGAAAGCAAACCCTTTTCCCTTGAACGTTAAAAGACGGCTGACTTTGTTTTTGTCTGAAATATCAACGTTTGGAGTCGTTTATATATTCGGAAATCCATATTATGGTTAATATTTATAATATAATATGGACAATGGTAAAATTCATTATCACAGTTTAAGTGCTATTCACAAATGTCTGTAAATCTACTTCGTGATGAATGAAGCATGGCAATAAATGTATGCATCTGATTCTTCCTTTGTTCTGTATTCTTTGACGAGAATGAATTTCGTTAATGATGATCACTCTCACAGATTTTTTGATGAGAGGATAGGACTTTAACTGGAGAATAGTTATGAAAAATATATATATAAGTATAGGCGGTCTGTGCACATGTGGTGAAACTGATACCTCATTGATTTGCTAATCGGGACTTGGAAATCATAGTCTGTCATTAAATTGATTTTAAAATATATGGTTTTGACTGTAGTATGTCCTGACATCATAATATTATGTTGTAAACAACTTATCTTATCTTATGTTAAGTAAAACAATTATTGATAACTTCCTGAATTCCAATTGTTCAATGAACAGAATTATTCACAGCTCTAGCGTGAGACAACAATAAATTAGATGTTACCAAAGATTGTCCATTTTATGATCTTAGGCACAGTTTGGCACACTTACATGTGAGCCGTCTAGACGACTGTCAGTTTTGTAATTAAATGGCAGCTGCCATCCAGCCGAATACTTAATCTTGAGACCTATTAGTTGTCTCATAATTAACCAAAACATAAGCCCAAGAAACCAAACTCTAGCTCGCAAACACCCCTTACTCACCCCAATATCCCAAAGAATAACTAACTACCTCAATGAACACCAAACTCAAAATCTTAAAAAAAACTGCAAAAAATCAAATATCTTCACCCCTAAACTCAAAATACACAAAATAGACACAACGCTAGCTAACCAAATAAATAACCAAACCGACCCAAACATAGCTTAAACCACCACACTTGCATACATACACGAAAATTGGCCAAATGGGTGTCACATATACACTGACGGATCTTCAGACCTGATCTCCAACCACACAGGCTTCAGAGTCCATACCACACAACCAGTTATATCCACACAATCTTACCGACTCCCTAACAACCAATCTATATTCACGGCCGAACTTATGGGCATGGCCTCAGCCCTGCATAACCAACAGTCTAAAAACAACAACAAAATCCTAATTCTCACTGACTCCCTTAGTGGACTACAAGCCCTCCAAAACAAAATTACCAAAAACGACCTAAATTAATAAACCAAATACTTAAAAGCTCCAACGACCTAACAAAAGCAGGCAAACAAATAACCTTCTTGTGGATCCCCGCCCACGTAGGAATTTACGGCAACGAAAGTGCCGATAAAGCAGCTAAATTATCTCTTAAAATACCAGATATAAGCCTAAACCTACCCATCTCAAAATCAGAAATTAAAAGTGTAAACAAACAAAAAATAACCAAAAAATGGCATAATCAATATCAAAACTCAAATAGCCAAATCAAAAAAGTGCTCAGAAAACCACTAGCCAAACCTAAAATCCTACACCCCTCTAAAAAAATTGACAGATTATTTACAAAACTCAAAACAGGACACACAAACCTTAATAACCACCTAAAAAAACTTAAAAGACACACCACAGGCAACTGCCCCCACTGCAAACAACCCGAAACCACAGAACACGCACTCATCCACTGCACCCACTACCAAACACACAGAAACACACTACAAACCACCCTCAATCTAAATAAGGTTCCTACTCTAGATGAAATACTAAACCCTCAAAATAAACTAGAAAACTTCAAGGCCCTAGGCGTATTCCTAATCAAAACAGGCCTAATTAAGCGCATCTAAAAACTAATTAATCTACCAATCCAAAATCCAATAAACATAACAAACACCCACCTCACCCGGCTCCCTTAGTTCCCTCCTCCACCCACCTCGGCATTTATTCCAAATTTAAAAATCTCAAAAATTCAATATAAGCAACCCCTAAAAGCCCCCTCTTGGGTTGCACACACCACTTTCACCCTTCTCGGAATACACTAAATGGTCTGGCCAGGCCCGTGTGCGAAATACGCTGCAGTCGGAAAGCGCACGTTAAATCTTCTATATCAGTCAGTAGTTGTCTCAGCACTACACAATCAGCAATCTAAAAAACAACAAAAAATCCTCATCCTAACCGACTCCCTCAGTGGACTACAAGCCCTCAAAAATAAAAACACTAAAAACCACCCCAAACTAATAAATCAAATACTCAATAGCTCAAACAACTTAACTAGGGCAGGTAAACAAATAGAGGTCATTTGGACCCCCGCCCACGTAGGAATCTTTGGAAATGAAAAGGCAGACAAAGCAGCAAAATTATCCCTTTAACTCCCAGCTTAAACTTACCCAGCTCAAAATCAGAAATCAAAAGTCTCACTAAACAAAAAATCAACAAAAAATGGCAAAATATATACCAAAACTTAAATAGCCAAATCAGGAAAGTACTCAAAAAAAACCTAAATAAACCAAAAATACTACACCCATCCAAAAAAATCGACAGAATAATTACTAAACTACAAACAGGCCACACCAAACTAAATAATCACCGTAAAATAGCTAATCTACACACAACAGGAAACTGCCCACATTGCAAACAACAAGAAACACCAGAACTTGTACTCATTCACTGCACACACTACCAAACACACCGAACAACACTATAGACCACCCTAAATCTTAAAACCGGACTTACACTAGAATCAATCCTAAATCCACAAAATAAATTAGAAAAATTCAAAGCCTTAGGTTTATACCTAATTAAAACAGGACTAATTAGTGGCATTTTAAACCCCAAATAAAATAATAAAAAACTACCTTATCTAACAACCACCCAACACACACAGCTCCCTTAGTTCGTCCCCCACCCACTCTTGGCATTCTTTCCAAATCTCAAAATTTCAAAATTACTATATAAGCAACCCCTAAAGCCCCTAATTCATAGTCTTTTTATTGTTCAAATTACTGATAAAACATATTTTAACTTGTTCCTTCTAACCATATTTCCAAACAATTCCAAACATTTTCAGTGTTGGAAATATGTTTGGAAATGTTGCCATTCCAATTTTGGATTTTCTGGAAAGATCGATCTTTCCAAGCTTTGGAAAGTTTGGAATGAGCGATCTTTCCAAAGCATTCCAACGTTCATTCCAAATTGGAATGGACGCTATTTGGTCTTGTGTTAAAAACAGATTAATGTCCTTGCACATCACAATTAATGACAGTAAAACACAAAACAGTGTCAAATAACAAATCTTAGTACCAGAATTTCCATGTGAAATATGTTAGGTGGGTGTTGGAAATTCCAAAATGGCTGTTACTGACGGTATATGGTCTCAAATCTTGGATTTTTACTGACGGTATACAGGCTCATGTGGGGTTAGTAATTCTGCTCTCTGCATGATTGGTCAATCTCACTTTGAGGCATAATAATGGCAACTCTGCTTGGGTGACACTCACCTCTGTGTATTCAGCAAACGTGTGTTCCTCAGCCATGTAGGCATGGATCTCTTTCAGAGCAGTGCCATTCACAATGTAGTCATACCGGTCAACTGAAACAACACCATGAGTACCCTGACGTCAACACTTCCACGTATAGGGCAGACTGTTAACTAACACTCCCTTGCACAGTTAAAGACAGTTAAATCCACTCTACGTGACCCTGACATATAACCAATTGAAATACATGTAACTACATACATAGCCTTAAAACTGTTGAATATCAAGTAATGACAGATGGAGTGGTATGAAATATGTCAATTGTTGTCTCCTGTGTTATTCCATAAAAACATACAATTGTGTTTTATACATACATTAATAATATTTAAAACCTTATTTGTAGTGAGGGTTTAACAGTGCTTTAAAAGTTCACTCAAAGGCTTAATATGACCTATCTTCATCGTGATACTGAAACTGGTATTTTATTGATGGGCTATTACTACCATACACAAGTCACCAACTGCTGACAGGAAACTGTGGTATATAGTGAGAATACGGCCATCACACAGACGTGAGGCACCACTACAGTCAACTATCAGTCTTGTTCAGTTCTTTGCTCTACTGAATGCATAACTAGGAATTACAAATTCTTATGAAAAATAAAACACATTTGAAAATAAAGTGCTTTCAAATATTGATCATTCCATGATAACAATTTTCTAACATTACAGCATGTATTTTATAGAAATATACACCACATTCAACAAAACATCCCAAATACATAAATCTGATAACTATGGCATAACCATTTATCATGTCTGGCAAACAAATGTGCACTGAGTGAGAAATATCATAAACATCGTGGCCAAGATACAACAGAAATCTGGCAAGCAATTAACATGGCCATTGCATATATAGATAAAGACTGAGTTGTGATATTCATGCTAGAGATATGGTGAGTAGAATGCATCATCATTCAGCCTATTTCAGTTTTGGAATCAAACAGTTTGTCAGAAAATAGTATAAGACTATACTAAGAGTAAAGAGTGAGACAGTCTCCATTGTCCAAGTGTGACTTCATACTTACTGGTGGTAAAATCTCCTCTCACTTATAGTAATAACAGGAATATAAGAATAATTCTTGAAAATCTTCAAAAAAATATGCACAGTTGAAATGTCAATTGTACCTCAGGACATTTGTAGAAAAAAAAACACATATCATAAACAACAAACTGCATATTTGGATTACATCAGACATTTTAGAACCACTTCTTAGAAGACTGAACTCTTCCAGACCGGCAATTAATGTTTCCTACAAGTGATCCAAAAAGTGGTTTACTTCACAATACTAATACTGCCAGTCAACCACAACGAATGAGGAGACGCAACAAATACATTACATAATAATGGTTCCTCCTCATAATTCAAAACTGTGGGCAATGAGGCTCATATTCTCTGATCACAGTAATTGACATTGATTGATAATAGAATGAAATTTAATCATGACATCTTGGTCTCTGCTTTTAAAAAAATTGTTTTTCATTTCAGGACGAACATTTAAGGGCTTGACTGATTCTAATATGTTTTGCTTCAATCTCATTAAAATCAGACTATAGTGTTCCCTACCACTTCACAAAGATCTGATGACATCCCATGACAGATCACGTCAAAACTATCTTTTGGGAACTTTGACAGGCCAATGAAATGACAACAAGAAGTAAACATTAGCCAATCAAGAGGCAGCTTTTTTTCAAACAGGCAACTTCAATTCCACACTATGCTTTGAACACTATTTTGACAAACTTCTCGATTCAAATTTTGAAAAATGAACAAAAGAAGATTCTGGAATGTCAAATAGATGGCCTAGATTGTATGGCAGTAATTTCCAATGGGAATGGAAAGTCTCTTCTGTTTCAAATGTTACTCCATTAAAGCGAGAGACACAATGATTATAACGGAATCGGTTGTACAGCCTGTATCTGCCTTTAGGAATACTCCGTGTTAACCTTTTTGAGGTTGCATGATTAGAAAATTCCAAATGTGACTTTCATGATAAGGTCTGATTGGTGAGATGAAAGGTCGTTCTGATGTGATCTGTAATGGCATGTCCTCAGATATTTGCTTAGTTGTAACGAGAACTAAGATCTGATTTTAATGAGATTGGTTTTGCTTAGACACCCAAATGATACCAATACAGTTACTGTATACTCACCAAATGATTGTAAATGCTCTTCAGGAGCCTGAAAGTATCGTTTGACCGCTGCCTTCAGTGTTTTGATGGCAGCCTGAAGGATGTGGTCAGCAACACTGACGTCGGTGTGAGTGACTGTGTTACCACCAGCCAGCCAGGACTGGACAGTGGGCACGTGCTGCATGGTCTTGGTGATCTGAGTGACCACAAACAGAACTGTCTCCTCCAGATCCTCCACGGGTGGGTAGAACTGCATCTTGCGGTCATCAAAGGTCAGTTCCATCTTCAGAATTGGTAGCAGCAGATGGTTTTCTGGCTCAAACACATCAACGAAGGCATCGATTGTCCGCACCAACAGGTCTTTCAGCTGAAACAACACATACTCCCCCTGTCACTGTCAGCAGCTGTGGGTGCTATCTTATATACAAAGTCTAACTTAATCATGCACACAGATCACCAAACTATTACGTGTAACAATGACTTTTTGTGAAAGTGACTGTGGCTTTTTCTGTTCATATGCTCCACTTATGAACAATTTAGTTGCTCTCTTAATCAAAATGTCTCACAGAATTCCTTTCACTACTACTAAAGATAATGCAGAGACAAGAGGACTGAAAAAGAATCTGAAATAATTGTGAAAGAAATTGAATAAGTTAATTTCTCCTTAGTACAGAAAAGAGCATAAGACTGGTTGATAATTGACCCATAAGGGTGACAGACCTGGTTTGAGACAAGTGTGGAGACATTGGCATAGAAGGAGTCCATTAGTTCTGGTTTGATGTTGGTGAAGTTGTTCTTGTCTGTGAAGACGTTGATGACAGCTGGGTGCCAGCTGTAATACACACAGGCTTGTGATCACATCTCATTCATTGCACATACATCAGCGTAACAGATATACCTATACAAGTGTACAAGAAAATACTATACACATAATGCTGCGGTACTTCATACAACTCATACTGACAGACTGACTTGTTCTGAGGACAGGAGTGCACCTCATCCTTGTTTCAGACACCTTATGTGTCAGCCAACTGTGCTTTTGACCACATCATTACTTAGTTAGTGTGTGCACACACACCCTTTCTCAAAGTGTGCCTCTTGTGACATTAATATCAGCTCTAGTCAAACAGTTCGCATGGCATCTGTGTTTACCTGTGCATGAGCCTCTCTTCTGCTTTCTCTAGGTCTAAGATAACATTGTTCTTCAGGCTCTCAAACTCCATTGGGCCATTTGCTCTGAAACACAGAAATAGTAGTAAGGTTCATTTGGGTCTATCACAATTGTCCATTTGGAATGTTTTTTAGTTTCAAAACTGAATTCTAGGAACTAGGACTGGGATGGGTAACTCGGGAACTTGGGTCGGGTGGGTCCTGAGTAGGACCCGGGTACCAACAGGACTACCCGGACCCGTGGTTAGTCAGGTGACATTAGTAAAATCTAAATATTTTTTACACTTGGATACTTATCCTGCATTAATACCATAATGCTTCTACTGCTGTTTTTCTTACTTAGGAGACGGAGCTGTGAGAGGTCTGGCTACAGAAGTTGTTGTACCCACTAGTTGTGTGGCTTCCTTCCTCCTATAGCTACCACGTACGTGACCAGAAGTGGCGAGGTCATGCACCATCACATCACTGCTAGTAACGGACATCTGAAAGAACTTCCCAGGGAGGTAGCAAAGCCATGGGAGGGTACTTTAGACGTAGTAATACAGGATAAGTATCCAAATGTAAATAATATTTAGATTTTACTGCTATGAGTGAGAAGCGGCACCCCTGCTGAAGGATGTTGGTGACAAATGGATCCCGAAGAATTGTCCATTTGGCCCCAAACCTGCCCAATCTCCTACCTATGGGTGTGTCTATGTATGGGATGACTGGGGGTATGAGATCCCAGGCATCGGGCGGCCAGAGCTTCAACACCTGCCTCTATGGTCACCACCCCTGGACTTGTATTGGCGACGGCAGGGTTGATAATTGCCATGTGGCTCTATGCAGTCTTGACATTTGCCACGAAAGGCAGAAGAAGTCTGAGGAGAAGCCTTTAGAGAGGTGCGCCTAGGCTGATGATTGCCTGTTTTAGCTGGTGTTAATTTTGTAGTATTTTCCTATTCGGAATATTCTATAAGTAATACGTTACCACTGTTATACCGAGGCTGTTGTCTCACACAATTGCTGCTATAGCGAAATCTACCACAGAGATCTCAATTACCTCATGCAGCACGTGCGTAGCCACCTAGCTGCCATGTGACACCCTTCACTCTTGTCTCTTGCGAGAGCAAGTGCTCGGGGGACGTACGAGCGGGCAGCAGCCCAGTGGTAACGTATTACTTACAGAATATTCCGAATAGGAAAATTCTACAAATTACATTAAGTAATACGTTACAACTGTTATACCGAGGCTGACTACCACAGTAGGCGGTGGGGAGCACCTACAACCCGAATCCTGACTGCTAGCGTTCCTTCCGACCAGCGGAAGTAAACACCAAGGCGGAAGCACTCGATGCGCATGCACCAAGCTAGGCGTTACCCTATAGGAATACCAAGGCGCTGTCAAGCGCATACCGTAAGGCTCAATCGTCATTGCCAAAACGATTGGTGACTCCAAACGGCCCCACTGGATAGGTATTTCATCGCCGCAGCGATGAGAACACAGTATCCGTGTGAGCTAAATCTTAGATCAGGTTAAACAGTGGAAAAGAGGGAAATTAATTTCATTCAGACTGTATATCCCCGAGCAAGCCTACTTAAAGTATGTAATAGGCGCGTGACCTAACTCTAGTATTCGTAAGCATGTATCACAAGGTTGGAATACACGACAGACAATTAAATGCATAATTGTCAAAATACAAATATAGACAAAACACACAAAAAGCCGCCTCACCTGTGGTGTGAGTGTGCTGGTTTGCAGGACCCCCACTCCTGTACCCACGGCGTGGGAACATTGGAGACGACCCAGATTGACCACCGTGCAAGGACTGACGACTGCGGAGTTTGGAATTGCGCTGGACACCCCCCCTAGATGACCGCTTGTGCCGCGATCAGCGGCCTAAGACGGTGCACCCCCTCCACGTCTTCATCAGAAACCTTTCTGAGGTAATGATTGGCAAAAACCGAGTCAGAACGCCAGTAACAACCTCCTAATATTCTGTGAACAGAGATATTCGAGTGTAGGGCAAATGTTGCCGCTAGCGCCCTGATCTTGTGCGGGTTGGACCCCACTACCGGTAACCCCCGAGACCGGTACGCCAGATTGATGACAGAACAAAGCCACAATGCAATCGAGTTGCGAGTTATGTCAACCGTGCGATTAGGGTTACATGATATGAACAGACGGTCACGCCCTTGTCTACGTTCATTCGAAGCCTTAAGATAATACTTAAGGGCCCCAACCGGACACAGCGCTCTGTCCTCAGTATCAGCAGGATGTAAGATTTATTTGAGTGATCTTACAGTGAATTCTCTCTCCGTTTGCCCGATTCTCTGATTCTTGGCGACGAAGCCCATGAGCAGGCCCAGGCGGACCGCTCCTTCGTCACCCCTATCGAATCGTACCTTGGCGACATAGAGTGCATGAATTTCAGATACACATGTCGCCGTGGCAAAGGCGAGGAGAAATGCTGTTTTCCAAGTCACATGCCGGAACGAAGCAATATGCAAGGGTTCATACGGAGCTTCTGTAAGTGATTGCAACACTAGGGAAAGATCCCAGGCCAGTGGCCGAAGGCGGCCCTTCTTAAGATCGTGCTGTTTGAAACCCTTGATAATACCCCGTATCACCGGCTCTTTGGAGAGACTGGTACCCATAGCAACATCCCGTACCGTAGCAACGGACGAGACATAGTTGGCAATGGAACCCCCGGAGAGTTTCCGGGTTTCTCGCAAGTGAGACATGAAACGAGCAATATCCTGCACAGATACCTTATCTGGCGAATGAATGTGATGTTTACAACACCACTTCGTGAAAATAACCCAACGTGCATTATACACCTTCTGGGTAGAATCACGATGCATACTAACGTATGCCCGAGACGCCCGACGAGAAAAACCTTTACTCCTCAGACGCTCGGTGACAACATCCACGCGTGCAGATTGAACTGCCCTGTGTTTGGATGAAGCTGACGGGTGTGAGGGTGGATCAAGAGATCCGGTCTCACAGGCAGTGGAAGTGGCGACTGCGTGACCTGGGTCAGCAAGTCGGGGTACCACGATCTGTTCGGCCACATGGGCGCGATCAGTAACATTCGACAGCGAACTCCTCGGAGCCGGCTTAGAATGTGTGGTATCAACGCTGTCGGCGGGTAAGCATAAGCGTCCAAGCCCGTCCAGTCTAACACGAGAGCATCGTGATCGATGGCCCTCGGGTCCGGGACTGGTGATACAAACAACGGGAGTTGATTGTTGAACCGTGTTGCGAACAGGTCGACCATCGGACGACCCAAACGTTCGCACAGCCACTGAAACACTACTGGGCTCAGCATCCACTCTGTGGGGATCGGATCCTGAGGCCTCGATAGAGCGTCGGCCAGTACATTCCGCACACCTGGGATGTGATGGGCGCGTATCTGGCACGGGACACTGTCCACCAGAGCGTAAAACTCGAACTCGCTTTGAGATCGAGCCGATAGCCGTATTGAATCGTGTTCACCACCCACGGGTCGTCGAACACTTGTTCCCAATTCTCCCAGTAAGTCTGGAGTCTGGCTCCCACTGGGGAAGGAGAGGGGGGCCTGACAGGCTGCGGCCAAGTGACTCGGGTTCGCCTACGACCCCTTAGGCCTGCCGGCCGCAGCATCCTGGGGCGTGCTCCGCTTAGGAGCGGCACCAGGGCGCCTATGCAAGGCGCCTATGCAAGGACCCCACAAGATCCAGTGTGTGCTGAGAGGCCTCGGCAGACACAGCGGCCTGTTGTTCTTTCAGAACCCCAGGGATCTTGTTATTAAACAGGGTCCGAGCAGACCAAGGCTGCGAAAGGAGCACCTCCTGATGAGCAGCGTCCAACCCTGAGGCAACCAGATACGACTGGCGCCGGAGAAAATGGCATGTGCCGGAAATAAAGGCCGAAGCCCCGGCAACGTACTCCAGGGAAGCATTTAAACCGATCAGGCAGTTATAAATGTGCTGGTCTCGGTCCGTGGGAGAACCTTCGACCAGACTGGCCGCTGCAGCCAGGTATGTGTCTCCGTGAGACATTGCAAGCATGGAGTGTCGAGTGAGGGTGTCCAGCTGCTGCAAGGTACCTTGTGGTAACGTGGCAGCCGGTGGGGCACGGACACCCAAACGCTCAACATGGGCTTCCGCGGTAGGACCAGCCTCGGGAAAGGCAAGGTCATGCAACGGGAAGGACCCTTTTCTCCACGACAGTGGAGGTAACGGGAGACCGCGACCGGAGGCTGCCGCGAAGGCCTTCTCCAGGGAAGGCTTAATCCTGCGCAGCAAGGTTGATGCCAGGAAAGCCTTGTCGGATGACTCGTCGTACACCTCGGAGGAACCCACGGAGCGGTCCTTAACCGATAGTGGGAGCAAAGGTTCGGGGGAAGGACCGGTGACCACGGCAGCCGCCGCCATACCGGTGGACCCCGCGTCCGAACCCGCGGCCACCGAAGAGGCCGGGGACGGAACAGCCAGCGGCCTATCCTGAGATAAGGCCGCCAGCTTGGAGTCCACAAGTTTAGATAACAATGCGGTGACGGAATCCCCGGACAGCCCGAGGGCCGCCAAGGGATCCGCCGCAGCCGAGGAGGTGGTACCCGCACGGGGACCCCGACCGGACGAGCCGGCCACCACAGGGGTGGAGACGCACTGGACATACAGTCGGTAGCGCTCAAACTCCGCAGGCCCCAGACCTTCGCACAGGGTGCACCGGGTGTCCCCGCAAGGAACCCTGCACCGCGGGCAACGATCGTGGGGATCCCGGGACGACAAGAATTTGCGGCACACCCCGCAACTCTGAGGAGCAGGGGTAGAGGGGGTTAAAACCTGGGGACATTTCCATGTCAGACATTTTTTTATTCTATGAACAAAGAGCAAAACATGGTTACAAGGCACGCACCACAATGATTCACAAACGAACATTTTCACAAGAAAAAAAACGAGCAATGTGTACAGAAATAAGTGATGTTAACCCCCAAAACATACAATTGAGTGAGTGAGTATGGTTTTACGCCGCTTTTAGCAATATTCCAGCAATATCACGGCGGGGGACACCAGAAATGGGCTTCACACATTGTACCCATGTCGGGAAGCGAAGGAGACAAGAGTGAAGGGTGTCACATGGCAGCTAGGTGGCTACGCACGTGCTGCATGAGGTAATTGAGATATCTGTGGTAGATTTCGCTATAGCAGCAGTTGTGGGAGACAACAGCCTCGGTATAATAGTGGTAACGTATTACTTAATGTAATTAGATGTGCTCCAAAGCTTAAAGTGCCATTTCACCCTTGGCAAAGCTGGAGACACGTGCATGGTTTTCAGAGATAGCGCCATTGAATAACATTGGATGCACACCAGGGATGACGTAGAAGATGCCTTGTAAACTCGGAATCCCAGTCCGTTAGGGTGAGATAACCTACACACCTGGTGGTGGTAATCTCCGCCAAGGCCGCCCAGAGATGATTGCACAAGTGGTCGCTTTGACGTTGATGAAAAGACATCATTTTCCATAAATGATCGATTCGATTAGGATTGTCCTCGGTAAGATCCTGATCAATGGCAAAGCAGAAGAGGCCAAGATGGATAAGGCCTTAAAAAAAGTTTAGTGTCTGCCAAAATTCCATCTCAAGAAAAGCGAGCCTAGTATCGGACATACGCAGAGTGGTCGTCCTTGAAGAGCCTGTAATGCGATGTAAATCATCGTCCAGAGTATGCACCTTATCAGCACTTTATGGACGGAAATATCTCAAGTCAACTTTTGCAGAACACGTGACAGATCGTGATGTCACAACCAATTCATATTCCTGTTCATCACCCGAGCTAACAAAAGATTTCTCTGAAGCAATAGTGGGGAGGCAAGTCTAATGCAGATAAGTATACAAATGTTAAAAAATATTTTGATTTTACTAAATTTTTTACTTATCCTGCTTACTTACCATCTGACGGTATAGCGATGGGTAAAAATGATAAAACCCTTCACACAACAAGTTGTCAAGGAAACCGTATGGCAAAAAAATCAGAACAGTAAACAAACAGTAAATTGGAAGATTAGCATAAGCTAAAATCATTACGTACTGTGTTACCGAGCCAATGCTGAAAAAGCTTGAAAAATCCCACTAACAGGCGTGTCATAATCAGCACTGTGCGGGATGGGTAAGACTGGTTCCGGACAGGTAGAGTTCATTATTTGTGTCGGGGGTTGGTTACCTGCTGGGCTACTAGCAGAGGGCCAAAACTATGAATACCTTCGATGTCTTCCAGTGCCACATCACCAGGAAATTGGCTGGCGAAAATCATGTCGGACAGCCCAAAACATCCTTCCATATTTGCTATGTAAAGCCATGGTTGAGGCTACTGCTCTGATCTTGTGAAGATTGTTTGCTCTCGGTGGATCAAGGTTAAGGTTAGCAATCTTGTAAGTCTGCAGGAAGACTGTGCGTAACCATAGAGATATGGTGTTGTGACTGACTTTGGTCGTGGACGTATGGGATACGGGAATGAATAACCGTTTCCACAAACCACTCCTTGTCTGGGAGCCGTGGATGAAAAGAGGTGAGCAAAAATTACATTTAAAGTTTGGAGTGCAAACTTGGGTGCAGTCAAAATACAAGCGTGAAACTCTATATAACACCAAAGGCTAATGGTATTTAAATACACATGAAATGTTAATACCTAGCTGAGAATTGCAAACAATAATTAGTACCTCTACATGGAGGTAAACAATGTAACGCAGAAACAATGAGCCATGTGGTGGGAAAAAGACAAAGTCATTTTACGTGGAAAATACCCGCATATTAATACACATTAAAGTGAACATAATATGAAATGGAATATGTACATCACCCGTCTCAAAATTTAGTGTGGTAGCAGAAAGCTAACCAAGACATTCCCTGTAGGACGACAAGCAAGAATGTGAATTGGTTGTGATGTCACGATCTGTCACATGACTTGAGATGGAAACAACACTTTTTTCTCACCCAGGACCATCAAGAAGCTCTGTCTTCTTTGTCGTAAGGTAAGCACTAGATGCATTAAGGAGTAATGCCGGATAAGCAACAAATCTGAGTTCCTGAAAAGATTGCTATCACTTCAGTGTTTCATTCTTAAAGAGAGACGTTGTAAGTGAGATTTGCAGTGCCCTACCTGTACGACGAGACGTCAACAAGGATCATGTTCCCCAGTGTGGTCTGGCACATCTTCAGCACCACCTGCATGGACGGGTGCAAAAGGTGCAGGTTGGTGCGGATTGTCTGCCGGTTGTCAAGGTAATCTTCATGCCATGGCCGTGAGAAATCAAGACCCCTAGAGAGACAAATATTCCTTATTAGCTGTAGCTCAACAGTCATAATGAACATGCCAAATCTACTCCAAAGTTATCTGTATCCACAAAAATAATATAAAAAAAAAAAAAAAATTCTTGAAAAAACAAACCAGTTGTGATTTATACTTTTAACAGTACTAGAAAATATTATTCATTACTGATGAACAAGGGATAGAGTGTTTTGTTTGTTAGCTGTTCAATGCCGCTTCCAGCAATATTCCAGCGGTCTGTAAATAATTGAGTCCTGACCAGACAATCCAGTGATTGACATAATGAGCATCGATCTACACAATTGGGATACGATGACATGCATCAACAAGAGTCTGACCACCCAGCAAGCATGGGTTGCTATTCTACACTGGATCTCCACAGATAGTGTGAATATGTTTAGTGTCATTTGAGTGGAAGCATTCAAAGCATAGTTGCCACATTTACATTGTTTAATAAACTGTACAGGTATCAGTGTGATTGATAATTGGCCTCATAAGAGATGTTATGTGTATTGTTTACCTTAAAAATTCAAACAAATTCAAAGTTTCAAATCCAAAGGGTACCGAGTAATGTTGGAGTTCTGTCCTCACATGAAGTTTACATTTCTGGATATTTCAAGTCCCATTATGTGTGATCAGCATTTAGAAAGGGATGGGTATAATTTTCTTTCCTCCTGATTAGATTAAACAGAGCTTCAAGAGACCCATGACTGACAAATTTATAGCAGGACGGAAGGATTAGTTCGTATCATCCAAATTACTGTAACTTTCAGTTCTTGATTATTTCCTACAGTCACTCATCTTAGTATACATGACAATAAAGACTGCAGAAGACCTACTGTGGTTCTGCTGGGGGAGGTCCGGCAGAGTCCAGTTCAAGACCCTTCACTTCAGGCTTGACCAGCACATGCTGAACTGTAAACAACATCACAGTATTATACCTCCAGACCGTGTCTATGTTACAGCAAATAAAGATAGTATCAAAACTGGAATTACAAATGACTTAAGAAGTATGATTTTGTACTGAAATATACATTAATCCAACACATTGGTCTTCACACAAGACTTTTGAGTGAACATACCCATAGACTTCTTCATACTGCCATAGTAGTCTTTCCTGATTTCTTCAAACAACTCTGCGAGGTATTCCTTGAGATCGGCAGCCTGTCGGAGGTGTTCTGGCACCATCCTGAGTATGTGTGAGTCCCACTCCTCCTGCATGGGGGTGATAGGGCCACTCTCCACACAGCCACGCAGAAACTGGTAGTTTAGCTACAAACACAGCACATGTGAAACCTTCCCTTCCTCCTGTCTTTGTTTAATTAGATAGTTGAATGAACATATGAACAGGTATAGGTCCATCTGTTTGATTTTGTACAACAGATTGAATTACATTACATCATTTTCCATTGTAAATTCTAAAAAAATGGTTTTATCAAGTGCGAACCTTAAATAATCATTTAAAAAGAAAAATTAAGAAATGCATCCATGATAAGTTTTGTTCTTATTTCTTAATATTTGCATTGTTTGATACAATATCTTGAGACTGGAACATTTAAATTTAAATAAAACAATTAAAACAAACACTTTGCAATTCATGATAACAAATCATCTTTTTAAAGTATTGAAGTTACATGGTATGCATATACTGTCAAATAAGGAAAGATTAAATAATACAGTTATACAAATAATGATATATTTATAACTGTTAAGGAAGGAATGATATATACTGTTATATAAGGCAATAGCTCATTACAGTGAGGACCGTGACTGATTAAGCCAGAGAGTATTAATAATTAATTGCATAATCAGATACCGTAGGTCTTGGAAGCTCTCCAACATGATTACGCATGGGCCTGGGCACTTGGCCAAGTATTACTCTTTAATCAGTCGGCTCATCTAGGTTTGGGAAGGGGAGAATTATAAAGCTTGTAGCATTCATATTTAATACAACTGTAACCTGACAGCAAGACTGTTAGACAAAGGTTAGAGAAAACACATTCAGATCATGTGTAGAAAACATCTTAAATCTTGATGTTTGCAGACAACTGGCGTTATGAAAGAAGGAGTCGGTAGATACTCGACATGAGAGAGATCTATCAACACACACCAGGTGCTACACAGATTGGAATTATTTTTCTTTGTGACAGAGCAAGTAACTAAGAAATGGAGCATGTACTGTTGCAAGATCAGATTTACTATTTTCAAAATAATATTTAGTCCAGAAAAGATACTTTTTATCTGAGAAAGGAAATTGAGAGTGCATAGATTGAAAACTCTTTATCAAAACATGCAGAACTCCAATATGCCATATAGCATATTATATATAACTCACATAGTTCAGGGGTCAATTTAACTGCTGTTCTGTTGGCCTGTGGCCAGTTAAAATTACAAAGGGCTTGCTGAAACGTAAAGTAGATGGCCTTTCCGGCTAGTCAAAATTTCACCCCTTCTCCTTGTATGTTTAATTCTTTTAATTGGACCATCTCAGTAGAATGACAGCCGGACGCCGTTTGGTAATGTTATGAACAAAACTTTTTTATTTGCTCATAAATCACCATGAAATGAGGCAAATAGAAGCCAAGATTTAATCTCAGAGTGCAAGAAAAACCATTCAGGGGAGAGGAGTCCTAAAATGACTCAGGTTCTACCACTCCATGGGCTCCACCATTTAGTTGTAGGCCAGTTAGTTTGGAGAAGGGCCAGTATCTTTTAAAAGGAGCAAGCCCTGCTGGCTATACATACAAATTACATGTAGTTGTTAAAACTACCCCTGTGGTATCTCTGTTCTTACAAGCTATTTAATCAGGGTACTCAACTTACAACGTAATAAGTAATTCTATCATCACATTGGTCAAATGAAAAATGTCATATCAGCATGAAAACTGTCATTTAACTTATCTTATTAAAATAGTGCATAAGTTATTGTACCAGTAGATACCGCTGTGTAAAGGCTCGAGACAGATGTGCAGTTTGTGTGAAAATACGCCAAAAAAACATGTGCACATATAACAACTCACACAAGTGTGTACATGGTGGAACAGTGAAGATATGTGTGGGTATATAAAGGTACTGGGCAGACTTATGACTGTATAGTCACAAATTTTATATCAACAATATTTCATCGCTATATAGTACATGTTTGGGTTTCTTTCTTATGAAATGAACATGCTGTTCAAACTCATTCATTTTTGTAATATGCCTTTTACTTTTTGTTCTAAATTAAATGCCATGAACAAGACTGAGAGTTAAAAGACACTATACATAAGTTTCTAATTAAAGTATGTCCAACAGCTTCACATACACAAAATAATTTATAATTCAGCATTCTATTTAATTTTCAGAACCATGAATTCAATGTAATCTGATTTCTTTAAAGGGTGTATACAGAAATGTGAACAGAATAATGAATCAGGGTTTTACGTGACGCAGAAATGTGCATCCAGTACGCACAAATGTATAGAATGGATGCAGAAAAAGGAATATGTTGTGTCCCAGGGGATGCACAATAATATTCATTGTACTAAGTTCTTGACAAGAAATACAAAGGTCCTCTAATTGAAGTAATCATCAAATCTGATAGTACACCACAACATTTCATTACTTTACAGGACCACCATATTTTGTGTAAGGACCCTTGAAATTAACCCTTGGGGGACCCATAGAACCACAGTTTTGTAAGATAAGGTAAAACCCTAATGAATTAAAACTCCTTTTTTTAACAATGATACGATGGGAGTGACAGTCAGAGATTGGAGGAAATTCAACTGCAGTCAATATGGTGAAGGTGTGTTAGCAAAGTCTTGGTGATACAGGATGATAATATGTGAATATTGGGATTAGTCTTCAGGGATAAATAGAGGACAGCAACTTGGCCTGGTGGTTACAAGAGGCAGCACTAGCTACTGTCTACTGCGACACCACCTGCACTTACCCGGACACGCCGCTCAGGACTCATCATCTGTGAGGGTGGCGGGAAATTAAGGACATATAGGGTGGGGCAAGGGATGAGGTAGTTAGGGGAGTGATGTGGGGAGGGAAGGTCAAATAAAGAAAAAGAAACAAATCTATGAGTTTATGGTGATAATACTATATGTTGCAACAGTTTTTACTAGATTCTATAACTTTTTTTGCTTCAAAGGACAAGGAAAAAATATACATTTAAAGTGAATCAACATTAATTACAAGATGCGAATACATACATGTGAATACAAGGATACACAAAGTGTGAAGGAATTAATATCTTTTCCTTTGTGGAAATATAACAAAAGACATGATGAAACGTGTGACAGACAAGGCAGTAAATCTGACGTGATTAAGGATTTTATCAATACATCTTCATACTAATACAATGAAGTGTGCTCTGGTGTCGGACAACAATCCAACATTGCAGGACATTGTGAAGATATTAAAGGTGCATTTGGGAACAAACAGTCAAAACATACCGCAATTTGTTCTTCCTTGCTTTTTTTTCGTTTCTAATGAGGTTCAGATCAAAAAGGGGTCAATAACACAAAATAATGAACTTGGTTTTTATCAAGTGGCAGTGTTTCACATTACAAATATATTCATCACCACAACATTTAAAAGCATTTTTGTGAAACAATGAAAATCAAATGAAGAGAATTTATGGATGTCAACTTCTTCATTATGAGGAACACGTTTCAGGGTATATACTTACTCCTTCATCAGGCGATTGTTCATCTGATTAAGGAGTACAGGTAAGTACATGTATATACTCTGAACTATTGTGATACTCATAATAAAGAAGTTGACATCCATAAATTCTCTTCCTTATGTGTATCACTTCTAAATGCCAATCAAAGACTTGAATGAAAATCAAGAAAGGATAACACATGAGAAAAGCACATTCATAAACACATCTTAATTTAGGCACCAACAACAACAAAATTGTCTTTGAAATTAGTTTGACGTAATTCTGACTGTGTAATGCAAGCACATACCAAGTACTGATGTCAGCTGATCAGTCTCTCAGACCACACAAACAGACAAATTTGTTACCAACTACACCTGCACAACTTTTCATGTTGACAAAAACTTTCTTTGCAACAATGAAAACTGACTGAAACATGTACTAGCCTTATCAAGTCCACACACATAGGGACACCCCCTTAAAATCCTGAAATTCTTCAAGCCCTGGGAATAGTGAGTGAGTATGGTTTTATGCCGCTTTTAGCAATATTCCAGCAATATCACGGCGAAATCCAAGAATGTCTTCTCTCTCAATTGAAAGAATGTTGGAGTTAAGACAAAACAAGATGTAACAGTATTGTCCTACTGGATTCATGTCTTGATTTGCAGAATCTATATTGTTTTACTGTGAAGACATAGCAAGGTAAATCTCTCACCTCCTCAGGGTAGTCTGGGCTGGGGGGTTTGTCAGGCGTCAGTTCCACTGCTTCCTGGGTTTCATCCATTGCCTTCATGGCTGTGTCTTGTCTAAATATATATACACAAGAATTGTGAGGAATGCACCTTACTAAGTCTACAACCTATATTTGCTCACATCACATTTAATCAAACAGTTTTGCAGCACTATGGATGGACATATGGAAGACATGGTAAGGACAATTATTTGAGTCCAGAATCAACCAACATCTAACAAAGATGTTCTTAATTACTTATTTTACAAGGCACCTTCACAAGTTGGAATCATACTGAATTGAAAATCAATGTCCACTGAAAGATATGTTTCTTAAAGTAAACTCACAGGATCTGCATGAGTAAAGCTTGCTTGTGGTTAGCAAGCCTGAAGTTCATCAGTTTACTATTTGCATATGGATCTTCTTTGGAGACCACTGGTCGTTTGATTGGCGGTAATCTTGGATATCCATCTGGGCCAATGCCGCCAATTTTGGTTCTTTGTCTGATCGGCTCAAGTCTCTCATTGGCTGTTCCATCACCATTTGTAATGCCATTGGTATACCTGCCTGGAGATGCCATCTAAACATATGAACAAGACAAACTTAGTCAGTGGTGACAAAGAGTGAGTGAGTATTCTTTTACGCCGTTTTTGCAATAATCTAACAAAATATTTCTGCAGGGGACACCAGAAATGGGCTCCACACATTGTACCCATGTGGGGAATCGAACCCGGGTCTTCGGCATGATGAGTGAACCCTTTAAACACTGGGGTACCCCACTGCCCCCTGGTGACAAGAAGTATGTATCCAACTGATAAACAAGGTGTTTACTATCATACATTTTGAAAGTTACTGATGTTGGGGTATAGTCAGTTAATATGTGTATGTCTGCTTAACATGCTTAGTGATGCATAGCAGCTGGTTATCCCATGGGGCAGCAGAACAGCTAGCAATATGGTTCAGAAATATTTGCACCCCTATTATTGAACTACTTTCCTAAAATGGCTGTCGCATGAATAATAACATTAATTTGGAAATACAAGATTAGATTTTGTAAGCCTATGGTTTTCATATTTATGATGTCCTTCATCACTGTACATGAATAATAAACTTCAATATAGAAATACAAGATTACATTTTGTGTATGGGCTTTGGTTTGCAGATATTGAAAGGGAAACGTTTGATCTACACATTCAAGATGTATATGTATCACTATAAAGTATGTTTAACAACAACATACCCACTCTCATTCATGGAAGGCTCAACCTTATAATTGTTTGTTGTGTAAAAAATACCTACCTAAAACTCTGATATATCTTCCTCCAGCAAGAGAGTTACTAATGTGTCATGAGCTGCAATGAGCCCTCCTATAAAGTGGTGACCTGGCTGTATTTGTGTTGCATAACCTTTATAATTGTATTTATTGTAACTTTTTCTAAATGCTCTATTCTTAGGCAACAACCAGTTAGGGATTGCTCTTTTTCTTCTTATCAGATAAATCACACCAAAATGTGATAAAAATAGTCATACTTTGAAATTTGTTTCCCATCATGAATTCAAATAAGAAGAAAATATTACCAACTTGGGAACATGATTTTGTACCTTGATTCAGTTGTATCTTAATTACCTGCTTATAGAGATGTTTACTGGCAACTTTTAGTGTGTGAATTAACTGTATTGAAAAAGTTATATCAACGAGTTATCAGTTTTCTCACTGTGAAGATATGCATATGAATGACCAACATCGACTCATTAATATTATTTCAACCTTTCCATTTCATATTTACCATGAAGGATATATTATCTCAATTCCTACTTATTGTGAGTAGCAAGAAACATTAATAAATGTAGAAAAAAATACAAAAAGTTATTCTTATGCACCATAATAATGTAATCAATGAACTCTAAATGAGTCCGATCTGTCCGATCTCAGTATGAGCTATGACTGTTTGAAATGTTTGCCTTTGCCAGGTCAAAAATAGTGATGTATAAATAACAGTGAGTTTTTTAAGTGTTTCTTTCTACCAAATATATAAAACTTAAAGAAGAATTCTCAAATAAGAATTACATGTAATTCACAGAAGCTTGCTACATGTCATTAGTTACAATAGAGATCTATTGATGATGCAGCACTTGCCTGGCTATGTGAAGATTGTGCTAGAGCACTAAAATATTACCTTTTCAAGAAGTCTTGGTCGGCAAATACAAAACTGTTATTCCAGGTGTTAGATAAGATGGGAAATCACGCAGCAAATTATATAAACTTTACATTTTCCTAATAGTCACGCATATGACCTTTTCGCGCTGCGTTGTTATGGAAGCTTTAGACTTGAGCCTCCATAACGTTCTACAGCAGGATCGACGACCGTGTAAGAGGAGACATGCGATTGGTCCAATTCGGAAATCTAGCCAATGAGAAGGTTTGTCTTATACAGCGTCAGCAAGTGCGTGGTAACCATGCTGTCTCCAAAACAAGCAGGGAAAATGGCGGCCGTCTGCGATCTTGACGCGTCAAGTGAAAACATCTGAGTGAAGTTGTATAACGTAAAGGTATGCTATTTCATAAGTTGTTTTGTTTTCAATTATCCGTTAATATCAACACCACTTCATATGAAATGCGCTTACTGTTACAGTGCATAAAACATCCGTTGTCAAGCAGGTCACTGACTATTCCTTGATGAAAATTCTTGGGAGGTAAATAAATTAATGTGGTTTTGAAGTTATAATATTTCAATATAGTCGGTTACTTTAGAGTGTTTCAGAACGAAAGTGCTATTATCTGGTTGCCAGCCATGCAAACCAGCCGATTTTATCATAATTGTTCATTTCTTTTGTAAAAAAGGATCCGTGAAATTAATATCAGATTGAAAATTCGGCTAATTCATAACGCCTCCCAGTGTTCCTTACAACCTCACTCGTTGATCTTAAATACTTTATTAGTTTCTACACTGTTTCATGTGTTCCGAAACTAATTAGTTTGATTTGTTGATTGATTGACTGTGAACATGTTTTTAATAATAAGTATGTGTGTGATACATAAGTTATTTATTAGGAGTGTAAAATAGGTATGATTGCAAAAGTGTATAGATCTATGTGTGCGAATGTATTTATAAGTGTGTGTGTGCGTGCGTACATACATGTATGTGTGTGTGTCAGTATGAGAATTACAAAAGTTATCTTCAAGGTTAGAAAACTGTACCAGTTGAGGTTTTTATCAACACATGTACTACATACAATATGTACCAAATGTGTAGCTATAGGGGTGACTGTTGCCACAGGTATTACAGAAATAAACCCTGGGTACCCTGACAAGCTAGGGTACATTTGTGTGTACAGAAAGGTACCTGACCTGTTGGGCTGGGACGAGTCCAAATTTACTACCGGGGTACCCACTGCAGGTCTCAAGAGTTGGGAACAAAATGTCTGATTGGTAATTGTTTTACCACAGCCTTGGCCAAAACTATTTAGATACATGTTTCAAACAATCAGATCATGCATACACCGAAGTTGACTGAAGCTTTGTCTAACATATACATCGTCAGAAGGAAACGCGACATTAGCGTCTTGTAGTGTAACCACTGAGCTATCATGAGTTTTTGTCATTAAGCAATCTATCACGTTACTATCCACTGGTCTGGGTACTAACTACAAATACGAACATTCTTTCATAAGTGTCAAGCTTAGCAATTATTGGTTTTGTGCAATCTGCCAGAAATGTTTGAGACTATGAGCCCCAAATTGGCCCTAAGCATCTTTTTCAGGTGAATTCTGTGTTATTAGGTGTACTATTATTAGCTTTATGTACAGAATTTTACTTGACTCAGGCTTTGGACTAGTTGCCAAAGTCGCAATTTGTTGTTGTAGATTGTTTTTGGGTGATACATAACATGCAAATATCCTGCAAACACGGGGCGGTCAGGTAGCCTAGTGGTTAAAGTATTCACTCCACACGCCGAAGACACCGCGTCAATTCCTGACATGGGTACAATGTGTGAAACCCATTTCTGGTGTCCCCCGCCGTGATATTGCTGGAATATTGATAAAAGCGGCATAAAACCAAACTCACTCACTCACTCCTGCAAACACAAATAGTAGAACTGGTACTTCAAACCGAGTTCATGTTTCAAGTAATAGAGTTTTCCATTGATGCTAAATATGAATTTTTAATTTCTAGTGCAATATTTGTGAAATGAATGTTTTTGTTCTGTATATCAGTGTTATTAATATACTACTGGGCAAGATGACACATTGTCAACTCTTCCATTCGTGTGCAGAGCTCCAGATAAGCATTTGGTTATTTGGGTATTTCATGGGTTTGATTTTTGTTAGGTATCCACAATTGTTAGGGGGTATTAAAAAAATGACCCACATTTCTTTTGATTTGGGTATTTTGACTTGAAAACCAGTTTCAAACAATCCTTGTAAATCATTTAAAACCAAATGAATAGTAGCATGCACATTTTTTACAGAATGTAACTGTATGTAAATGAATTTCGCGATTGGCTGATATGCTATCTTTTTATCTAATAGTTGTAATATACGTATGAATTTTATTTCACAATCAGTTTTATAGTTTTTGTTGCATATTTGGTATGCTAGAGCCTGTAATGAATCATGGACAGTGGTAATGCTTGATGGATGAAATAACAGACACGCATAATTGCTCCTGATCTGTTGTAAATACAATGAACATTGTTCTTCCCTTGGGATGCAGCATATTTTTTTCTGTGTCCATTCTCTACATTTGTGCATACTGGATGCACATTTGTAAGTCATGTAAAACCTTGTGCTTATCAATGTAGTATGATCTATTTTCATATATTTACAGAAAAATGTCTGAACAAGGAAAAGAGGAAGTTCCAGGTGAGTCTGCAGACCAGAAAGATTCTCCCCATCAAGAGACTACCCCGGTAGAAGATGTTCCCAAGGACACAAACCCTGCACCTGATGAAGCACAAGGAGACACCGCTCCTGTACTAGTGCCTCAAGCAGAGCCTGACCCAGCAGAGCCTGACATCACAGAGCATAACCCTGCAGCTGGTGAATCGGGAAAACCTGAGGAGGGAGGGTCAGCTGAAGTAGAAGTCACAGGGGAGACAAATGTCCCAGTTGAGAGTGAGGGTCAGAAGGAAGAATTAACAGCAGAAGGGGGTCAGAAGGAAGAAGTAACCAAAGAGGGTCAAAAAGAAGAAGTAACAGAAGGTCAGAAAGAAGTAACAGAAGAGGGTCAGAAAGAAGTGACAGAAGAGGGTCAGAAAGAAGTAACAGAAGAGGGTCAGAAAGAAGTAACAGAAGAGGGTCAGAAGGAAGAAGTGATAGAAGAGGGTCAGAAAGAAGTAACAGAAGAGGGTCAGAAAGAAGTAACAGAAGAGGGTCAGAAGGAAGAAGTGATAGAAGAGGGTCAGAAGGAAGAAGTGATAGAAGAGGGTCAGAAAGAAGTAACAGAAGAGGGTCAGAAAGAAGTAACAGAAGAGGGTCAGAAGGAAGAAGTGATAGAAGAGGGTCAGAAGGAAGAAGTGATAGAAGAGGGTCAGAAAGAAGTAACAGAAGAGGGTCAGAAAGAAGTAACAGAAGAGGGTCAGAAGGAAGAAGTGATAGAAGAGGGTCAGAAGGAAGAAGTGATAGAAGAGGGTCAGAAGGAAGAACAGAAGGTTGATGAAGCAGAAAAGACAGAGCAGGAACCAACAGAAGAAGTAAAGGCTGAAAATGCAACAACTGAAGAAAAGGCTGAAGTGAAGGATAATGTGAGGGAGCAGGATAAGCAGGAGCTGGAGGACAAGCCTGAGGTAGAAAGAGCCCCTTCCGTAGCAGAGGTGGGCACAGAAATGAGGAAGATAGAGGATGAAGGTGTAACACTAGATGGAAGGCAGGCAACTCCAGTGAAGCCAACTCCTTCAGTGAAGACCAAGGTGAACCTTGATGCAACAGCTACAGGTAGAATACTCACATTACCAAAAACATAGTTGCATCCGTTAATCAAGGTATTTAATAATTTATTCTAATAAATTTAATGTTCTTTTGAATGCGCCTTATTGAGTTGCCTTGAATGAGAGAGTAAGAAAACATCACAATTTCAAGGGATACATATGATATTTTGTATATACAGTGAAGTTTGTGCTGATGCCAAGCGGTCAAGTGGTCACTCTGGCATGTACACTGGGTCAGACTCTCCAGCAGCTCAAGGAACATTTTTCCAGTGAACTCAAGATGCCCGTTAATCTGATCCTGATCATGCATGATGGTAAGTACGCAGAGAGTGTAGATTCCTCCCACTATGTAGACAACAGTCATCACTTATCATTAGGTTGTTCCATACATCACTCAAGCAATGACAGATGCTTCAGATCACAGTTCTTTAATTCTTTAATCTATCTGGAATTAGAAGTCATATTTAAAGAATTACACTCTGCACTTGATGTGCCATCTTGAGATAGTCACCAAAATAGATTAGTAGTAATAGGTTAAATCACAAACAATCCAGTATTTAGAGAAAACTAAATGCTGCAGTTTATTTGTGATGATAGATTACAACTGTATCAGGGTTCAAGATTAAAAGAAGTCTGCTAGTCTGAGACTAGTTAAATTAAGGATGGACTAGTAACATTTCCTTGTCGACTTCCACTTTTAGTATGATGTAGATGGCAACTCAGTAGCAGATCTGTAGTGATAAAAATACATTTCTAACCTGAATATCGACAGTATTAAAATTAATGGGTGTCCTGTGGCTATCTGCCCAAGTATTTTCATCTGGGGATCCCTAAATCATTAAAATGTGTTCTTAGGATAACAAGTACTATAAAGAGTCTCTTGATTGTTATTGTTCAGTTGAGCAGTGATGTGTCTGGTGATGTGTGCAGGTAAAGGTATAAGTGAGAAGTCAACTCTGGCTGATCTGGGCGTGGGTCCAAATGGCACTGTTCAGCTGGAGATGCAGTCTGCTGATCCTGTCAACACACCAATCAAGTCCTACCGGCCTCGTCAGGAGTATCACATGCCTGACGTCATCACTGTGCGGGTGCAGGGAGGTCAGTCTGTGTTACCTTTTGCTCCTGTAGGCATCACTGTGGAGTCAGTGTGAACATCATTTCACTGAACTTGCTATTCAATATTTCGATGTCCAGCCTGTAAGTCTTCATTTTCTTTATTCTCAGGTCATACTTTAAAATAGCTGATGTGAAAGCACTGTACTTATATATATATACTCCAATGCCAAATATGCCGAATTTTGAAACTTATCCTATCTCACACTATGCATTTCTTCTTATTCTTTGATCCTGGTGTGGAAGCGTCCTAGGACAAAGTTTCCAGCTTCAAAAACACCACTCACCCCAACACATCCCATATACCACAAAGTCACCACTGTGATCATGGGTCATGCACCACTGCCATTCCATGCGACACGATCCCTGCGATCTGATTATCTGACATATCCAGCACCCTCATTCTCATTTCTATCGCCTGGTGTTCAGACGCATACCTGAACAGAGAATATATTTTGTTTGTTTTTTGGTTTTGGTTTTTACACGATCGATTTCACTTCTGTTTACCATTACCACGAGGATATTATACATTTGGAGTTGTCACGTCCCTTTTCACAGCCTGGTATCACCTGTTTTCTCTACTTGACCCCATTTCCATTTGTTGTGATTGTTGTGGAGTGTGTGGTAATGATACAAATTGTCAAGCAGTGTGTTGCCCTGTCAGAATTGGATAAGGGCGTTTGTTTATCATTTAGTCGTTGTGTACGGTTTCCGTGCATGGTCATTCCTCCGCGTGGACACCCAAACAATGTGTTATTCCTTGTTGCTGCGCCTTAATCTTTTTGCTAATAACAGTTACATCGCTTCCCGTCATTTTGTCTACCGCCCTTCCCGCCTATGTATGGACCATGCCCCTTGCTCGTGTCTGCTCCCTGCCTTCTACAGTCGTCTCACTTTCAAATGACCACCGGCCTGGTATGTCCTCTGCCACTTCCCCATTCTTTCAGCGAAGAAGGTTTCCCTTGACTCAGCGCAGCGTTGGGAAGTCTAAGTTGTCAGCAGAGGGTGCCTCTATCCACTCGTGAATTGGGTCATCATCGCTCCCTGCAGCGCTCTGAGGATACAGATACACCTCTCCGGCTTTCAAATGGCGACAGTCCTGCTGATTGAAAAATGGACGATTGTCATCGAGCAAGTGATCGCCGACTGTCGACAGATCTTCACTCACAGGATTGTCATCCTTTGTTAGATCGTACATGATCGTGGGATAAACAGATCACCATACTTCACCAATGACAAGTCGTCATTCTTTTGTCGGACAACCTTGTCGACAGTTCACCAGATTGTACCTCGGAGGATTGATAGTTCGCCTCTTCTACAGATTGATACCTGAGGGACCCCCACTCGACATTTCATCATTATATTGATACCTCAATACATTGATACATTGTTCCATCAAGAACTCGGCCACTCGTGCAACTTTGCCTGTTCGAGACACGGCTCGTCGTTTCTCTCAGGGTCAACAGACCTCTCATCGTGCACTTCTATCCATGAACTTGGACCAGGCCTTCACTGTATTCTTTTGTCAACTACTAAGAAACCTAATTACCTTACTTTAACAGCAGTATGATCAACTACTTTTTAACCGTCATGAGCATCAGTCAACGTCTTGGGATGCGTTGACCTGCACCAACCTGTTGGTCTCATCTTTAAAGTCTCCTCTTATGGCAAGCTTGAGATTCTGAAGACCTGTTCTCTACCGTGATCTTCAAGGACCTGGTCCACGTCCAGTCATGGATCAGTTACGGTGCTCACTGAAGTGAAATCAACATTAACAAAATAGACAGGTTCTGACAATCGAGATGATCAGCCACTCACTCTATGTATCTAATCTGGATGAATGATGGAGGTTCAGAATACTGACCTCTCATTGATTTTCGTTCTCCTCAGGACTAATACCTACACTCCCCAGCACCTAATCAAAGATTAGTTATTTTATCTTATCCTGACTCATACTTATTGCTTATCTCTCTCTCTTCCGAATAGGTAGTGGAAACTTCCTGTGCTGTTCTCAAAGAACAGAGAAAACAGCTCACCACAACGCACCCTTATTCCGCGCATGCGCACCGGAACCATGTGACCAAGCCCAGTAACTCATCACTCTCTCTTTTTCGCGCCATCTTGGCAGCTGGAAAATGTTTTCTGTGCATCGTAATCCAAGCTTTCCATAAAAATTCACCCTTTTTAACAAAATCTTTTGCTTGGATTATCTTCTGTGATATTCTATACATCATATCTAACGATTATTTTATATATTTGGCATTAGAATTTTTCGTAATTTGGACTTAAATGCAGCCCCTATCGGGGATTATAAAAAAAATGTAACCGATGTAAATTACGTGTTTCAGATTCGGACCCTCATCCAACCTGTACCAGCTACACAGTGCAGAACTGCACTGCAGAGAATAGATGCAAATTCTGCGCCTCTTTGGGGAAGGAAGAATTTAGGAATTATCTTTTTGCAGTGCAGAGGAAAAAGATGGATCGGAAACGACATGAGTCATCACGCTAGTTATCATCCACGGAGACGGCTAAAAGTAAGAAGAGGCGAGAATCTACGCCCTGCCCTTCGTCAGAGGAATTCGATTTGATATTATTCAAATTACTCCTGCTGAATATGATGCAGTCACCTCCCCCCCATCTTACTTCCTCGTCTACCAGTAAGAAGACTAGAGGGTCTAAGAATAAACCTACTGAACGCTTCAGTCAGGCTATCAATCTACAACATCTAGCTAAGAAAAAGAGTGCTGCATCATCTACTTTGAAGCCGTCTTCCCCTAGGAGAGAGCATGTTTTTGCAGAGGTTATTACCTCTACCCCAGAGGTAACCCTGCAACCCCACAACCCCAGAGGTTCGCGCAGCCCGCAGTGTCATCCAATCCGGCTACAAATACAACCGATACAAACCTCAATCAGCCTCAGACCTTCGCGCAGCCCAACACAACAATTACGCAATCCTCTACCTTCGCGCAGGCGTCAGCAGCCTATTAATCAACAAGAGTATACACAGACTCCAGCGTTCACTCAGGCTCCCGCCTTCGTGCAGCCTTCAACGTTTACACTGCCAACTACCTTCACGCAGCCTACCTTTTTTACACAAGGTACTTTGCTAACGCCTGCTATTAATACAGATGTGATAGTAAATATCACACAACAGAGCTACTCAGACTAAACTAAATTTCACCCTGAAATTATTAACACAACTGGGTTGGTTAATAAATTTTCAGAAGTCCGATCTACAACCATCTCAGGACCTCAAATTTCTGGGGATCAGTATTCTAACCAATCAGAATCTGATAATGGTACCAGAAGATCGGTGGATAAAAATCAAGACTTGTTTGCCAACAGCAATTTACAAGAAAATCTCAGTCAACAAATGGCAAGTGATACTAGGCTGACTCACGTCAGCCCAAGCATGGATGGTCCGAGGCAGACTACACTTACGCCCTATTCAGAGATTTCTAAATCCATACCTAGAGTACCAGGATTTAAAACTGCAACTACCACAAACATTGAGGAAACACCTCTTATGGTGGAAAGTGAAATCGAACGTTTGCGCAGGAACTTGTTTAAACGACCCAGATTACAACAACCACCTATTCGTGGACGCCTCACTTCAAGGCTGGGGAGCTCACTTCAACAGAGAAGTAACAGCAGGCCTATGATTAGAAGCAGAAAAGCTCTACCACATCAATTATCTGGAATGTGAGGCAGTAATCCGTGCATTATTTCACTGGGCCCCACAGTTAAGAAACCAACGTCTGATGATCAGAACAGACAATTCAACTGTGGCATACAATATAAACCTGGACCCTCCTGAAGTTGACATTTCAACTTTACGAGCTAGTAGTTAATCTGAACTTAACAATAAAGACAAGACATATACCAGCAGTGGCAAATGTCTTAGCAGACGCCTTCACCAGACCAGCCAAACCATCACCGACAGAATGGAAGCTACACCCAGAAGCATTCCAACTGGCAATAAAAGAAAGAGGTTGCCCATTAGATAGACCTTTTCGCAACCAGATTCAACAATCAGATAACAACATTTGTATCACCAGTGCCAGACCCACTAGCTTGGTCAGTCGATGCTCTGTCAATATCATGGGAGGGACTAAATGCGTATGCGTTTCCTCCACAAGCCGTGATACCACAGATATTACAAAAGATCCTACACACGAGCAGCCTACAACTGCTTTTGGTAGCGCCTTACTGGCCCGCGAGAACTAGGTTTCCAGATCTCGTCGAACTAGCAGGAAATCCAATATTAAAACTTCCAAACTGGCCAAATCTACTGCTACATCCTCACTCCAATCAGGTCCATCCAAGACCAGATCTATACGAACTTCACGTATGGAGCATATCAAGGGCAGTCTCGTTAAAAGAGGATATTCCATGAGAGCAGCTAAGGCAGTCTCCTTAGCACTTCGTAGATCAACGAGGAATCTCTATGACGATAAAGACGAAAAGTTTTGACCAGTTTGCAACATCCAAGGGTTTTTCTGCAGCCAAAGCTACTATACCACAAGTAGCAGATTACCTATGTCACTTACGAAGTACAAGGAATCTTAAAGGTTCGACACTGGGCACTTATTTGGCTGCTATCAGTTCTGTACTGACAATGGCTAACGGGATAAAACTTACTAAAGTTCCCGAGCTGATAGCCCTACTCGGATCCTTCAGACTTGAGGACCAACAGAAAAGATTTAGAGCCCCAGCATGGGACCTTAATATAGTTCTACAACACCTAACTAGTGATGCATACGAACCGCTCCAACAGGCCGACTTTGAACACCTGACGCAGAAAACCCTATTTCTTCTGGCATTAGCTACGGCAGCCAGAATGTCTGGAATCCACGCGATAGACTTCAATCGCATCACATTTGACAGTGGTAACAACTCATCAGCGCACCTTGGCTTAAGATGGGACTTTGTTGCAAAGAACCAGTTACCAGGCCAACCAGACAGACAATTCCATGTTCCGGCTCTTTCCTCCGTCCTTGGTGCAGAGGATACAGAGGATTTATCATTATGCCCAGTCAGAGCCTTAAGATTATACCTACAAAAGTCTAAACCTAGAAGACAAGGTTTTAAGAGACTATTTATTCCTTTATTAAGGAATACACACACAGAGGTATCCAGAACAACTATCTTATTTTGGATGAGAGCTGTTATTCTCAGAGCATACAGAGCAGCGGGATTGGACCCCCCTTCAGCCTCCAACCCGCACGAAGTAAGAGCCTTAGCCTCAACTTTGGCACTTCACGGCAACTGCTCAGTAACAACTATTATGGAAGGCTGTTTCTGGAAATCAGATACAGTTTTCGCCAATCACTACCTCAGAGACCTTGCTACAGAAGACATAGCTGGTATTCACCAATTCGGACCATTAGTTGTGGCACAACAACTCACGAATCCTACCAGACGACATTAGAAGATCACACTCACCCAATATCACGTAGACTTGTTGACGTCAGGTTACTGTTCCATAACCAACGACTGAGAGTCCATGCCCCCTGTTTTACTATGTAATTCAGCACATGAGTAAGAAATGATTGTGTTGAGATTATTGCTCTTCTCTTAACACTTTAATCATTTAAGGTGAACAAGATTTTAATCTTAGAAACCTTATAAATCCACAAATCTATATGATTTACTTCCATTTTGCTGCTCACAAAAAAGGAAGGTGGTCCCCAATAAAGAATTTACACAGAAGATTAACAACGTTCCTATGGGGTTTATAGAACAGATCGACGTTAATCACACATACAGGTGGAACCCACCACCTACTGTGAGATTCAAGCAATAAGTATGAGTCAGGATAAGATACAATGTATTTTTTAGAGAAAAAATATCATTTATACTTATCCTGACTCATACAAATGAGTACCCTCCCGGCCTTCCCCTCTTTCCACTGATGTGTTCCGACCATTAAGTAGGAAATAAGAGAGAGTGATGAGTTACTGGGCTTGGTCACATGGTTCCGGTGCGCATTCGCGGAATAAGGGTGCGTTTGGGTGAGCTGTTTTCTCTGTTCTTTGGGAACAGCACAGGAAGTTTCCACTACCCATTCGGAAGAGAGAGAGATAAGCAATAAGTATGAGTCAGGATAAGTATAAATGATATTTTTACTCTAAAAAATACATTATGTTCCCCTTATCTTCTCAAGAAAACGGACAGAGTCAGGAACGCACGCATACTCCTTATTCAGGTTGAATTATCAGACAGATCAATATCATCCTGAGGATGGATATCAAGACGCTTCCGATGCATTATTCTTTCTTGATAGCACAAAGAGGGTTTTTTAAGCAAACCTTACACGAGTTTATCACTAATCCTTGTAAAATCCTTTGAATTTTCATGATGAGTTCCAGCAAGGTTGAGGTCTTTACAGGCTAGGGTATCTGCGCCCCACTATCCAACTGTGGGATAAATGCATAGTATGAGAAAGGATAAGTTTAAAAATTTGCAAATTTTCTAATAAATTGTATATTTATGTACTTATCCTATCTCACTCGCTAAATGCCCACCCAACCATCTCCGCATCACAGTTATACCAGCCTGTAGGCTCTAAATTAAGAATGAGGGTGCTGGATATGTCAGGTGATCAGAATGCAGGGATCGTTTCCCACGGGATGGCAGTGATTTGATGAGTGAGGGGTCCACCTGCAGAAGAAGTTGTTCCAACTTGTTGTGTGGCAGATACCCTCATACATCTGTCACGTAACCCCAGAAGTGAATAGAATATGGGTAGGTGGGTTTGGGAATTCCAGGATTAGATCTTATCATTCATGGCCTGCGGATGGATGGTTTTCAGATCAAATATCCATTTTAGTTCAATGGACAGGCATCTAGCCGTGCTCTGAGCTGACTCAAGGTCTGTTTTGAGCTGTTGTATGATTTGGTAGTGTAGGTCTCTGGTTGAGTGTCCTACGGAATTGAAGTGTTTAGCGACAGGTTTGTCCCTTTGGTGGTTTATATCTGCAAAGTGTTCTTTGAGTCTAGTGCAGAAGTGTTGTTTGGTCTCACCTACGTATTGTTTACCACATTTAATGCAACTGAGCAGGTAGATTATGTTTCTGCTTTTGCAAGTGAAATGCGGATGGCATTTATATTTTTTGCCTGTTGTGTGGCTGTTGAAGGTGTTGACCAATTTCATATTTAGATTTTGCATGATTGTTTGTGACAGCTGTCATCTAAGTTGGGCACATTTCGGCCACTGATTTGTGGTTTGGGTGGCGGATAGGTGATTGCCGCTCTCATGAGGATATCTCTGAGTGTGCGGTTCTTCCTGTATGCCGTGATGTGTGGGACTCGGAAGGTGTCTTTGCAGGTGTCTGATCCTAGAAGTAAGTGCCAGGATTTTTTTATCAAAGAGCTTACCTTAAGTGCAGTGGGGTTGTAATCTGTGATAAAGATCACTGGTTTAGTGTCTTTAGAGGGTGTCTGTTTTTGTGATAAGAGGGATGTCCTCTCTTTAGCGTTAGCTTTTATTTCATTATCCAAGAGAATTTTCTTGGGGTAACCTCTCCTGAGGTAATACTTTACTAGATTGTTACTGTGGAACTCATATTGTGATTGCGAGCTGCAGATCTTTTTGAGTCGGAGGAATTGGCTATATGGTCCTTTGACTTTGATGTGTCGCGGGTGGCAGGAGGTATATAGCAGATAAGAATGTGTATCTGTGGGTTTGCAATATAGGTCAAAGTCCAGTTTATTAGTTTCTTGGTTAAATATGAGCCATGTGTCTAAGAAAGCCACTTTTGCTCTGGAAAATTTGGCCGTGAATTTGATTGTGGGATGTGATTGGTTCATTTCTTTGATGAAAGATTCCAACCTCGTGTAGCCCAGAGTCCAAATGAGGAAAATGTCTCAAAATGGTTTTTTTAGAAGTTTTTCTTCTAATTCTCCCATGAAAATGTTTGCGTATGATGGGGCTAGTTTGGTACCCATGGCTGTTCCTCCGGTTTGTAAGAAGTGTACATTGTTGAAGACAAAATTGTTTTTGTATAGAACAAGTCTAAGTAAAGAAAGTAAGCTGGTGGAGCTGATGGACCAGTCAGGTTTGAAGCGTCTAATGGCCTGAGCTACTGCACGGAGGCCTTCCGTGTTGGTGTAAAGGGATGTGACGTCCATAGTGACAAGAATGATGTCACTATTGGGTGGGAGGTGGACGGAGCCCACGGTCTGGATGAAGTGGGTGGTGTCCCTAATGTAGCTGGGATAATGTTTGACGAACTCTTTTATGTGGGGTCTTTGGGTAACAGTCCATTGAATATTTTGTAAGTGATCTCTTCTTTAGTGAAGATTTTGGTGAGAAGTTGTGTGATCTCATTAGCAAATTCCACGGTGGGGTCATGGTCTATTTTAAGATAAAAGTTGGTGTCAGTGAGTTGATGTGTGACCTCTTGTATGTAATCAGTAGTGTTGAGAAGAACGACTGCTGATCCCTTATCGGCTTTTTTTATCACGATTTCTGAGTTGTTTTTGAGACTATTGATGGCAGTTCTCTGTGCACGTGTGAGATTGTTGCGTATGAACGGGATGGTGATCATTTTGAGAAACTGGTGTTTAACTGATTTGATAAAGGCATCAAGCGTAGGGTCTATGCCCGGATTTGGGGTCCAGGTGCTTCCTGGGCGAAATTTATGCTCTAGAAGTTTCACTTCTTCGATCACAGGAAACAGTTGCTTATTTGTAAACATCATAATTTCAGTCCGACTTGTCTAATATGTAAAATATGCTTGATTTGAAAAAATGCAATATACCTGTATTTTTCAAATATATTGTGATCAGTAATTCATATTGTGGTATACTGGTATACCAGTAATACTTGCGCACCATTAGTAAACAGCCTAGATACGAATGTCTTTGAAATTCTCCTTATGTAGATGATGAAGAACCCAGAGACATTGTAGTTGAGATTGAACGTTCCACAAAGAAGAAGCCTTTCTTAGGAGGATTCCGCCACAAGACAACTGGCGTTGAGTATCACAATGCTTCAGCACAAACTGCCACCAAGCCGAGACCTGTGTCTAACATAGAACGCTACTGTCGGGACACACAGACAGTCCAACAGCATCACCAGCCGCAGCAGACGACCAATGACACATCAACACAGATGACAAAGATTGGTGTGTTTGTGTCCAATATGTCAGACAAGCTTCTTATCCCAGGCCAGTACACGACGGCTGATGATCATCTAGCCATGCTTCTTAGAAAGGTAGGTATATGTGTTCTTGATTTGTTAAGACAAGGTTGATGTTCATTTGTCCATTCAGTGAGTGCATGATTCTGAGTTCATGTTATATAGTCAAAAAAGATTTCAGACATGCATCAAAAAGATCTGTTCCCATGGTGATTTAGGATTAGAACATGCTTGCTGTGGGAACCTACTTAAAAGATTTGTTTGTTTGTTTGTTTGTTGTTTAATACCACACTCAACAATATTCCAGCCATATGATGGCGGTCTGTAAATGATCGACTCTGTAACAGACAATCCAATGATTGATATCACAAGCATCAATCCACACAAAAGGGATATGATGACATGCATCAACAAGTCAGCAAGCCTGACTACCCGATTCCGTCAGTTGCCTCTTACGACAAGCATAGTCACCTTTTATGACAAGCATGGGTTGCTGAAGACCTGATCTTCACGGGTAAAAGAAGATCAGATGGTTTCAATGTGTGCCAGAGCATTGCAGAAAATACTTGAAGGAGTGCAAGCTGTACTGGATATTTCATTTGTATAAAACATTAATGTGTTTGTTCCAGATTATTATCATACAGAAGTACTACCGCCGCTGGTTGGCCAAGAGATATGTGCACAAGCTGAAACAAGATAAGCAGCGTAGGTTAGAGTGGGAGAAGGAGGAAGAAATCAGGAAGAAGAAAGATAAGGAAGACAGAATAAAGAAGGAGTTTGCAAGACGAATGAATCCAAAGAACAAAGAGGACTTTGATCTTCTCTTTCATGCTTTGGAAAGTAGGTGGTAGATTGTTTAATTGGTTTCTCAACAGATATTTCTGTCATCTTTAGGGGAAAATGTAACAAAGTATCTTCAATTATTGTGGGGGGATTCTGTTATGCAAAAGTATGAAATTCATGACATTGTTATGGAAGCCATTAAGACTTTCATTAGTTAAAGTCTCATCCCAATCTGCGAAATGTAGAGGTGGGAAGTTATAAACAATTGTCTGCTGTAGAGTGGCGGCAGGAGGAGATAGAGCGCATCAACACCACCCTGGAGGGGGCTGAGAGGAAGGCTGCTCTGTGTATGTTGCTGGACCAGGAGACCCAGCTGTTGGCCGCCATCGACAGGCACAAGCTGGAGGCCGGCTCTGAGAACAAGGACCTGCGCATCCAGAGCTTCCTGGAGAAGGTTGGTGTTTAATATATAGCAGAGTATGCAGATCCAGAGGCGGGGCTCATAAATTTCGGAAGCATTCATGGTAGTCACAGTCTGTGCCAAAGACTTTTGAATCTACTAGCCTGTTGACTCGTAACGTCATTTTCATTAGATATTATTGTTATCTTATGGACTTTCATTATCTGAGCTTACTTGACTAAAAAGAATCTTTTTAGACTTAGGCTTTGAACTAGTGGCTAAGATCTCAGGCTGTGGTCAGATATACTAAGACTAAACATATTACAACTCTATAGTTACTTCATATGTATTTTCAACAAAATGTCCCAATTACTATTTATAAATTGCCAAATAACATAATGCACCCCTCCTTTTCCGAATAGCTGCACTTTAGCTGCATATGTCACTTTTCAACAATAAAGCACTCATCGTAGACTTTGATAAAATGTGTGCAAATGTGGTAACTGTAATCTATTGATCTTTAGGCTGCTTCTCCCAAGAAATGGAAGGGTCATGATGGAAAGGTCACTGAAATGGACACCCCATATACAATTCGAGCACGAGAACTGCGAGACATATACAACAGTATTAACATGAAGTATCTCACTCAGGATGAGCGACTGGATGTGCTTCTCACTCTCAAACACACTGTGAAGGTGAGATCCTGCTCTGTCCGAGCACTGAATGCTTTAGATTTCTTGAAATCTTGAACATCAAGGGAGTCTATTCATTAACAAATTATTACTTAGTGTAGTAATGAAATGTCACAAGTGGCAGAATTGAATATTCTCAGATCCTATTCAATCACAATATGAAAGCATTTTTTGTCTAATTCTAACAATAAAAACTGAATTTGTAACGTTTGGTATATAATATTCCATTACAAATTCACCATGTCATAACCCATGATTTATCTACTTTTATTCAAGTATGTATTAAAGTCGTCCTTATTGTTTATTCTATTAGGAGCATGACTGCAAGTTAACGCAGGAGATCATCGAACTCATCGACAGAGAAGCCGACCTGTTGATGCGAGGTGTGAAGGAAACCAACTTGGATGGACTCAGGAAGAGAATCTCAACTCTGTTCCTCCAGTACATCAAAACTCCCACTTTCAACCCTGAATCTGCCAAACTCCTCAAGGTAGACATGCTGCTAGTACTCGATACATGTAATTCATTACTAGTGGGTAGCTCCTTTACCTACTGTGTATGTTTGTCATTGTGGAAGAGATTTGCTTGACAAAAGTGAGTGGCATCCATATCATTAACAGATAAATCCTGTCTGTCTCTTCGGGAAGCCAGGACTGATTAGATCCCCAGTAACCAGTACATAAAGATGTTAACAGAATGTACAATCTTCAAAAACATTTCCCATATTTAAGTAATATGAATACAATCCAACCTTGGCAATGTCATACTAGTCCATTTTATGAATAGGGGGTGTAAGTTTGGTATTTCCCGGATATTCTCACAGTTTTCACTTCGATTATCTGTCAATTACCATGTTTCGTTCTTCATTGTTCTTTGTGATTTATCGTCTAGCTATCTTATGTTCTTGAATAAATGAAGATTGTCTTAATAGACATATATATACATAAGCCAATAGTTAAGAGAGAACATCTTTAGTAATGTAATTACAGGGCATTGTTCAGTGTCATCCCGATTGATTCCTCGACTCATCTCATCTTTGTTGCTATTAATGTATGAGGAATGGTATAATACTTATCTCTCCTACTACCCACAGGTGCCCCAGGATCCATCCACTCTCCGCAAGAACATCTACTTCTGTCCAAGCTGCAACAGTTATCTCCCCTCCACCGAGTTCTCCCTGTCCTCCAACTCGCGCTATGTTGGCAAATGTCGCCGCTGTGGCAAGACCGACAATGATGCTCGAGTTCGACAGGACTTCAGCCATTTCCGGTTCATGCTCAAGTCACTGCGGAAGGCTGAGGAGGGATATGGGGATGGATCACAGATTGCATTCTTGTTGCAGGTATGGTTCTACTTTTGAGTGGAGAGCTAGGTTACCTGTAGATATGACCACCATAACTGAATTTGGAACCGAAAGCGCAGGCTCATCTCTGATCCAACTAAATACCTATGCATTTAAAATATTTTAAGATATTAATTTTATGTGTGTAAGTATGACAAGCCTGCAGTGTGTGACATAGTAGACACAATTTACAGATAAAGAACTTCTGTAAATTATTACTATAGTAGAGTTTCGGTATAGATCATTATACCGTCGTCAAGCAAGTTGTTATCTGTATATTGTGTCGACTTTGTCATCTGTCAACTTGTAGGAAAGACCTATTAAACAGTTCAGTGTGTGACATGTATACATGTACGGTTGTGTCTGCAGGAGAATGACCTGCAATACTTGGTGGAGAACATCTGGAACAGCCAGAGTATCCTCAGTGCCTGGGAGGACCTGTATGACCTGATGCTGGTGCGCTGGGACAAGCATGATGAGTGGTCACCCTGGAATTGTGTGCTTCTCACCAAGGAGGAAGCCTCAGCACATGACAGGCTACACAGTCTAGAAGAGGTAGGAGGTTGGGAGTCTACATAACAGCGTAGTGTGCTCATGTTTAGTGAGGAATATAAATCTGGTAATGTAAGGTGGGGAGAGTGATCTCTATGAACAATCCAGACAATCCAGTAATTGACATCATGAGCATCACCCAAGTCAGCGAGCTTGACCATGCACCTGATCCTGTTAGGTGACCTAGTTGCTTGCTGTGAACATGAACAGTTCCTAATAAAATTATCGACCAGAGGAGTAACACTTCATAAAGTCTTAAACAATGTTCGCAAACCTGGACATGACATTGCTCTAAGTATAATTGACCACATGTATTGGGCAGGTTTCATATAGGGGGCTTTAACACATAGAATACTTTGTCTTATAAAGTGAATGTTGAATTGAAATACAGTCGAGTCAGTATCATTGTCATAATGGACAAACATCTTTCGTATGGTTCAATCCAGATCAGAAAACAAATGTTTTCACTACTATCTTCAATATTAGGGTTTATCCCATGCTAACCCCAATACTCATCACTTCACAAAAGGTTGGCGGTGGGATAGCCTTGTGGTTAAAGCATTCACTTGTCACGCCAAACATACAGGTTCGATTCCCCACATTTGTACAATTTGTGAAGCCCAAATCTGGGGTTCTCTGCCATGTTATTGCTGGAATATTGTTAAAAACGGTGTAAAGCCATACTCACTCCCTCACTCTTTTGAAAAAGGATCTGGAAAGTTTTAATTTAGCAATGCGTTTAGCCTCAAAAGTATTCCAATAAAAATAGAGGCAGTGAGTTGAGTTGGGGAGGAGGGAGGGATTTATTACCAGTATGGTAGTCAGCGAATGAGTTAGAGTATTTGATGGCCAACTACACAGTGTGTCTGTGTTTCAGGGTTACGGCCAAGTGTTCATCCACAAAGTGAAGCAGAAGCACACCCTGGCCAGGAACTACTTTTCCCGCCTCCCTGGGATGGCGGAACTCATCAGGAAGAGGACGGGCAAGAGGGACATCCAGAGCAACAGAGGACCATCCGTGGCCGGAACAGCGGTCCCAGTACAACAGAAGGCATGAGCCCTCCCTATAAACATGTTCCTTTGACAGGAATACCAAGTTGTGATATAAGTGAAGGTTTATGAGAGGATCTCACTTTGACGATGGCGTTTATTGTATAGAGGTGGTTGAATGATGTGCAGATGCTGTCCAGTGACACATGTTGACTGTCATTCGTCATATTTGCACCCATTAAAATGATTTGGAAGTGTGTGGGGAAGTATATTTTCTACCTTTATTACACACTTTAATCTGTACATATTTTTACCATAAATGAGACATTCAGGTGTTATTATCATACGTTTTGTCACTAAACTTTGTGTACAAGTTAAAATCTATTTATCTCAAACCTGAAAATAAGAACTGATCATGATGAACATGGAACTTGCATTTCAAATTTTAATTTTGTGTAGGGAATGTCAATTTGTTCTTTCAGTTAATATTAGGTATGATAATACAATTTTGTTGAGGAATTATAAATTAATAATTACTGTACAGAAACATTGTGAATTGTGAGATATTGGCCATATGTTCTGATATGTGAATTAAAGAATTACAATACAACGTGTGTGTTCAACAGCAGTTTTTGGACTGACAAGTTTGTGCTTGTGACATTCATTTCTGCGCATTAAATGTTCCCTGTCAGGATTCCAGGTTCTGTTCGGTGACTTGGTTGATTGCATGTCATATCACCCAGATGGTGTGGGATGTGAGGTCATAATATCAATCACTGGTCTGTCTGGCATGGAAGCATGTCATGGTAATAAGCTGTCACACCAATGGACATGGACCTTCACTCACTACCAGACCCCACTGACATAGCTAGATGTAGTCTCTTCCCCCACTACCAGACCCCACTGACATAGCTAGATGTAGTCTCTTCCCCCGTGGACATGGGCCTTCACTCACTACCAGACCCCACTGACACAGCTAGATGTAGTCTCTTCCCCTGGGGACATGGGCCTTCACTCACTACCAGACCCCACTGACATAGCTAGATGTAGTCTCTTCCCCCGTGGACATGGGCCTTCACTCACTACCAGACCCCACTGACACAGCTAGATGTAGTCTCTTCCCCTGGGGACATGGGCCTTCACTCACTACCAGACCCCACTGACATAGCTAGATGTAGTCTCTTCCCCCGTGGACATGGACCTTCACTCACTACCAGACCCCACTGACATAGCTAGATGTAGTCTCTTCCCCCGTGGACATGGACCTTCACTCACTACCAGACCCCACTGACATAGCTAGATGTAGTCTCTTCCCCCGTGGACATGGACCTTCACTCACTACCAGACCCCACTGACATAGCTAGATGTAGTCTCTTCCCCCGTGGACATGGACCTTCACTCACTACCAGACCCCACTGACATAGCTAGATGTAGTCTCTTCCCCCGTGGACATGGACCTTCACTCACTACCAGACCCCACTGACACAGCTAGATGTAGTCTCTTCCCCCACTACCAGACCCCACTGACATAGCTAGGTGTAGTCTCTTCTCCTGTGGATATCGGCCTTCACTCACTACCAGACCCCACTGACATAGCTAGGTGTAGTCTCTTCCCCTGTGGATATCGGCCTTCACTCACTACCAGACCCCACTGACATAGCTAGGTGTAGTCTCTTCTCCTGTGGATATCGGCCTTCACTCACTACCAGACCCCTATAAAACAGCTAGATGTAGTCTCTTCCCCTGGGGACATGGGCCTTCACTCACTACCAGACCCCTATAAAACAGCTAGATGTAGTCTCTTCCCCTGGGGACATGGGCCTTCACTCACTACCAGACCCCTATAAAACAGCTAGATGTAGTCTCTTCCCCTGGGGACATGGGCCTTCACTCACTACCAGACCCCACTGACATAGCTAGGTGTAGTCTCTTCCCCTGGGGACATGGGCCTTCACTCACTACCAGACCCCACTGACATAGCTAGGTGTAGTCTCTTCCCCTGGGGACATGGGCCTTCACTCACTACCAGACCCCACTGACATAGCTAGGTGTAGTCTCTTCCCCTGGGGACATGGGCCTTCACTCACTACCAGACCCCACTAAAACAGCTAGATGTAGTCTCTTCCCCTGTGGACATGGGCCTTCACTCACTACCAAACCCCACTGACACAGCTAGATGTAGTCTCTTCCCCTGTGGATATGGGCCTTCACTCACTACCAGACCCCACTGACACAGCTAGGTGTAGTCTCTTCCCCTCCCCATCAGTCACGAGTTGATACACTGCCGCTGTGAAACTTGACACCAAAATCCAGCTGGAGTATTCAAAAGTGGGAGGTATGCTGCAACAGAGTAGAATGACACACTTTGTGCCAAGTCATCCCATCCATTGTATGTGATACAGGTTTAATGCTTGTCAGGCCTGTGTCTGAAAGCAAACTCACAAGGACCATTTGAGACGGTCATTCACAATCACTGAAATTAAAACACTTCACCCAGACATTTACAGCTGAAACCACCAAGCTCTTTGAGAAGTGTCATGTACAAGAGAACAACACTGTCACATTCGATGTTTTTATTTACAAGGCACATTGTGTCAGCAACACGAAATAATTCTCCAGCTCAACAAGAAGCTGTAACGATTACAATAATAAAACTCTTCACAAAATACATATAGATAGACATAAGGAGGTACTGTTTCCACGCCTCTGTTTGAGCACTCATTTCAATCCCCGAGTCAACGCATGACAGAAATTCACATGTAATTTATAACAATCTCTTTCAGTCAATACCATGCTGTGATATGTCATAATATACCGGTAGTGATAAGCTGTGAGAAAAACAGAACGAGTGGTCAAAAGGAAAACCTATATGGAATGTGAGGTGAGGTATACTGCTTGGAGAGGAGCATCTTCCAGCCTGAACACATCCTGCACACTGGTGATGCGGTACAGGAGGAACGATGGTCCTAAATACAATCTCTTCATCATTCAAACTGACAGATGACAACAGCACTTGATGTGGCTGCTAGACTGATGTGATAAATGCTTTTATGAAATTACTTGAGTGCTTGAAAAACGATTAAAGGTTTCATACTTCAGAACATTTACTGATGTAAAACTTCCGGTGTACAAAGCTGAACCTTCTCCCGAGTTCTTCGCTTGGGAAGGTTTGGCCTAGGCCAGTTCTTCCCCTAGTGAGAAATATCCTATGCCAGTTCTTCCCCGCCCCTGGCCAGATCTTCCCCCTCGGGAGTGAAGAGTTCTGGGAAGCAAGCATATCTTTCTTTTTATCCCCCCCAGCATACAATGTCATCATCTGGTCGGTCTGTCCATATTTAGTTTCCAGATCAAAACTGTGAAGGATTTTCCATCAACACTTGGTACATATATATAACCAGGGGCTGAAGTGGTTCCTTTTGCTATTTAGGGATGTTTAGAATTTTTATTTTATTCCTGTTTCCATGGCAACAAGTTTAACTTAGACTCTGTTCCTAGTGGTGTGTTTGTCTGGACCATATCTCTAAAAAGTAAAACTAATAGGTATTCTTTCATGAAACTTTGCACACACAAAGACCAGGTTGTCAACTGGTGCCTTTTGCTATTTAGGGATTTTTAAATTTTTTATATTTCATTTCACGGCAACAAGTTTGACATTGACATAGAAATACAAAGTTCCGAATATCAATTCAGTGGTCAGTGGTATTGTTTTAAATGTTCAATAACTACTCTTGTATACAGACAGTTCAGATATAAATTTTTCATCACGCTGGACAGTCAGATGATCTCTCCGACCTGAAGTCATATGGGGGAAGGTCCAACCAAGATGGGGAAGGTCCAACCAAGATGGGGAAGAACCAGCCAAAACAGAAGAGAAGATTTGGCCCAGGCGGGATCTTCCCGACCTGAAGTCATATGGGGGAAGGTCTGGCTAAGATGGGGAGGAACTGTCCTAGGCCAAATGTTCCCTGGTGAAGAACTGGCCTGGGGGTTGTTTCAGCCCGGTATAGATGTGGACACTTCAACAAGAGTACATCTTAATGATGGTACTCATATCTCATGTCAAGCTTTTTTAATTGGACATTTGATACATCCAAAAATATCATATACTAATATCACATACTAACCATATCACAATATCTCCAATATGTATTTAAGATATGGATTTCAATTATCTAAAATTCCATCGATTATATTTCAATATACTATCTTCAACATGAAGATTATGTAAAATACTTGGCACATATTTATTTCAATTAAAAAAAAAAGAACAACTATTTGTTGTTCACAACCTATATGTCTTAAACACATAGGACATGAAAGCAAGCATAAACATGAACCACTTAGTGTTGTTAAACACTGTAAACACTGCCAGCATTAGCCCAGGTGTGACTAATACCTTCTGGAAGTGTAGTCTTCACAGCTGTTTGGACAAGTAGTTGATTTTGTAATTTTGCAATTCACATTTAGTAATGTGTAATTTTTGTGAATAAATATGACTGTTCTGGAGTGTCCAGGAAGAAGAGTAATGTTCCTGGACACTGTGGTTGATTCATAAAAACAGAACAGCTTCACTGATAGCGAAAAAAGTTAGTGTTCTGTTGGTTTCTGGCATTCATTGGTGCAGGTCGTAAATGGATATCTCTCTCAAAGAATAGAGTAGAAATAGTTGAGAGAGTTATCCACTGACACTGTAAACATACCATAACTAAACAGCAACTTCACTTTAAGTTAAGTTGATTATAAGGGGATTTCATGTATAGTTGATTGTAAGGTAAGTTCATGTGTAGTTAAATGAGTTTAGTTTCCACTGTGAACCAATCACCAAACTAGTAAGATGTTTGCATTACATCAAAAACAGCAGCGGTCCGATCCCAACCTTTTCCTGAATGCCCCCAAACTTTCCCATCAGAAACATATCATGAACCATGTTAACTTCATCCTTTCCATCAATAAGATACTTGAGGGCTTTCTTTTGCGTGTCAATCAGTTTTTCTTTTGTAATGAGCGGGATTGGTCGCTAGGTTACTGATACTGCCAACCCAACATTGAGGCTGGTTAGTAACTCGCATTCTGATTGGTACGTTAGACTTACCGGTAGTAGTGTAAATAGCCAATCAAATTGGCTACAGAAAACCAAAGGCGTGTAATTTGAAACTGCAATAACCACTGGGATGGATCCAGGGGTTAGTGTAGGTTCACCAAAATGTGAGCCCTGGAGATATAGAGGATGGTTATAAGTACTTCCGGTTTAATGACCTTCACCTTCGATCTCAGCCATGAACTGCCAAGAGATCATTTATATTGATGCAGTTCAACACATTCCAATCATAAATAAGAGGACATTGCTTGTTGCAAGCTCAGCTGGTGTTACAAATGTGAGGTCCCCATACCATACTGACAATACTTCCTGAATGAAACTATTTAAAGTCATTTGAAACAATCATGATAGGTATTGAATCAGAGTTCATCTTAACTGAATGCAAAAACCTTTGATTTTTTTTTTTTTAATCAGAATTTTTCTGAAATTTGAACCATTCGAAAACTTGCCATCTAGTCACCTTGACTTCATGGAGGTGACCCCAACATTGTATGCGATGAGATGATGTATACTAAATTTCACCCTATTCCATTAATAAAAATTTGAGTTTTCGTGTAAACATGCTTTTTGTGACTAGTTCATACTGAGTGACCTTGACCTTCAATGTCATCCAATCACATGCAAGAACATTACTTGTGGTAAACACAGGTGGTACGTGTTACAAACCGAAGTCTTCATTATATTAATTGCAATAATTTTTGAATGAAACTATTTAAGACTCATTTGAATATCCTTTAGAGAAAACTTAATATCTAACACAAGCACGACATGACAGGTAAGTGAGTGAAATTTTCTTATGAACTTATCCAAATTGTTCCATAATTGAACTACAGTGACCTTGACCTTACATGGCCAGAACAGTTGATGCAATGACCTGACCTCCGGACCATGTGTACCAAGTCTCATTCAAATACAGTCATATGTATACCCAAAATGTTGTGAACAGAATGTCATCCAAACATATGTAAGAAAACTTCCCATGGGGGTATATAAAGCAGTCTGTGTTTGGGGAAAAAGGTTGTGGTGGGGTGAGGGCATCAGGACAGCTCAAATTCCTGAATACACATGACGCTTAGTCATGCTATACAACATTAAATGTGAGTCCATTCCTTACAGAGTAGAGGCCTATACAATTTTAACTTTCGAAACAATCTCTCAAACAATACTAGTTGTTAATTGTGAAGATCCTGTTTGTGTTTTTAGTCTGTTAATTTTGGACATGGCAAAGATGTATGGCAGTCTGTAGGATTGCTTTATGGATCAGGATGGTGGCGGTGTGTGCGTGCCGACGCTAATTGTGCCCCACTATCCACTATACCACAACACTGAACGTGTGCTACTACTCATTCAAATAGACTAGTGTGGTCATCATACATCGATAGAGACAAGAAACAACAGCACTTCCCACCTAGCTTCTTCCAGCAGAGGTGTACAACTTTCAAATGCTTACCAAAAAACAAACAAGTTATCATTTTACAAGGCACATTGAAAAGTCACCATTGGCATTGCAGCACATCTGTGTCCCTGACACACAGGATTCATGTAACCAATATCTGTGTGCAGCTCACATACCCACCAGTCCAGGTTGGAGATATCTGCTGAATCTTCTTGAAATTAACAAAAGTGATCAATTTGAACCTGTACATCAACTTGGGATAAATAATCTCTTGTCTAGCACAAGACAGGACCATCATGTGACCAGTGACAACACATCTTCTCGAGGCAAGAGAGTTAACTGACTATAAAAGTTGGGTTTCATTTTGGCTGGACTAACGAGTCTATGCATAGTCCAATCAAATTCATGCAACGAAATCGAAATCCGGTTCGTAAACTGTCGTGTAGATTTCAGTCGATTACATGATTTGCAAAGCATGTGCACCGCTAACTCATCAACAGATATTTTCCAAATCTTTCCTTGTTTTTAATTAAGGTTGCTCACATGATTTGATGCATTTTGCGATGTAAGACCCGTTTTATCACAATATAGATCATGATTATCGATCAGATCGTCCTGACTGGGTGCCACCATTTTGTTTGAAGCAAATGCAAGTGATACGAGAGGTGGAATCTGATTGGTTCATGGGAGAGGCTTAGAAGGGACATAATGGGTAATAGACACTGGTGGCGCTACGATCAAGCCCATGAATTCCAGCCTAGTTCGGCAAGGGTGGAAACTGGACTTTTAAAGTCAGTTAACTCGCTTGCCTTGGGAAGATGGTGACAACCCTTCTATCAAACAGACGCATGGTACAGGAGGAGCCTCTGGTGGCCACACACAACACTGCTGATATGATGAAAGCACAAAAAATGTCAATGACAAACATGACAAAAGTAGAAGAGCTAGCATGCTTCTATTCTATTACAGGTCCCATTTCTACAATTGTGGACATGTTCAGAAAATGACAGTCACCACTATGTAGATACTACACTGTTTAGAAAACGGGGCAAAACAGGAGTGATTACCATTGAATGACTAAAGGCCACAAGCTTGTTTTTGCTGGGATTGCAAATTTGGGAAAGTTGAAATAATTTTACTTTCTCAATCAACAGAAATTCACTTTTCTCATCAATCTTATTGAAGCACATGTTACAAGCAAAGATGATTAACTTCAAAAATAATTTACTGGAAATATTAATTACTCTGGTCTATTAATGACCCCTTGTCCCAACAAAAATACAGCCATAACTGGTAACCAAGCAACACAACACATGTTTCGTAAATAACCATATCCTTTTGGAACAGAATAGAATCGATCTCTGAACAGTTTCAAATTGAAAGATCTTACTGAGACAGATACAAACTCCAGCAAATAGATCTCAGAAAATGAAAACCTATTTCATTATTAAATCTAGTTTTTAAATATTATTTTGGCAAAACTATTGTGAGGAAATAGCAAGATAGAACACAATGTACAAGTGTCCAGGCTTCTCTATGCCATGGTTCCCACAAGACACTACACGCTCACAGGGCAGACTGACAATATGGCAAGACCAATGGAAGAGAGCCCAGATATGATACTGGCCATAGTGAATGTACATATAAAACAGTAAAACACAAGTCTAGTAGAACAGATACAACATACATTAATTCCCTCTTTGAAAGCCTTTCTTTGACAAACTGAAACAGTTAAATGTAATGAGTTTGAATCAAAATTAACATAGTTACTGTCTATCAATGTTTGCCTAACCATTGTCCAAAGACAGCCATTTTGGTGTTTCCACCACAAGATACAACCTGAGAGCATGTAAATCTGGTGTTTCTCATCTCCCACAGCTCCTGCACTACAGTCCAGCACAAAAACGCAACAGGTTTTACTATCTAGACATTTGCCTGGTTCAACATGTATTTTCTGCCTTGGTCCCTGTTCCACAAACTATCTTAGCAATCAAAGCTATCTACGATCGTTATAGCCTATGTTAACATATGGGAGCTACATATCATCATAGCCCTAACATGGTTTTTGTGGAACAGCGTCCAGGATCATTAATTAACAAATTTACCAGATCATAAATACATACAATGCAAGTATAATTGAAGAACTATATTTTCCTTTTAAGCTTTCCAAGTTTTCTCACTACTGATAGAGCAACCATTGACCTTCCATAGTAGGACAAGAAAACAAATTGTCAACGATTCTTACACATACATGTATCTTGAATAGAAATCTCATCAGATGTATTCTAAACAAAATTGATTTTTTTCACCCAACCCTTGATTTTTCTAAAGTTGAGCATGGTGATTAGACAGAAAATAATATGGATGGACTTACACAGAATAGCCAGCAAGGAATAGAAAAAATTTGCAAACACTGTCTGACCATACAAGAGAGAAATGTCAACCATACGGTAACACAATATCACAACACCATAAACAACAAGGTATATCCAGGCATAAATTCCAAGGACCAAATCTGAAACTATAACTGAGGCTAAAGACCTGCCATCAAAGTATGTAGTCAACATATCCAGTGATGATAATTGTTTATCATTTTGACAACAGACAGCCAACAAAACTTTCACAACACCAAAAAGTGCCTTTTGGTTGGTTCTTTAAAAAAACATTAGATTTGTAATACATATCACAGGGATATTCATGCAGTACAAATTCAATAGTAAGCATTAGTTTGTCCAAACTATATTCCACACAGGAAGAATCTCCGGATCATCTAACGACAACTATTGTCTGCTAGCCCAATAGTCACACCTATAGATACACTTCATCTGGCAAAGGAGACAAGACTGCAGTGTACTGCTAAACTCATGCCTGTTAATAAGGCGATGCTTCTGTGTTGTCATGGTAATCAGTGGTACATGGATCTACATCTAGACCTGGCTATTATCATCCATATAGATGTTTGAATCAGCACTATTCAGGCAGTCTGATTGGCCCAAAGACAGATGACATACAATGTCTTCATCAGTGAGAATGAGTTACTCTATAAACAGAACTGCTGAGGCAAGATGACATGGTACATCCCACCTGTTTGTACGACACTACTGCTTCGTAACACAGCAATGGGTTACAGGAAAACCTTGCACAGTCATTCATCCCCTTTAGACAACGTAACCCACAAACTGGCACTATGTCATTGGCTGGTCAATCTACTGATCAGCTTATATACAAACAGCAGCTAACACTGGTAGAGTCGAGCACTTGTACCAGCTGATACAGGAATAAGAATCACATACTCCTGATGCTCATCACCAGCAAATCTTTTCTGTGGTTGTACTCCGGGGTGTTGGATAACTTAACCTGACATGTTTGTGACTTGTCAAGCCACATGTCCGACATGTCTAAAGGTGCCCCCTTTCACGGTGGGCTACTACAAGACCCTGATCTTGTTGCAGGGGGCATACAATCCTTCCAAGTACATTGGACATAACATCCTGCCAAGTCTGGCCATTGTTTTTGAGGAACTCTATCAAATGCTGACATTACAACACAAATGCTTCGACCATGCATGTCCTACAAATCACGAGTACAAAGCTAAATATCTCTCAATATCAAAGACCAAAATGGCATATTTCTCCTTTTGCATTTCATTTGAAAAACATTCATGAAATATAATGAAGGTCATCAAGAAATCACATAATGCCGTGTATGAATAACATGATAGCACAAAAGAGCTAATATCTGAACACAATAAAATTGTGGTAATGAACATTTTGTTCCCAATAATTATGCAAGAACAGGGGAGAATTATACAATTATGAGATCACAAAATAATGAAAAGACATAACTGATATCGGACGGACCCATCTTTTGTTTCACATCATGTTGACAGCAAGGACACAAACACAACCCACTGGTCCAAGGTGCTGCAGTTAGCTGTGCACAGTTGCCTCCCTTAGCTCTCTGGATCAGCTGATCATGTGTTCAAATCCAAGATTCACATTGATTTGATCCTTCTCTGTCAGCACCATATCAGTGCCTGTTTGTTTCACCAAATGAGACTATATATGCCAGCTTTGTCAAGTAAGGACTACCCTAATATCAGACTGATATGCTGCACAATGTAACTGAAATACTGTTCAAAGTGGTGTAAAACCAACTTACCCTCTGATAAGATCTCCAACAGTAATCAAGATAAAACTATTGGGAAAGAAGCATATACACTATATGAAAGGAGAAAACAATAATCACATGTCCTGAACTATACAGCTATACTAGAAATGTGTGGATCAAACCTATGCCACCAGTGTGACAACTAGGAAGATGTTATTAGGCCTACAGATAGTGGGCAGCAGGGAGTGCCACCTGTGTTCACATGCATATGAGACAGTTATAAGGCTGAACAATGGTAAAACATTTTAGGCACAACTTTAGCTTCTGTACAGTAACAACAACAGTGCCAACACAGGCAGCCAGAGTCCATATTATATTTGACAGGGAGTTGTTTTAGTGACAAAGATTGACATTTCAAACCTGTTTGAAACATACTAAAAATGACATTTTCCATCCAGATATACTAGAAGAGAGCGCTGGGAATGATCATCGATACCAACAAGTCAACACTAATGTAAACATACTGCGAACTAAAACCACTGTCAGTATCTACGGGCAACAGCACTTGAACAACAGTAATCAACATTGTGTTCACTTGGGCATATTAGACAAGAAAACACTTACCATACTTGCTGTAAACAGCACCCTTGGCATTTAGAAAATTGAAAGAGGGGGACGCTTATTCATAACATAGATAAGTCGTTATCAAAGATTAAGCAGTAGAAAACAGGCATAGTTCAGACTGTTATGTATTATGTATATTTCTAGTATAGTGCCAAGCACTGATTACTTCAAGACAGGTCTAGAAGTAAGTCAGGAGTGCTTAAATATGGCGAAAACAGAACATCAAACAGGTGAATGAACAAAACAGACAAATGAATTTGGCAAGAGACAAGTGATACACTCAAGGCCATAAGTGTAAATTATGTTCAGCTGCACACAGTTGTCACACCAGCTTATGTTCAGCTGAGCATGGCTGTGTCATACCAGCTTAGGTTCAGCTGCACACAGCAATGTCACACAACCTAGTGTTTTGCTGCACACAGCAGTGTCACATTACCTAGTGTTCAGCTGCACACTGCAGTGTCACATTACCTAGTGTTCAGCTGCACACAGCAGTGTCTGACTATCTTATGTTCAGCTGCACACAGCAGTGTCTGACTATCTTATGTTCAGCTGCACACAGCAGTGTCACACAACTTTATGTTCAGCTGCACACTGCAGTGTCACACTACCTTATGTTCTGCTGCACACAGCAGTGTCACATTATCTTATATTCAGCTGCAAACTGCAGTGTCACACTACCTTATGGTCAGCTGCACACTGCAGTGTCACACTACCTAATGTTCAGCTGCACACTGCAGTGTCACTACCTAGTGTTCTGCTGCAAACTGCAGTGTCACTACCTAGTGTTCTGCTGCACACTGCAGTGTCACACTACCTAGTGTTCAGCTGCAAACTGCAGTGTCACACTACCTTATGTTCAGCTGCACACTGCAGTGTCACACAACCTAGTGTTTTGCTGCACACTGCAGTGTCACACTACCTAATGTCCAGCTGCAAACTGCAGTGTCACACTACCTTATGTTCAGCTGCACACTGCAGTGTCACACTACCTTTTGTTCAGCTGCACACTGCAGTGTCACACTACCTTATGTTCAGCTGCACACTGCAGTGTCACACAACCTAGTGTTTTGCTGCACACTGCAGTGTCACTACCTTATGTTCAACTGCAAACTGCAGTGTCACACTACCTAGAGTTCTGCTGCACACAGCAGTGTCACACTACCTAATATTCAGCTGCACACTGCAGTGTCACACTACCTTATGTTCAGCTGCACACTGCAGTGTCACACTACCTTATGGTCAGCTGCACACTGCAGTGTCACACTACCTTATGGTCAGCTGCACACAGCAGTGTCAAACTATCTTATGTTCAGCTGCACATAGCAGTGTCACATTATCTTATATTCAGCTGCAAACTGCAGTGTCACACTACCTTATGGTCAGCTGCACACTGCAGTGTCACACTACCTAATGTTCAGCTGCACACTGCAGTGTCACATTACCTAGTGTTCTGCTGCACACTGCAGTGTCACACTACCTTTTGTTCAGCTGCACACTGCAGTGTCACACTACCTAATGTTCAGCTGCACACTGCAGTGTCACATTACCTAGTGTTCTGCTGCACACTGCAGTGTCACACTACCTAGTGTTCAGCTGCAAACTGCAGTGTCACACTACCTTTTGTTCAGCTGCACACTGCAGTGTCACACTACCTAATGTTCAGCTGCACACTGCAGTGTCACATTACCTAGTGTTCTGCTGCACACTGCAGTGTCACACTACCTAGTGTTCAGCTGCAAACTGCAGTGTCACACTACCTTATGTTCAGCTGCACACAGCAGTGTCACACTACCTTTTGTTCAGCTGCACACTGCATTGTCACACTACCTTATGTTCTGCTGCACACAGCAGTGTCACACTACCTAGTGTTCAGCTGCACATAGCAGTGTCACATTATCTTATATTCAGCTGCAAACTGCAGTGTCACACTACCTTATGGTCAGCTGCACACTGCAGTGTCACACTACCAAATGTTCAGCTGCACACTGCAGTGTCACTACCTAGTGTTCTGCTGCACACTGCAGTGTCACACTACCTAGTGTTCAGCTGCAAACTGCAGTGTCACACTACCTTATGTTCAGCTGCACACTGCAGTGTCACACTACCTTTTGTTCAGCTGCACACTGCATTGTCACACTACCTTATGTTCAGCTGCACACTGCAGTGTCACACAACCTAGTGTTTTGCTGCACACATCAGCGTCACACTACCTAATGTTCAGCTGCAAACTGCAGTGTCACACTACCTTATGTTCAGCTGCACACTGCAGTGTCACACTACCTTTTGTTCAGCTGCACACTGCATTGTCACACTACCTTATGTTCAGCTGCACACTGCAGTGTCACACAACCTAGTGTTTTGCTGCACACATCAGTGTCACTCTACCTTATGTTCAACTGCAAACTGCAGTGTCACACTACCTAGTGTTCTGCTGCACACAGCAGTGTCACACTACCTTATGGTCAGCTGCACACTGCAGTGTCACACTATCAGTGTTCAGCTGCAGTGTCACTCTACCTTATGTTCAGCCGTCTTCATGACATACCATGGCAGATATTGGGCAAGAAATTGAACGAAATAGTACATCAACTGACATTGGATATTAGTCTCTGGAGTGAGACATCATTTCTCACAAGCCATCATCAAAACAAGCCATCATCCTCCACACACTAATGAAGACCCAGCAAATATTATATTTTCTGAATTCTAAAAGCAAACTAATATCTGGGACATTCTGTTCTGTTTATATTACATACAACCTATGAATATCAAGCTGACACTACCACAGAAATCACAATCTTCTTACTTGTTTACTTTGAACAGTATGATGTCTCAGAGTCATCTACTCTTACAAAAAAATCTGCAAATACACTTACCTACAAGAAGTAAGCAATCGTGACCTCACTAAAATCCTTTCTTGCAGTGATACAGCACCATCAGAACATACATCATTTGTTCATGTTTCTAAACTAAGAGATTGATGATTACAATAACGCTAGTATTTGTAACTCATATGCAAACCTGTTACAAGTATGTAACAATACTGACATGAATTTGTCATGCAAAGTAGGTCACAGTGACATAATTATGGTTGTAGTACCAATGGGTAACTAAAACATAATGATATGAATATTCAGCATGGCTTTTAGAAATATCAGATACTAGACAGTCTCTGAACTAGCTAGCATAAATGACGTAAAGAATCACTTTCAGTGACCTTGACCTTATACAAAAGTCAAATCAAATCTACTTAGTTTGGGACTCCGCCTGACATGTCTGTGGGTCAGGTTTCATTTGATCATGCTTACAACATGTTGAGGTGGAATGACAGTGGAAATGACCCAGACCAAAATAAGAGCAACTGTAACATTTACAGCAACATATTCATTGGGCAATATTATGCAGAATTATATCACAATCCTGTAATGAATGAAAATTTCATGATGTCAAAAAAATGGCAGCGACAGGAGGCCATTACAAACAGAAAACTATAGCAGCTCGTCTCCTTTAGTCTGCTCAGATAAATATGACTATCATTTCGATCATAAATATCCATTTCGTTTGTTGACATTCACAAACTCTTGCTGTATATGTGTGAGACTAGCATTTGAGCTTGGCACCTCTGGAGGAATGAACTGAAGAGGCCGAGAATGTCCAAGATGATCCAACTCCAGAGTATATGTGCTGCCTGCATCAACGCCCTTACACTGGTCATTACAGCACTGCCCAAAGTCAGATGGAGCAGGATGGACATGACAACACTTCTGATCCCCACAATGCCTGTGACCTGAGAGGTCGTTAGAACACCTGTTTTGACACTGCATGCCCTCACAGAAGGTTCCACTGTGGAATGGTACTATGGATCTGGAATCATATCCACTTGAGGTTGTATTTTCATTGCAACCCATCAGGGGAGATAACTGTGTTTGATCACCAAAATTCTGATGGTGTGGATTGGTGAACATGTTACCATGGCAATGACATTGATTGGAACATGGCACCATGCTTCCATGGCAACTGTCTGTACTACCAAAGTCTTGTGATGGCAAGTTCTTGCTAAGTGATGACGAGATCATTGGCTCTGCTTCGTGGAATTCCCCCGTGTACTCTCTACCATACATCTGATGAATGTACATGCAGAGATCATGAGTTTCTTCCTCACTTGGCATACTCAAGGTTTGCATTTCTCCACAGGTCAGTTTGTAGACAAGTGTATCAAAGTGGTTCAGGTACAGGCTCCCACTGGGCTCTTCTTCAATCAGACCGATGATGTTCTGGATGCCATATCTCTCAGGATCATCAAAAGTAACATGTACCGAGACAATGGACTGACCAGCCAGGTTGAGCATGTTGAGTCTGTGTAGGGCGTAGTGAGCAACATCCCCAAATGTGCTGTGGCCCTCCAGTGTATCTCCCTCTCTTCCCATCTCCATCAGATTCTTGGAATAGTAGATCAACACAGTACTTGTCTTCAGTCTGTCATTGATCCAGGCAAACTTGTCCTGGAGAAGCTCCTCCCTCTGGTCATCATAGGACTGGATGTTGAGACCATACTTCCGGTGGAGGATGCGGATGTGCTCTGTGACTGCCTGTGTGTATGCTGGACTCTCGGGGTAGTAGATTGGGAAGACACAATGACAACCTGCAACACAACCATGTTCTAAACAACTGCTGGAGCAACGTGGCATCTCAAACTCTCCCATCATCTCAGTTCATAGCAATCTTCATTAACAGTATATATATTTCAAAGTATGAATTGATCCCAGAATAATTTTCCTTTAGATATCTATTTATTTTTACAATGCTACAAATAAGGTGAATTGATATGAAGAATGGAAATACGGAGATGTCAACATATGGAGGAAGTCACACATGGAGAGAGGCACACAGGGACGGCAACACATAGACACACATGGAGAGAGGCACACAGGGACGGCAACACATAGACACACATGGAGAGAGACACACGAAGATGGCAACACATAGACACACATGTAGGGAGGATCACAGAGCGGGAAACACCCAGACACACATCGAGAGAGGCACACAGAGATGGCAACACATAGTCAAACATGGAGAGAGACACACAGAGATGGCAACACATAGTCAAACATGGAGAGAGACACACAGAGATGGCAACACATAGTCAAACATGGAGAGAGGTACATGGAGAGAGGCACACAGAGATGGCAACACATAGACACACATGGAGAGAGACACAGAGATGGCAACACAGAGACAAACATGGAGAGAGGCACACAGAGATGGCAACACAGAGACAAACATGGAGAGAGGCACACGGAGATGGCAACACAGAGACATACATGGAGAGAGGCACACAGAGATGGCAACACATGGTCACAGACACACATGGAGACAGACACACATGGACACAGATATGCATGGAGACAGACACACATGGACATGGACACAGACACACATGGAGACAGACACACATGGACACAGACACATGGAGAGATGCACACAGAGACCTCAACACATACACATATGGAGAGACACACATGAAGATAGACACACATGCAGACAGACATGCATGGACACAGACACACATGGACACAGACACACATGGACACAGACACACATGGACACAGATGCATGGACACAGACACTCAAGGACACACATGGAGATTGACACACATGGAGATAGACACACATGGACACAGATATGCATGGAGACAGACACACATGGACACAGATATGCATGGAGACAGACACACATGGACACAGATATGCATGGAGACAGACACACATGAACATAGACACACATGGACACAGACACTCAAGGACACAGATCCACATGGACACACATGGAGATTGACACACATGGAGATTGACACACATGGACACAGATATGCATGGAGACAGACACACATGGAGACAGACACACATGGACACAAATATGCATGGAGACAGACACACATGGACACAGATATGCATGGGGACAGACACACATGGACACAGATATGCATGGAGACAGACACACATGGACATACACACATGGACACAGATATGCATGGAGACAGACACACATGGACACAGACACTCAAGGACACAGATCCACATGGACACATGGAGATTGACACACATGGAGACAGACACACATGGACACAAATATGCATGGAGACAGACACACATGGACACAGATATGCATGGAGACAGACACACATATACATAGACACACATATGCATGGACACAGACACAGATGGAGACTGACATTCATTGACAAAGATATGCATGGAGAAAGACAGGGACACACACACATGGACACAGATATGCATGGAGAAAGACACAGGGACACAGACACACAGGGACACAAACACACATGGACACAAACACACATGGACACAAACACATGGACACAGACACACATGGAGTCAGATATGCATGGAGACAGACACACATGGACAGATATGCATGGAGAAAGACACACATGGACACTGATATGCATGGAGACAGACACACATGGAGATGAAACACATGGACACAGATATGCATGGAGACAGACACACATGGACATGGACACACATGGACACAGATATGCATGGACACAGACACACATGGACACAGATATGCATGGAGAAAGACACACATGGACACTGACACACATGGAGATAGACACACATGGACACAGACACAAATGGACACAGATATGCATGGAGACAGACACATTGACATAGACACACATGGACATAGACACACATGGACACAGATATGCATGGAGACAGACACATGGACATACACACATGGACATAGACACACATGGACACAGATATGCACAGAGACAGACACATATGGACACAGACACACATGGACACAGATATGCATGGAGACAGACACACATGGAGATAGACATACATGGACACAGACACACATGGACACAGATATGCATGGAGACAGACACACATGGACATGGACACACATGGACACAGATATGCATGGACACAGACACATGGACATAGACACACATGGACACAGATATGCACAGAGACAGACACATATGGACACAGACACACATTGAGATAGACACACATGGACACAGATATGCATGGATATAGATACACATGAACAAAGATATGCATGGATATAGATACACATGAACAAAGATATGCATGGAGATAGACACACATGGAGATGGACACACATGGACACAGACATACATGGACACAGAGATGCATGGAGACATAGCACTGCCTACCCTCATTGTTGACCGGTTCTGGCTGGGAAGTGTTGCGGGGCCAGCAGAACAGACACTTCTCCAGCAGAGGCACAACCACTGAAATACACCAAACCAATAAACACTTGACTGAAAACATTCAGGGCAAGTTTACATGGTTTTGAGGGGGGCAACATTCAAATGATTCAAGTTTACAAGGTTTACTATGAGTGTGGTCAACTCACCTCCTCTACGGAGCCAGAAGAAGACAAGAGATGCCATAGTCAGACACAGGACAAGGGTACATATGACAATGACTGGAATGATGCCAGGTGCCGGTGGTGGTTCTGCAGTCCATGATGGTGCCGGTGGCAGTGATGACACAGGCAGTGCTGCAAATATACTGTCTAGATTTTACAACTGCAAAGATTGATGTATGACTTTGAACCAAAATAAATTCAACAATTACAGCAGGAGGTGCTAAGGTTCACCAGTTTTGTGGATACTTAGAAAAGTTTTAAAGCAAAGTTATGAACAAGGCAGCTAGTTCATCAAAAACATGCATGACACATAACTCCTACATTAATTGCCAAATTCATAATGACTAAAGTGATCGACTGAAGTGATAGTTTCAATATGGTTGCTGACACCTAGTATCAGCTTCACACTAGGCACTGACCATCTAGCATGGTCCACCTCATGGTGCTAGGAGGGGGATCCAATTTCATTCTAAGAGCACTAAAAGCAACAACAACACATGGTAATGGTATCCCTCATTGAATGGGTTGGGGAGTGATGTTGGAGAGGCTATTCACTTACTAATGTATTAGAATCAGATATTTTGGAACAGGAGGGACTGGTTAGTGGTGAGGGATGATAGGAGACAGTGTAGTTAGTATTGATGGGGACTTGTTTAAAGGTTTATTTGTAAGGAAAGTGTTAGAGTCTACAGTTTGATCTTTGACACAAGGGCTATCTAGGGCACTCTAAGGCTGGAAGTGTTTCTAGACATGGGAAGTGTGATATGACTGGCCATACAAGCCCAACTCACAGCAGGGCATGGTGAAAGACTCTGGGGCCTTTATCCAATCATCCAGGCTCTTCTTAGCTTTACTAAATGGGCGGATCTGAAAACATAACACATAGACTACAGGCTCTTCGTAGCTTTACTAAATAGGCAGATCTGAAAACATAACACACAGACTACAGGCTCTTCTTAGCTTTATTAAATGGGCAGATCTGAAAACACAACAACACACAGACTACAGGCTCTTCTTAGCTTTAGTAAATGGGCAGATCTGAAAACATAACACACAGACTACAGGCTCTTCTTAGCTTTATTAAATGGGCAGATCTGAAAACATAACACACAGACTACAGGCTCTTCTTAGCTTTACTAAATGGGCAGATCTGAAAACACAACAACACACAGACTACAGGCTCTTCTTAGCTTTATTAAATGGGCAGATCTGAAAACATAACACACAGACTACAGGCTCTTCTTAGCTTTATTAAATGGGCAGATCTGAAAACACAACAACACACAGACTACAGGCTCTTCTTAGCTTTAGTAAATGGGCAGATCTGAAAACATAACACACAGACTACAAATAATAGATCTTTGCATCATGAAATGATTCAGAATCATCATGCAGTCCAACATGAAATTGGATACAAACAACCTCGTTCTTAATTACGCTATTAAATACTCATATCCCCAGCCAATATGACATGTCCGGTTGTGTGCAAGGCATTAGCCCTCCAGAAACAAGCACTAATGCCATTTTCAGTCTAAGTCAAAGACTTTGCCATGGAGACTTGAAAAATATTTTTTTCAAAAATCCCAAACTATCAAAAAGCACCATTTCACGTTCAGATATCTCATGTTTTTTTAGTTCTGCACCCATTTCTATATCCCCCTTCTTGTTCGTAACAGGGGATAATAAAGGGCAGCTTAATGCAAGAGGAAGGCCAAAAGTGATGGAGGTTGAAGACTCTCTGTGAAGTGTAGATCTCAGGTCTGACTGATAAATGAGTAAGGCTTACCCACACTCTGTAGGTCTTGTTGCAAGGAACATCAGTAAACCTTTTGTGATTCTGAAAGGAAGATTTTGTGTTTTTCTATAAAAAGAGATAAAAATGACTTATTTGGCACTGTACTCTATGCATAAACATGCTGTTAGCGCTTAGATATTATTACCCCGGTCAGTGGGTCAGTGTGCCTCAATCATCATTCTCAGCTCCCTGGGGAGTATACAAGCTAAGCTGCCTGTTAGGTGCTAGAAGGTTAACAACTACATTGCCATGTTGTTCCTACTGGGTACCTATTCACTGCTGGGTGAAAAGAGGCACATTTCGAACAAAGACACTTGCCCATGGAGACACCACATGTAAGGACTCTTCGCGGCTAACGGTGCTAAACTTAACCTGATTTGTGACCTAGCTGTGACCTGTGCATAGGACCACGTGTCACCAAAATACTACAAATAAAATAACAAGGTTATTCCTGTTGCCATTTCTATCCATGACCACACAGCCACACACAAGTCAGTAATCCTACATTGCTACCCATGAACACACAGCCAAACACCAGTCAGTAATCCTACATTGCTACCCATGAACACAGCCACACACAAGTCAGTAATCCTACATTGCTACCCATGAACACACAGCCACACACAAGTCAGTAATCCTACATTGCTACCCATGAACACACAGCCACACACAAGTCAGTAATCCTACATTGCTACCCATGAACACACAGCCACACACAAGTCAGTAATCCTACATTGCTACCCATGAACACACAGCCACACACAAGTCAGTAATCCTACATTGCTACCCATGAACACACAGCCACACAAATGTCAGTAATCCTACATTGCTACCCATGACCACACAGCCACACACAAGTCAGTAATCCTACATTGCTACCCATGAACACACAGCCACACACAAGTCAGTAATCCTACATTGCTACCCATGACCACACAGCCACACACAAGTCAGTAATCCTACATTGCTACCCATGAACACACAGCCACACACAAATTTGTAATCCTACATTGCTACTTATGGACACATCTAGCTGCAACATACACAGAGCTGCTGCATACTTTCCATCATGTCCACAGTGTGCAGATGTGTAGGACTCACCTGTGGCTTGTTGACACGAGTCTCCATGAAGCAGCGTTTAGTCCTCGTCTCCTCCACCAGACACACAGACACATAGTCTGCCCCTGGCAACAGTGGATCAAAGGTCACAGCAACATCGCTCAAGTCTGGGGTTGCTGAGATGTTTGGGTTCCAAGATGGCTTCCTCATGATGCCTGAAAAAATGAAATGAGTCGTTCAACTGGTGTGGCAAGAAGATAAGTGTTGACCAGGAAACTGAAGTGAAGGCTCTTTACACACCAGTGCCACTGAGTTGCATGTACACAGATGTTGCACAGATGCCTGGGTCAGGGGCCTTGAGGAGGAAGTGTAAAGTGCCACTTGTGCAAGCTGTTCACTATTCATGCTGATATGTTATTCATGAACTGAAGTATTTGAGAGGATGTGTGACAGTACTTTATCACAACGAAAAGCAACAGTTGTGAGAACAATAGTTCTTGCAGCTGGGCTGTATTAAAGAAATAAACGACAAGTGGGAGTTGTTTACTATACAATAAAACCCTGCAGTGAGAATAAGCCATGATGGGTGCAGGTGGGTGAATTTTGGTATTTCTAGCATATTCTCTCAATCTTCACATCAATTTTCTGTAAATTTTCTTCTAATACCGATTGTCATATCTCTCCCACTTTTGGATGCGATGATTCGACCTCTGCGTTTATCTGCACTTCCCTCTTAAAGATAATGTCATCCACTATATGATGTCATCAAGATGCGAGTGCATATTCAAATCTCCAGAAATGACATGACAGAACAATGTTTTATCGTGAAATAAACCACGCTTCGTTCTTCATTGTTCTTTGCGATTTATCTTGTAACTATGTTATATATCCTGATAAAGTACTGTCAGTTGGTGGTCTGTAAATAATCAAGTAAGGACCAGACATATTCAGTGACTTCAAAAGCATCAATCCACGCAGTTGAGTTACGATGACATGCATCAACCAAGTCAGCGAGCCTGACCACCCGATCATGTTATTTGCCTCTTATGACAAGCATAGTTGCTTTTTACGGCAAGCATGGGTCGCTGGAGACCTATTCTATCCCAGATCTTCTGTTGTTCTCTATCTACTACTGAGAGGATGCCCTAACTTTGTTTACATGTACAGTTCATGTGGTAAAGAGGTACTACGCTCCACGACCCTGTTTCCATTTCTGGTCTAGCTCCAGGATGTTACAAGTGACTCATGTCAAAGTGAGATATTGCTTCTGCTGAGCCCAGTAGTCATGAACTGCCCTAGTGTTACACACAATACAATTTGGTCACAAACAAGGCGGGTTGAAGATCTCTTCAATGAAACCTTCTAGGATTGCCAGTTGGCCTGAAACTCATCAAAGGGATATGCTTTATATGTTTGAGTCATTTCTGAACTTGAAACAATATACTGAACAGTTTGTTCAAGTCGTTTCCATACAAGTGACAAAAACAGGATCCCTTCACAACCAGGATGTCATGACAAAAGTGCCTTTAGTTCCACTATTAGAAGTCCAACAAGAAAAAAAAGAACACTGATTCCATGAAATAATCAATAAAACAAAAACCTGATTTATTATTCCACAAAGTTTAAAAAAAATATTCAGCAGTACATTAGGTCTCATGCAATTGTAGCCAGGTGTGGTGTGATGTGTCCAGCCACTGGGCTGCTAGTCAAAACATGAGGCAGTTCTTGGATGATGATGATATTTATTTCTTTGTAGTAGATGGTGGGAGGGAAGCTGTAAAGAAGAGTCCTCCCGCCATAAAGAGTTCATGCAGAATTGTTATAATTTAATTTAAGCCAAAAAGGAAACAGATTAATTTATAAGGATACGTTGGGTAGCACATGGTTGAAGCACATGGTTGAAGACCATGTGCTCAATTTATGTAACACAAAATGGGTGAACTGGCAAATATTTAGATATAACAAATTAAATAATAATGCAATTAAATATATTTTACTTTAATGAAAAGGTGTGATACCCTTTCTATGAATATATTTGTTTCCAAAGCAGGATGGAAAGAGATAAGAATATTGAAATGTTTCTCACCTGTAAAGAAGAGTTCTCCCTCCATAAAGAGTTCATGCAGAATGCATGAGGAGGGCAGGTGAGAAAGGAAGTTTAAAGAAGTGGACCAAAGGGCCAATCAGAAGAAAGGTAGCATCTGACAGGTATTAAAGGAAGTCAAGATGTTTCAGTCACATGAAGTGGTGGACATATCTAAAAATAGATAGGGGGAAGTCATGGTGAAGCTGGAGAAATTACAGAGGCTGCAAAAGGGTATCAGGGTTGATGTTAGTTGGCTGACATTCAACTGCAGACAAGGACAACATATAATGAACACAGAATGCAGTGATGGTGATAATAGATGAACATGTATATATATATGTATATATGTATAGAATGAATACTAGGGGGTTATAAGTGGGTGGTACTTATGTGGCTATAACTCATTCAGAGTTAGCACCACCACCTGGCTACACAATCATCCTCGTGGTAAAGTCCAACTCAGAAAATACCCTAGATGTTTATTTCACACCTAGTCATATTGCATTTCCGGAAAACTCAAGAAAGAATTGTTTGTCCCTTACAACATAACTCACTATGAGAAGACCTGTAAAGTTCTGGGTAGAGAATAGGTTTTCAGCGAACCCATGTTTGTCGTAAGAGGTGACTAACTGGATCGGGTGGTCAGGTTTGCTGACTTTGTTCATGTAAGTCATCATATCCCAACAGTGTGGATCAATGCTAATGTCAATCACTGGATTGTCTGGTCTAGACTTGATTATTTACAGATCAACTTAATATAGCTGAAATATTGCTGAATGAGGTGAATAAACAATAAACAAACAAACAAACACAAAGAGAAATTCTTGCCCCTTTCATGTGAAATCTTACAAAACTAAATCTGACCTACCTTGGGCTTTTCCAGAAATTTTAATTACAGAGCTATATACAATATCTGATTTTCTGATGGAACAATGCACATTCAGTGCAGCAAATTAGAAGGCTTTCCACATAATTCATAAGTGCATTCTCAAGAGAACCTTGCAGCTTCCAGCCCAATCTCTCATCCCAGCCCTGCCACCACCCAGCAACCTGCCATCCACATGTACATCCTGCCTGCTACATGTGTCCACCCAGCAACCTGCAATCCACATGTACATCCTGCCTGCTACATGTGTCCACCCAGCAGCCTGCTACATGTGTCCACCCAGCAACCTGCCATCCACATGTATGTCCTGCCTGCTACACGTGTCCACCAAGCACCCTGCTACACGTGTCCACCCTGCAACCTGCCATCCACATGTACATCCTGCCTGCTACATGTGTCCACCCAGCACCCTGCTACATGTGTCCACCCAGCAGTCTGCTACATGTCCACCCAGCAACCTGCCATCCACATGTATGTCCTGCCTGCTACACGTGTCCACCCAGCAGCCTGCTACATGTCCACCCAGCAACCTGCCATCCACATGTATGTCCTGCCTGCTACATGTGTACACCCAGCAGCCTGCTACATGTGTCCACCAAGCAACCTGCCATCCACATGTATGTCCTGCCTGCTACACGTGTCCACCCAGCAGCCTGCTACATGTGTCCACCAAGCAACCTGCCATCCACATGTATGTCCTGCCTGCTACACGTGTCCACCAAGCACCCTGCTACAACGTGTCCACCCAGCAAACTGCCATCCACATGTACATCCTGCCTGCTACATGTGTCCACCCAGCACCCTGCTACACGTGTCCACCCAGCAGTCTGCTACATGTGTCCACCCAGCACTCTGCTACATGTGTCCACCTAGCACCCTGCTACATGTGTCCACCCAGCACCCTGCTACATGTGTCCACCCAGCACCCTGCTACATGTGTCCACCTAGCACCCTGCTACGTGTCCACCCAGCACCCTGCTACATGTGTCAACCTAGCACCCTGCTACATGTGTCCACCCAGCACCCTGCTACATGCGTCCACCCAGCACCCTGCTCAATGTGTCCACCCAGCACCCTGCTACATGTGTCCACCTAGCACCCTGTTACATGTGTCCACCCAGCACCCTGCTCAATGTGTCCACCCAGCACCCTGCTACACGTGTCCACCCAGCAGCCTGCTACATGTGTCCACCAAGCAACCTGCCATCCACATGTATGTCCTGCCTGCTACACGTGTCCACCAAGCACCCTGCTACACGTGTCCACCCAGCAACCTGCCATCCACATGTACATCCTGCCTGCTACATGTGTCCACCTAGCACCCTGTTACATGTGTCCACCCAGCACCCTGCTACATGTGTCCACCCAGCACCCTGCTACATGTGTCCACCCAGCACTCTGCTACATGTGTCCACCCAGCACCCTGCTACATGTGTCCACCTAGCACCCTGTTACATGTGTCCACCCAGCACCCTGCTAAATGTGTCCACCCAGCACCCTGCTACATGTGTCGGCCCAGCACCCTGCTACATGTGTCCACCCAGCACCCTACTACATGTGTCCACCCAGCACCCTGCTACATGTGTCCACCCAGCACCCTGCTACACGTGTCCACCGAGCACCCTGCTACACGTGTCCACCTAGCACCCTGCTACATGTGTCCACTCAGCAGTCTGCTACATGTGTCCACCCAGCAGTCTGCTACATGTGTCCACCCAGCACCCTGCTACATGTGTCCACCTAGCACCCTGCTACATGTGTCCACCCAGCAGTCTGCTACATGTGTCCACCTAGCACCCTGCTACATGTGTCCACCCAGCACCCTGCTACATGTGTCCACCCAGCACCCTGCTACATGTGTCCAATCAGCAACCTGCCATCCATATGTACGTCCTACCTGCTACATGTGTCCACCCAGCACCCTGCTACACGTGTCCACCCAGCACCCTGCTACATGTGTCCACCTAGCACCCTGCTACATGTGTCCACCCTGCTACGTGTCCACCCAGCACCCTGCTACATGTGTCCACCCAGCAACCTGCCATCCATATGTACGTCCTACCTGCTACATGTGTCCACCCAGCAGCCTGCTACACGTGTCCACCCAGCACCCTGCTACATGTGTCCACCTAGCACCCTGCAACATGTGTCCACCCTGCTACGTGTCCACCCAGCACCCTGCTACATGTGTCCACCCAGCACCCTGCTACATGTGTCCACCCAGCAGTCTGCTACATGTGTCC